TTCTTTTTAAAGCGACTTCTCTGATTTAAGGCGCCAGAAAGGTAAAAAAAAACTTAATTTACTCTGAAAGAGACGAGGATTTTTCCTAGTCTGTAATTTTATTCATACATCGTTTTGTTTACCGTTTGTGCAGTTTGCTGATTCTGTTCGGGACAAAAAGCGGATCTCTTGATGTGGACCTTGATCTATCTTTCTCTGGAAGTTTACGATACATTGTTTGTCAGCAATATAAATCGCTCACCGCGTTTCTTTTTGATGGATATACTAGTACGGGAGCTTGGTTCTATTTCTTTTATCATTTTCTTAAAATATTCGTCGAGCGACATGTTGTCTTTTGCTCCTGAGTTACTATATTTATGTAGGTTTTTTCCTTACTGGGGAGGGATGTAAGTTTGCAAATTACCCTGTTAAATGTTTCAAAGTAAAACAGCCATGGAATTGGAACATTGCGATCAGACTCATTACGGTTCTTACAATACTGAACTATTTGTCAAAATTCGAAGGCATACTTGAAGGTGATTTTTGAGAGAGGACTGGGGCGGAAGGGAATGTGGAAGGGGGAAGAAGGTAGGTAGGTAGGTAGATTCTTTATTTAAAACTCGGTAAAATCTTCAGTAATAATAGAGTAAAAATCTAATCACAATTAATTAGACTAAAAACTATCGACATACTGTTTTACAAGACTGCCGAGTGAGAGTCCGACGACTCAAATACATGTTTGATTTGCTCTTTAAATTTCCTGACTGATTTAATTTCTCTCACATTTTCGGGTAAAGAGTTCCACAACAAAGCACCGCTGTAACTGAAACTTCGTTTCAAGTAGTTAGTACCCGGCCTGGGCAACGTCAATTTATGAAAGGAATTGCGCAAATCATAGTCTGTGCTTCGTTCGTGAAATAGGTTCTGCAAGTACACTGGAGCTTGTTCATTTAGAGATTTAAACATCATTATTGCTTTATGCTTCTTTCTCCTTATAACTAATTTGTCCCATTTGAGTATATCAAGAAGCAGGCTCGAGCTAGTCCCATAGTTGGCCTTTAAAATTACTCTAGCTGCACGGTTCTGTAACTTTTGTAATTTGTCACTCAGTTGATCACTTAAGCCATCCCAAACGAGGCTACAGTAATCAAAGTGAGGTTGAATTAAGGAGTTATAGACTAGTACCGCAGTAGATTGGGAGATAAGGGGCCTGATACGTCTAAGGGCACCTATAGCCGAAGTTACCTTCTTACACAATTCGTTAACATGATTAGACCAGGAAAGCCGATTGTCGATAATGAGACCTAATGATTTTGCGTGATCAACATGCCTGATAACTTGGTCTTCTAGTTTGATGTTTATTTCGTTATGGCTTTCCGCGAGAAGCTTCTGGCGAGAGCCAATAACCATAAACTCGGTTTTCGCAACGTTAAGACTAAGCTTATTGGCTTTTAGCCAACAGTGAAGGTTCAGTAGTTCTAAGTTAGTCTCTTGTTCAAGGTCAGCTAGAGAGGAACCAGAAATGGTAATAGTTGTATCATCTGCGAACATTTTAGCGCATGCTGAATTAAGGCAGTTTGGAAGATCGTTTATATAGATTAAGGAGAACAAAGGACCGAGAATACTACCCTGTGGGACTCCGCATCTTAGTTCGCCTGCACTGGACAATACGCCATTAACATAACATTTCTGGCTCCTGTTACCTAGGTAGGAGGCAAAGAATCGTAGGGAACCCAGATCAAGTCCATAGTTTGCAAGTTTATGTAACAAAATTGCATGGTCAATGGTGTCAAAAGCCTTTTTAAGGTCGATATATACCACACCATTTAAAAGGCTGTTATCTATGCTAATAGACCAGTTGTTCGTTGATTCAAGTAGCGCCGTCATGGTGCTATGGAGCGATCGAAAGCCGGATTGATAAGTATTCAAAAGTTTGTTTTTATCTAGGTAATCGTAGAGTTGTTGATAGATCATTTTCTCGAATAGCTTTGAGACAATTGGCAATACAGAAATTGGAAAAAATCCGAAAGCAAAAATCCGTTTTTTTCTTCAGAATTTACATCGAGATATCACAGTTAAGACGCAATGTGATAAAGATGGCGCTGCAGTGAATATCAAAGTGAGTTACCGTAAAATTCCGAAAATAAGCCCCTCCATGTATAAGCCCCTCCAAATATAAGCCCCCCAAACTCGTAACGCAAAACACCCTCCGTCAAATTGCCCCTCCAAATGTAAGCCCCCCGGGGGCTTGTACTCGGAAATTGCCATCAAATACAAAGTAAAACAAAGCAAAAACGGTAAATTTCCTTCCATTTATAAGGCTAGCCCTATCGATTTTGAAACGCAAATTTCACTCCGTAGATCAGCCCCTCCGAATATAATCCCCTCCAAACTAAGCCCCTCAAAAATGGCCTTTGAAAATATAAGCCCCAGGGCTTATTTTCGGAATTTTACGGTAGCACAAATTAACATCCACCGTCGAGGTTCTCTGTGAGGAAGTCGAAATCGGCAACACGTGTACTGCTTACGTTAGGGACATTCCCAACACATTGAGTCTGGTCTCGGCAAGAAACAACCACAAGCGAAAATTCCAATAACGTTTCTCTTCAGTCAACTTCATTTTAATAATGTTACTGCAGATGCTGTTTTTCACAACAGCCATCTTGTTATGCGCAGTAAGAGATGCGCAGTACAAAACCAGCGAATCACCTCAAGTGTCTTTTTACTGGCGTAAAATTTCGTGCATTGCTTATTTAGTACTGCGTTTAAAACACGTAAAGTTTTGAAAAGAAGTTATTCAACTTCGGGTGATGATATGACATCCTCGTTGCCGTGCTTCATGCTAACGGTGTATGGGAGTGCGCCATAAGTGGTTGAGAGCTTGTTCTCTTTCCCTTGTTTTAAGAGTACTAAATCACCAGGTTATAGGTCACTCTCTCGAGCTCTCCTTTTCCCTTCAGCATAGTCGGTCCTCTCCTGCTTCATCTCTGCATCAGTGTCTCTTGCCTCACTGTCCGAGTACCTCGAGTTTCCCAGCTCAAGAATCTTTGATCTGATTTCTCTGTTGAACAGGAGTTTGGCCGGCGTGACTCCTGTACTGCTGTGAAGTATCGTTCTGTAGGCAGTTAAGACCTTTCGCATCTCGGTCCAGATATCCTTCTTTTCAGCTTTAGCAATCCTAAGGGCGTTAAGCAAGCTTCTGTTCTGTATTTCGACCTCCCCATTTGCCCGAGGCTAGAGCGGGGTCGAAGTGCGATGCTCTATATTATTCGTTTTCAGGAAACACTCAAATTCATCGGACAACTGTGTACCGTTGTCAGTATTCAACGACTGCGGTAACCCATGGGTACAGAAAATCTTCTCCAAACTTTCAATGACTTTAGTGGATGTCACGGACGTCAGAATATCCACTTCGAAATATCGGCTGTAAAAATCGGACGGTAGGGGCCCCATTAAGTCTGCGGCTAAGTCAATCCAGGGTTGGCTTGGAAACTCTGTATGCCGTAAGGGCTCTGGTGGAGTAGGTAGTCCAACAAGTTGGCAGCCATGGCAGGTCTTACACCGGTTTTCCACTTGCTTGTCAATTCCAGCCCACCAAACCTTTGTACGAATTCTCTGCTTGGTTTTTACCAGCCCCTGATGACCCTCATGTGCTAAGTCTAGCAATCTTTCGCGTAGTCTTCTCGGAATTAGCAACCTCGTTCCCCTTAATACTAACTTTTCTAGGGAAGAGAGTTCATTTCTGACATGTCTGTACTGCGGTGGGGCTTTGTCCCAGTCTCCTGTTGAGACAAATTCTCGTAGTTGTGAAATTTCTGGGTCGGTAGCTGATTCTTCCTCAACTTCTCTGATACGTATTGCTACTGGCACTGATGCTTCTGCCACAAAACGAATTAAGTCTCAGCATCATCGTGACCACTCAAACCTCCCTTAGCAACAAGTCGTGAAAGAGAGTCAGCAATGTTCTGTTTACCTGGTACATACTGCACCCGAAACCTGTATCGTTGAAGTCGAAGTACTCAGCGCTCTATCCGAGCTGAATTACAGGAACTGGTCGAGTAAATAATTTCCAGAGGCTTGTGGTCTGTCAGCAACGTGAACTCTATTCCATACAAGTACATATGAAATCTCTCACATCCCCACGCAAGTCCCGATGCTTCTCTTTCTGTTTGTGAGTATCTGCGTTCAACTCCTGTTAAGCCACCACTTTCATACGCAATTACACGCTCCTGTCCCTCCTGGACCTGTGTAGACACCACCCAAGCCCTACCAGACTTGCATCCGTAATTACCTTGGTTACTTCTCCATTTCTGTCGAAATATGAAAATGTTTCTGCCCGTCCCAGGTTATTCTTTAGGCTTTCAAATGCCACCTGTCACAAATACACTCAATGGTCTTCTGCAACCTGCTGTCATGTACTTCAACCGCACTACCATGGATAATTATGTCATCGTGGATGTTGTAGGCGCCCTCGCATCCGGCCAGCACTACTTGTTGAATGGTGTGTTGATAAAGCTCTGGGACGGAGCTGATTCCGAACATCAAGCGTTTATACCTGTACAACCCCTTGTGAGTAATGAATGTGGTCATAACTCTAGACTGTTGCTCCAACTCAATCTGGTGAGATCCCCATTTGAGGTCTAATTTGCTAATTCCTTGTTCCAATTCAGTTAGTAGAGTATGCCATTAACCGTGGGTATGGGATGATGTTCCGTTACAATAGCTTTATTAGCTTTTCTCACGTTTACTCAGAGTTTGATGTCCCACGTGGGTTTGGGAACGACCACGACCGGGCTCACCCATGGAGTAGGACCTTCAACTGGTTTAATAATGTCACAGTCTACTAGTTCCTCGAGTTTCTGTTCTATTTTGTCCCTTAGCCTATAAGGTGGGGTCTCAACTTCTGTGCAACAGGTTTAACCGATTTATCAACGTAGAGCTTTGCTTGGAAACCTTTAAGTTTTCCTACTCCCTTAAAACACTCAGGAAAATCTCTAAGCAGGGTTTCTTCTTTCATAGCAATAATTTCAAGTTTCAGAATGGCCAGCTCTTCTGAGGTCTCCCTACTAAGTTTTGCCCTTGCTTTCTCTTCCACTACAATAAAACACACATGCAACGTTTATCTTTGTAACAAAGTTCAGTCTGAAACTCACCAGCAGTAGTAAGTGGCTTGTTGGATCCACAGGAGTACAGCCTTCTGTTGGATTTTCTTGAATCGCATTTCACTTTCTTCTCCCTAAGCGTCTCCCTTTTCGCTCCGTCAATAACATTGGAAGTGGAACCAGAATCGACAAGAACCCCTTCCATTCGGACACCTCCGAGCTGGATGTCTACGGTGGGAATATCTCTTCCACTAGACTGTAAGGTAAAGGCGAAATCATCATCTTTGGTGACTTGCAGTATATTTCCTTTTTTGGGGTCTATTTGTATCTTCTTATTTCGTTTTACAAACTTTGGCGAAATGCCCCATTTTTTTTACATTTCATACAAGTCTTGCCTTGCACTCTGGATCTTTTGCAAAATTTCCCTCGAGTCCACACCGATAACAACGTCCTCCTCCACGTTTAGGGGAATCAAAGTATGCCTGCTCTAAGGAATTCACATTTCCGCTTCGTGAATCGCTTTCAATCGACCGTGTCTGACTTTCAGTAGCTTCCATGGACCTAGCAATATCTCTAGCCTTCTGAAGTGTGCGTTTGTCGCTAACACCGGGTAGTTTCTTGCGAAGATCATGTGACCGACATTTATCGATTAACTGATCGCGGATTGGTTCTTCCTTGGATGTTCCGAAGTCGCAATTCTCGCTAAGCTGAAACAATCTGGTCACAAACTGGTCTGCTGTCTCGGACTTCTCCTGTTTTGCTTGACGAAACTGATGTAGTTCAAATAGGATGTTAACTTGTAGTAAAAAATGTGCGTCCAGTAATCTCATACTGCGTTTCTTCGTCTGGGACTCGTCCTGGGTCACTCAGCGTAACAAAAATGTCCTGTATATCCTGTCCAGCGCAATGCAAAAGTAAGGCTTGTCTCTGTGTGTCTTTTGTGATACCCTTGTTCTCGAGAAAAAACTCAGAGGAACGTTTCCATCGTCTCTAACAAGGTCCCACGCTAGTCGGACTGCCTGTGCAATCTAAAGGGTTTATGTTTCCAAATTCAATGTTCACGTCAATGTTCTCTGCATATGTCGGAAATTTCCTTGTCTATCCTCGCCGCCAATTGTAGAGTCTAAATATACGCATTCAAGCTACGGATTGAAACGGATTACAACAACCGAATAAGGCATCGCCATTCTAAACTCCTCGACGCCCGTACACTCCTATTCGTCTATCCCATAATCGTCTTATCATATCCCGGCATACACTACACAGCCTTAGCAGCATCTTTAGTTGTTCTTAAAGAAAAAAGAACCCAGTTTAAGAATTTAAGGAAAAAGTAGAACGACTTAATTTTTCATAAATTAAAACAGAGGAGAAATTTCACCCAGTGGAACGGGGGGCAAAGAGGGTGGATGGTAGGTTAAAAATGGAGAGATTGTTCTAGAGGGTGTAAATTCGAAAAACAGCAATCTAAAACAAGGAAAACAGAGAAATCTTGTCCAATAAACCTCTCCGGCGAAGGTGTGGACATGGGTACTGACTGTTCAATCGTACTGTTCTCAGCCCTTTGGAATCCTTAGGCGTCAACTTTTTTGGAATGTTTCTTGCGACAGGAGGTGCAAACAGCTATATTAAGTTGAACTGAGCCTTCTGGTCTCACTAATTTCTACAAAACCGGAGACATGTTCTTAACACTGTTTAAGTTTAAAAAAGTTATTTTTTTTGCAAGAATGAAATACTTTTCATACACTTGAACGACACCTCGGCCACAATCACTCCTAACCTCGTCCCCAGGACTTTCCTCTTAGAAAATGGTAGGGGACGGAAAAGCCTGGGAGACGCGGTTGAATCCTGACTCCGTGTAGAAAGTTCTTTCTTTTTTTCCCAATCTTTAATGCTCTTTTAGGTATTTTATTTATTTGCCACACGATTACAATAATTACAAAAAGATGCCAAAAAAAAAAAAAAAAAAAAAAGGTAGGAGGAGATGGCGAGGAGGCCTAAACGCAACTATAGAGCTTATGTTAATTAGACATCCTCAATTACAATTTTTCGAAGATGGCATAAAAATTACGGCGACGGATACAATATAATATGAGGTGAAAAATTAAACTAATCAATATTACGGAAGTTTACAAATGTTGAATGTTAAAAGGCTTTTTCCCAAGATTTTTGTTGGAGTATACTAATAATTATTACAAATAAATGCCTTAAGTGCTCTTTAAAAGGAGAAAGGCGAGGAAGCGTTGATGATGTTGGTGTTTAAGGTGTTGTAAAATTTAGGTCCTTGATAAAAAACGGAAAATTGTTTGGTTCGAGTACGACAAAAAGGCAGACGAAATTTACACGAGTTTCTTGTATTATACGAATGAATTTGACTTTGTAAGGTAAATTTACAATGAAATTTTAAAGGTAGAGTATGGTTTTGATAGGAGTACATGAATAAGCCTAGTTGTATTAAGTATATATCATGAAATTTTAAGATACCAAGATTTTGAAAGATTGGATCAGTATGTGCATCGAAAGTTGTTTTAGCTATAGTTCTGATTACTCGTTTCTGTAAAATCTCAAGACGAATAAGGTTAGTTCTGTAAGTAGAGGCCCAAACTAAGTTGCAATAAAAAAGGTGTGGATACACTAGAGAAAAATATAGTGTTCGTAAGGTTTTCGTGGATAAATAGAAACTGGATTTACGAATAATTCCTGTGCATTTAGAAACTTTATTGGCGACATGTGAGATTTCAGATTTCCAATTTAAATTTTCATCCATGGTTACTCCCAAGAAAACTGTTTCTTTTACTCGATCAATTTTTTGATTATTAATTAAAAGTTGAATAGTTTGATTTGTACGCTTTTGAGATGGTTTAAATGCAATGAATTTGTTTTTTTTTTCAAGTTTAATGAAAGCCTGTTAGCTCTAAACCATATTGACAACTTATTTAGCTCAGCGTTCAGTATATTAGTAAGGCAGTCTTTATCCTTGTGAGACACAAATACGTTTGTATCATCAGCAAATAATATCAGTTGTAATATTGTTGACATGTTGATTATATCGTTGATGAAGAGCAGAAAAAACAAAGGCCCTAGTACTGAACCTTGGGGAACGCCACACATGATATTAGCACGATACGAAAGATAACCATTGTATTCTACAAATTGAAGTCTGTTGGAAAAATAGCTCTTAATCCATTTCAGAGCCAAGCCACGTATACCATAGTGTTCAAGTTTATCAAATAAGATGGAATGATTGACTGTATCGAAAGCTTTCGATAGATCTAAAAAGACACCAACCGCTAATTCACCATGATCAATAGCAGATGAAATTTTTTCATGCAAATCAATCAAGGCAAGCGTCGCAGAGTGGTTTTTCCTGAAGCCGAACTGGTTATCACAGAGAATATGTAAATTAGTTAAGGGAAAGTTCATTTAATATGACAAGGGGGGGGGATGAAGATATTGAGGGGGGACTCCGAAAATGTTTAGACACCCGAAGGGGGGGCTCTGAAAAAATTGTTGCGCTAGGAGGGTGGGGCTCCGAAAATTTGTATACTTCAAAACCAACACATGACATCATCATACAGATCGAATGGTTTTCAACTCAACAATTTAATGACCTGTGCAACTCAGCTATATCACGTGGTTTACAGATATAACAAATGTAGTCTCAGTAATTATTACACTCTTGTTCATCCTAAAAAAAATGCTTTAGAAAATTGTATCACAACTGTATCTCAAGTTTCTCATAGTATAAACCATTGAAGACAATAACAGTAAATATATTTAATACAGTTTAGCGATCTTTTTTCAGGGGAGCAAAGGAATTGAAGGAGGGGGGGGACTCTGAAATTTTTTCGACTACCAAGGAGGGGGCTCCTAAAAAATTGAACCGCTAGCGAGGGGGGCTGCTAAAATTTCAAGCTTCGAGTTTCAATGTCTTCATTTTTTTCTTAAATTAATAGTGCCGAGTGCAAAGATCTGCTGTCTTCTGGTTTAGGCAATGGGTTTACCGGCGTGATAACCCACTTGGGATGTTGGGAGAACACGAGAAAAGCTTGTAAATCACTCGCCTTTCATAGAAAGTGTGGTCTATTGCTTTTATAAAATAACTTAAAGTAAAACGGAGTCGTTTAGGTTTTCTACGAGTTTACCGGCACAATAAACCATAGGTTTTTAACCAATCAGAATGTGCGTACTATCTTAGTTATTTTATAAAAGCAAATATCATCAAGCTTTCGGCGTAAATGCAATTTTTTAAAGCACGCAAAAAAGAGTGCCTACAAATTGTATTGTGGCTCCCATGTGGTGACAAGAGGAGTGACCTTGCAAGTTTATTATTATGTTATTATTATCAATAACTATGAATTAAAAAGAATTGATCAATGGCTAGTTTTTGGTGATCAAGAAAATCTTCCTGTAATATAGAGAAAAAATTGAATTGGTCTAAATAAATGTGATATTTCTTCATGGGATAGGATAGTTATCTTCCACTGAAAAAATCAGGGCAATCCGTGATAGACCGAAATTTGCCTTATCGGTTCCGACGAGGACAGCCTATTAAAATACCTGTAATTGTATTGCCGTAAAAAATCGTTTGCAGCTGGTTTTCATGCACTGACGAGTTCGATGAGCTTGTTGCAATCTGATAGTGATGAAAAGGTGGTGCGCCGACCGGAAAGTGAAACGCACCTCGCGAAACATCTGAAACTTCACGATTTGTTGACGCCGTGCTTGACAGAATATTTGAAATGTTTTCCATCTGTCGCTTTCGTAGGCTGCTGTAGTTGTTTATTGACTGCGGAGCGTTATTATTCTGTAACTTTTGCTTAAGTGTTTTTTCTCCAGGAATGGTTTGTTTCTTGAGGAATTCCCCCTGCTTCGCACATGTCTTGTAGGATACCTACACATTCACTGGATTTCGCTCCTCTTGAATTTCTTTGTTTTCATACATTCTCGGTTTCACAGGCCTAACATTCCGTGAGTTTTCACCCTGTCTGCTCTTAGTTTGTCTCTCTAAATGAACAATATAGACTTTGCCTTGACTGTCAGTCTCCAAAACAACAATTGTTCTCCCTTCTTCGTTCTAGCTGCAGTAATTAATTCACTTAGGTATAAAGCGTTTTCACTCACCTGGCTAGCATCTATGCAAATTTATTGGACCAAAAGAAAGCGATTACATAAGAAAAGAGTTCGACCCACAGGAATAGTTTGGAACACCAACATGGCCGCCATAACGTCATGTGAAAACGCTCTATACATTCAGCTCCTGCGACGGGTCTCCCTTCTTTCCGAACCTCGCGAAGAAATTTTAGAACAATGTTGAGGTCATACATTTTCTCTCCTTCGTATTTTTGTTTTCTTGTTGAGCAATAAGCTCGTCAACATCACCCTTTGACACAAAAATAATCTGGATTTAGAGTCCTTGTCCATCGGATCGAGAATATTAAGATTCCAGCGAGGTAATTCGTCCGCCATTCTGAAGTTGCGTCTTGACTACTTTGAAGGCGCCGCTGCGAAAGGCGCGATTAATTATGTAACCATAACAACGTTGATCTTTTCACTTTAAAAATTACTTATTAAGATATCAGGGTGTCTGTCCAGGAACAGGCCCGGAACACCTCGCAACACCCCCGGAACACTCTCAGGACACCGCAGAATACCCCGGGACACTCCCTAACAGGCCAAACCCCCTCCCGAACATAATTAATTGGAAAAATTAGCCAAAAAAAATACAAAACCGAAAAACCCCTGAAATATCATCAATGAATCTAAAGAGATAACTTACAGAACCCTCATTGAATGAAGTGGAGAGAAAAAAAGGCAAATAAAAGAAAAGAGTCAGATTAGACCTAAGCGGATGGTTCATGACGGATTTACAATATTTTAACTAAATATCATGTACCCAATTTGATGTCTACCGCGTTGGAGGAGTATCACTTGTAAAATTCAATTATTTTGATTCCTATTCCAGGGTGTGGGTGTTCCGGGGTGTTCAGGGGTGGTGTGGGGGGAGGGGGGGTAAGGGGTTCCGGGAGTGTTCCAGATTTTACAGATACCCGAGATATCATGTTTTCGAGCGAAAGTTCACCTGGTATTTCATTGGTGTTATTATAATAAATGAATTTCATAGTTTGGAACAGTGGAATCTCTACATTTAATTTCTTCATTCCGAAGTTCCAATATATGGAATTCATATATTTATCATTTAAAGAGTTTAGGAAGTGTTTTATATTGTAAACGGTAAGTAAAGATATCAAAAAGCGTGGGGAATGAGTCAGTAGTCAGGAGGATAGGAGAACCTGGGTTCGCCGATTTTCAAATCTTGTGTGCAAAGAAATTATTGTCCAACACTTATAATCGTGACCTTCCTCAGTAAATCTAGAGTTAATAAGACGTTAAGAATCTTGTTTCCACTTTCTTACTCTTAAAATATTTTTTTTCTCAAGGGTAAGAAAAAAGCGTCATGGACAACATCTGCGAGATTCTACAAGCCATTCATATTGGTTCAGTGGTTGCAACTTTCCTTTTGAACACTGGACGCATTATAAAAGCAGTAGACTTCTTTAACGAATGTTTGGTGCTCCTTAACGACAAAGCCCTAGATACAATCAAAGAACTCACCACACCCCTTGTTATCCATGTATACCATGAACTCCTTGATGGTTATACTCTTATGTACGATCACGACCGTGCGATAGAATGTGGTAAAAAACTTCACGAGACACTACACAATAGTGGCCAAAATGAAGAAGAAGGGATAGTATTACTTAAACTAGCGGACATCTACAATCAAAGAAGCGAATACGAGAAAGCAAAACAGTTTTATGAGAAGACACACAGCATCATGATTGAGACTGGAAACAATCGCGGAGTTGCAACATGTTACGGAAACCTAGGAACTGTGTTTCTTTCTCTTGGTCAATATAGCAAGGCAGAAGAATACTTTCAGAAAGCACTAGTGATTAAACAAGAAATCGGTGACAAAAAAGGAGAAGCAACAGCTTACGGAAATCTGGGAACTGTGTTCCAATCTGTTGGTCAATATTCCAAGGCCGAAGAATACCTTCAGAAAGCACTAGTGATCAGGAAAGAAATCGGCCACAAAAAAGGAGAAGCATCAGATTACGCAAATCTAGGAACTGTCTTTTCATCTGTTGGTCATTATACCAAAGCAGAAGAATACCTTAAAAAAGCACTAGTGATCAGGAAAGAAATCGGTGACAAACAAGGAGAAGCAAAAGCTTACGGAAATCTGGGAAATGTGCTTTTATCTGTTGGTCAATATTCCAAGGCTGAAGAATACCTTCAAAAAGCATTAGTGATCAGGAAAGAAATCGGTGACAGAGAAGGAGAAGCATCAGATTACGGAAATCTAGGAAATGTGTTTTTAGCTGTTGGTCAATATTCCACGGCTGAAGAATACCTTAAAAAACAACTAGTGATCATGAAAGAAATCGGTGACAAAAAAGGAGAAGCATCTGCATACGGAGGTCTAGGAACTCTGTTCCAATCTGTTGGTCAACATTCCAAGGCTGAAGAATACCTTCAAAAAGCACTAGTGATAAGTGAAAAAATCGGTGACAAAGAAGGAGAATCACTAGTTTACGGAAATCTAGGAGGTGTGTTTTTTTCTGTTTGTCAATATTCCAAGGCTGAAGAATACCTTCAAAAAGCACTAGTGATCAGGAAAGAAATCGGTGACAAAAAAGGAGAAGCATCTGCTTACGGAAATCTAGGAGCTGTGTTCCATTCTTTTGGTCAATACACCAAGGCTGAAGAATACCTTCAAAAAGCAGTGACGATCAAAGAAGAAATCGGGGACAAACGTGGTGTTGGAGCTTCATACTTAAATCTGGGAAAACTTTGTCGAGAATTTCAGCTTAATGCTAAGAGTCAAGAATTTGTTAATAAAGCACTTGAGATAAGTTACGAAATAGGGGACATTGAAATGCAGTTTAAAAGCCACCTTGCCATTGCTATGAACGCGTTAGTGACAGGAGGAAGCACAACTGAACTTCTTCGAAATCTGTATGAAAGCATTCAGAAGTGCGAAGACATGCATGATTTTTTAATGGTGAAAGATCAGTTCAAAATTTCTTTTTTCGATGAGCATGTGTCCCCTTACCTTCATCTTTGTAGGTTTTTGATTGCTACAGGCAGTTGTTATGAAGCTCTTTATGTTGCTGAGCTTGGACGGTCCAGAGCACTTGCAGACATCCTTTCAGATAAGTACTCTGTGGAAAAAGAGGTATCAGTCAACCCACAGTCATGGATTGGTATTGAGAATATCATGGACAAAAATGCACTCAGTTCTTGTCTTTATGTTTCCTGCCTCGGTGATAATATGTTTTTTTGGATTCTTAAGCCAAACAAAAGCGTGGTGTTTCGACAAACGAAACTGAAAGAAAGTGCAGATCAAGTGTTTGGAAATGAAAAAATTGGTGGCTCTCGAGAATTGCGTCAAGAACAATGCGAAGATCGATCATTCTTCTCTTCATACGAAAGCTCCTTGGCTAAATGCCGTGCACCTCAGGAGGGCGGCACTGCAACTTTGCGTTTGGTGGAAGAGGATAAAGACACTCCATCCCTAGGTGATGGTTACAATATGATCGTTACTCCTGTAGCTGATTTACTCGAGGAACCAGAAATCATCATTATTCCTGATCCCTTGTTGTACAGAATTCCTTTTGCTGCATTAACGAATGACAAAGTCAAGGAAGAAACAAAGTACCTATCAGACACACATAGGATTCGAATTGTCCCTTCCTTGACGACTCTAAAGTCGATTCAGCTCAGTTCTGCCGACTACCATAGTGAAACCGGTGCGCTAATCGTAGGAGACCCAGAAGTTCGTGATGTATACTACCAAGGAGAACTCCTAAAATTAGAAAAATTGCCTTGGGCAAGAAAGGAAGCACAGATGATTGGGCGACTGCTTGGTGTTAAGCCTTTGGTCGGAAATGATGCAAGAAAGCAGACAGTCCTAGAAAAAATGCCGTCAGTAAGTCTCATTCACCTTGCTGCTCATGGTGATGCCGAACGTGGAGAAATCGCTCTTTCTCCTACAAGCTCGTGCGGTGCTCCTCACGAAGAAGACTACTTATTGACAATGGCTGAAATTTCACAAGTTCGACTGACAGCCAAGCTGGTCGTCCTCAGTTGCTGTCACAGTGCAAGTGGCCAGATTAGAGCTGAGGGAGTTGTTGGAATCGCCCGAGGATTTCTAGCATCGGGTGCCCGCGCTGTGCTGGCAGCACTGTGGGCTATAGATGACGAAGCTACTATGCAGTTCATGAATCGCTTTTACGACCACCTTGTTCATGGTGAAAGTGCAAGTGAATCGCTTCACCGGGCCATGAAGTGGATGAAAGAGAATAACTTTTCTGACGTCAGGCTGTGGGCGCCGTTTATGCTGATTGGAGACGATGTGTCATTTAAAGGTTTGTATTTGATACCGTTTTAGGTTTAAGTCAAAATCTGTGAAATTGCATGGTTTTAAAAATTGTATTACGGGAGTTAATGTTTCGTTAGTTTCTTAATTCAATGCGTTTTTTAACCCTTTTTACTTCGTTTTTGAAGAATATTTGGTACAGCATGCTCGGAACTGGGGCCCGTTTCTCGAAAGGCCCAATAACTTTTCGGGTCCGAAGGCAAATTTTGAAATCAAAACCTGTTTAATAGTAGCACAGGTCCTAGCTCACAAAGCGGTCAGTTTTGCTTCTTCACTCTTTTTAGTGACCGATAGCTTCATTGCTTAAATTTCAAAATTACTCAAGCATATTAAGGCGTGGCTCAATTTTTGCTCTCGACCCCCCGCGAAGATAAAGCTGTTTTTCTTCTACGGCCATGCATTTTAATTCTAAAAGTTGCCAAAAACGTAATTAGGGTTGAAGTGATGTAGTCACGTGAAACGTGACGTCATAATGATATTAAAAAAAGGAAATTGAAAACAGGGTAGGAATGTTTGAATACAACTAAGTTTGAACCATGGGTAAATGTTTGTTTTACCTTACGAATTTTTTCCGTGGCCGGAACGGTGAGAACTTTTAATTACTTAAAAAAGATATTAACAGGTGAAAGGTGTCACGTGACCTATTTTGCTTAATTTTTAGTTAAATAAAAACGTGAGTCAACCATTCCGGCCAGATTCAAGCGAGAAATGATGATACAATAACAAAAATGCTGTATTTAATATATACTGTGTGGCATCTCGCCACCCCATTTTTAGTTTTCTTTTCTTTCCTGGACTCGATCATAAGTAGTCACGTGGCACAGATATCTGATTTCTTACGTTACAGGAAAATTAAGGTTACCGATTTTTCTCAGGTTGCCAAATTTTGGAAGGTTCTGATAAATTTTCACAAAGTTATGATCATTATAAGATTTTCTGCAAATTAGCCTCAGGACATGCCTTAACGAGCTTGCATAACAATGAAGCGCTGAACTTGAATCCAAAGACGGCAAACAGAAAACAGCTTTTTGGGCCCGAAAACTTTTCGGGACTTGACTTTTGAGAAACGGGCCACTGTTTACACAATAACTAAATTGATGAAAATATAGAAAGCGATAAAATTTTTAAGTCATAGAGAAGAAGTGTAAAACATACTTTATCTTGAGGGTGTACCTGACAAAAGAAAAGCGTTGCATGTATTTTAAAACAGATTCTTCTCGGGGAACCAGAGCAAGCTCAGTACCACAGAATACGTAATTAGTAGCGGGTGGGAGTTAACAAGCAGAGAGGCAGCTGAAGAAGCATTTGATTTTGTTATTTCTATTTTATTCAGATATTTTTCTGGCAAATGCGCAAAGAGCAACAACTTCTTTGCCGTTTTCGTGTGTTTAACGGCGTGGTTTTTGTCATCAACCGCGTCTTATTTTGCTCGTTCCGGGGGGAAGTCGTAAAATTGAGTTTTCCCCCAAGAAAACAATTAAGTCGACTCGTTTGGGTTTTACAATAGGTAAAGTGTTCACGGGGAAAAGGCCAGTGAGGCTGTCAGTTTTATGGAATAATAAGAGGATATAAGGGAAAATACTAACACAAACACACCAATATAGTGCAAAAATGTATGAGTCATCCCGAATCAATGATAAATAAATGCTTTTTCAGGAAATAATAATAAAAAAACTTTGTTTCCATGAGTTTTAGCTGTTCATGTACGCTCGGGCGTTTGTGTGTATATGGATGCTACGCTCCTGGATATCAATCTCTTGCTTCATGATATATGATAAGTATGCAAATGTAAAACAGAGGAAAGTATAATCAAATAGCATTTAAGATGAAAGTGGTTCGGTGGGCCTTTTATTTCTAGCGTATGAATGCGATTTCCTGCGAGTGTAAAAGTCTTGCGACCGGTTTGACTTTTGAAAAACATCAGTGTTAAAGACATTCAAGTACAAAATACGTGTAACGAGCAACAGAAAATGAAGCATGTTGATCGATGGCTAAAACAAATCGTGCAAGAATACACGCGAAAGTGAACCGTCATGATCATTTTTTTCTATTTGCAGGTGCCTTTGATAAGAGCAGTTCTGCAGATGACGAAGGAGCTACGGAAACAAAGAACTTGTGAACTGAGTAATCAAATCATTTAACTTGACAAAAATGTTTAGTTAGTGCTTACCTTTCGACTGCTATAACAGCTGTACATATGTGTATATACCTGGGATCCTCTGTGAAACCGCAAAGTGGTAAGAATCGTACTTTTCAGTTCAGGCGCTACGTTAGAGATGAAGGTGAAGCATAAGCTGAGCGCGAAGCGCAAGGAGGGATAGACAGGACCAGCAGTAGGCAGGTTCTATCCAGAACTAGTCGTGTGCAAATCAAGACGTTAAACTTGTACAAACTTCTAATCATACTGGTCGGCCCTCCTTTTGTTCCGAATGATTCCTGTTATACGCATCAATCGTAAGCTTCACGCTCGCCTCAAACCGGCACAATCACTTCCATGAACACGAGCCGCTTCGCTTTGGTTAGCCTTGCCTGGCAGGCGTCGAAATGAGAAGGGACAGGAGGCAAAAAGAGAGTAGCGATTGGGCAGAGAGGGAAAAGGACCTGCCAATTTTTGATTGGTGAAGCCACAATGCGTAACTTATTGCCGTGCATTAGGGAGAAACATGGTCTGGCTGTGTAACTGACTAAATTTCTTTTATAGAATCTTACATGATCTTAATCATAACAGCTTTTAAATAGAGTTTATTCATTATAGAGATTTTCTCGCTGGTATTCAATTTCTATTTGGTTGGCAAAGTTTTTTATTATGAAGTTTACAAGGATAAATGTAAAATGTCATAAATAATAGAGAAAAAACCATAATGCAATCGAAGGAAATGGTTTCTATTAGAAACAGAATCTTTTAAACAGTTAAAAGCGAGGTTAAAGTCTTTTTAAATCTGTGAATATATAAATGGTGATAGGTAATAATTTAACGTATTTTTATTCTTATTTAGGAAATGTTATAGGGTATAGACCTCGTGTTTCCTTTGCATGATGTTTTTTGTTATTTTCTTATCGTCTCGTTTTTGTATTTTAATTTATAGACTTATATTGTTAAAGATCATGAATAACCCAGTATTGTATTTTATAAGCTTTTCGAAGATGAAAACTGCGCCAGTCAAAAAGCGACTTGACTGTTTGATGAGGCAGGACCAAAAAGTTTTGTTCATTTCATTTGTCGTGTTTGCTGAGCAAAGTACAACAGATAGTACGTTTTACTTGATTATGATATTATTTGATAAAAAGCTTCTTCTTAAGCAAATTCACCCATAGAGAGGAGCGCCCCTTACTTGTGTTGGTCACGTATTGACAATTGACCTTATCGGTTTTGTTAGGAGGATGGTGGATGGAGGCGTTCCACTTTCACTTTCGCAATCCTCTTTTCCCTTCCCCTTTTATTGCGCATTCCACCAAGGCTACACTTTGGTTTGATCACATTTCAAATTGAGATCTAGGCTTAGGTAATGAATGCAAGTCTTTTGTGGAATACATGTATAGACCTCTGTGCGTGGATAATTTTTTTATTTGCCCTAGATCATTTATTAACAGTAGAGACAGTATTGAGCAGAAAGTTTTAGAAGCCTTTCTAGGCTTAATTAGAAGACTCCCGTTACTATATGATAAGATTGAACAACTCAGACGATGTATGAAATCACGTTCTCCCCCGTTTTTGTTTGAGGCGTGTTCCAGTCTTTTGCCCTACCCTTTCGAACTTGAAGTAACTCATGGGCCTGACAAGTTGTTATTTTTTAACAGAAAGTATGTTTTATTTCGTGTCTAAGCCTGATATACTCTTGTATACATTTTTACACAAAGGATTTATACCTTTACTATTGGTAACTAAAGGTTGATTTCCACTGACGCGTTTTTGGTTACGCACGTTAACGCACGTAAATTTTAATCACGTAAATGATAAAAATAGAGGCAAGATGAAAAAGTGCTAAGGTTAAACGAGAAGTTAAGCGAGATTCAACTCTTACGCTTACGAGCGACCATTCTTGCATTGCCTCTATTTTTTTGGGAACGTAAATTTTACGCAGGTACGCACGTAAAAAATATGCGACAGTGGAAATTAACCCTAAGAGACGAGTTTTTTAAAATTCCCTACTCCAGAAACTATTAGGGGAAAGGGTACAAGCTTTCGGTGCATCGATGTCTGGTATCGTTTGGGTGGATGGTATCCAAGGCAACCATTAACCAATTATGAGAACGCCTGTCCACCCAAACGATCCCAGAGCTCGTTGCGCCGAAAGCTTACACCCAATCTCCCTATAGTTTCTGGAGTAGGGAATAAAGGGAACCTAAACCAATTCCGAGTTGCCTCAAGTGAGACATCTTAATTAAGGAAAAAATTTTCTTTCAAAAACCCCCTCATTTTAAGGGAAGGTTTCTTCATTGGCCTCATTTTGAAAGCGAGGATTTTGGAACTCGGGTATGGCCTTTTAAAGGAGCAGTGTATAAGTGTCATATTTTGTAACCAAAATGTGTTTATGAACAATATTTTGTCCGTGCCTTAAAACTTTTTGCAATAAAGAAACGTTAGTTTTTATCGTGTCTAATCTCTATTCAAATACCCGGCACTGAAGTTTTATAATATGTACATTTTATGAATGTATTTAAATTCTGTCCAAACATAATGTACAATACTGGTGAAGATGACAGAAAGATGTTTTTCGCAAAGGACGTTAATTCATAAATAATACAACTTTAAAAGTAAAAATACAAAGCCTCGTCCAGCAAGGATGCGCCCTTTGCAAAGTTAGTCAAAAGGTGCACCAAGGCGTCGGCCGATCAAGAAAGAGCTTTTTGCGTGTTCTTAATACTTGCACGAAACAAAGTGCCCATTGAAAGAGCTGGGGGGGGGGGGCAAGAATGAACAGAAGGGGTGTTCCTAAATGCTTCCATTCCATCGTCTGATGGTCGATGTGATCTGTTGTCTAATTTTGTAATCAGGGACGTTGGCGTATATAATCAGCCAAGAGCTTGAACAGATCCGTTGCAAGCAGTTTAAGAGTCCGCGGTTGTAACTAGGTCTTAGAGGAGCCATATTAAATTTATTAAATAATAAGTCTGAAATTTCAAAGAAAGAAAGAGAAAAGTCGAGAAAAGTCGCCATTTCATGTCACCATTTCCCAAGTCGTTGTTTCAAGACCATGACGCTTAGTTGTCCGAATTTTCCCTAACAGTTCTTCATTAATGAGAAATACAACCAGGAACAGCCATTACACATCTGCCCGGCACCACCTTGTGAAACTTGTCTGTAACGTGAGCGTGGTTCGTTCCTTTACTTTGCTCACTCCAGCCCGGATTCACACATGATAACATCCATGAACATAAATTTCAACCAGAGACAAACGACTGGCGCCCACTTTAAGTATTCAAACGGTAAATACACGAAAGAAAATCTTGATGAGTTTCTTACGTTGACACGGTAACCATACTAGAAACATGCGCGCGTGAGTACACACTCAAGGCTGGTCCTACGTCTTTCCTCACATGTTCGCTGAATCGAATTACAGCTTCGGATGATGCGGTGTTGACGCTAAGCAATTATTAGCCGAGGAATGTATGGATCATCTTTCCTCTGTAACTGAGGTCTTTCAGCATGCTGTGAGGGAAAGCACCAAGTATATTGTTCACTACCAGAGAAGAACTTTTTTAAACACAGTTTAGCCTTAATTATTCATAAAAGAATAGAAAAAAGTTCTTATATGTGGGTTTGCAATTTTTCCGGGCCATCTGAAGTTATCGGAAGTTGATAATGATTGGCATATGATAAAGGCTTTTGACAAAAAATGTTCACATAACTTCCCTTAAGGTTTCTTTATAAATGTAGAGTACGAAAAAAGAAAAGAAAATAGCTATCTGATCAATAGACCTTTTTACCGATACGGCAGCCATATTGAATTAATTGGCTTTAAGGAGTATTATGGGATGCCCAGGGGCATGAGCACGATCCGGTATACTCGCATCAGTATTCACGCGCGCTTTTCGGGCCAATTTTTCTTTAAGTTTTCCTAGAAAAAGATTGTAATAGGAAAAAAAGATCGTTGTGCAGTGTTTGGATGTAATAATGATCGCCTTTTTCCCGAGAAATATACATTGAAGCTCTCTTTTGACCCGAAAAGCGCGCGTAAATACTGAGCAAGTGCTCCCTGGGCATCCCACAATACTCCTTAAATCTAATAAATTTAATATGGCTGCCGTATCGGTAAAAAGGTCTATTGTACCCTGACAAAACAGCAGAGATTTCGCGTTCGTTGGTTTCCCAACGAAATGACGCCTGAGAAACGAGCAAAGAAATTCCATACTGATGACGCGTCACTACTCAGATCGGGTAGTACTTATTTGATGAAGCAAATTTCTACTAATCAGAGGAATTAGATGTGGGTAGTGACTCGTCATCAGTTTTGTATTTCTTCTCTCGTTAACTTAGAAGTCGTTTAGCGCGAAAACCAGTGGTCGCGTCGGTAGATCAACTGCAGCTTTCCCCATTTAAGAAATTATAGGCCTCTTACCTGACCATGTGATGTGTGAAGGCATCGGGACCACACACAGCAATCAGCAACTCCCGTTCATGTCCAGCAGTAGGGGGAGGGGGTAAAATCTCCAAGAGCATCTCCATGGAAACACGACCTTCGTAACCGTCCCACTCGGGGGTGGGCTGGGATATTGTGTAGAACACTTGAAATCTGAGAGCAAATGAAAAAACAACAAACAACAAAATCGTATGATTTATAACTACTTGCAGGTAAGTTGTTGAATGCGCTGGATACCATAGAAGACAATTGACCCAGTGTAAGACAAACCTCTTCAAATGAAACATAATTCTCGAAGAAATTCGAAGCTAATAAAGAACAGATTTGCAAAACTATTTCACTGTCGAATTAGTTCCGGTCACTACTTGGATAAATTTCTCACCTTTGGCCAGCAGATTCAGCCAGCTCATCCAACTGCTGTTTCCACAAAATGTCTTTCTCTTGACGATTTGCAAACAGGAGTTTGACCGATCTGTAAAATTAAACGTTTCATCGGTGAAAACTCCAAGGTGCTCCCGGAAAATGACCTCGACAACACGAAGGACACGGACAAACACTCGGTGAGTTTAGAGATGGTGTAAGTCTCGCCAGCAGAGAAAATACGGTCGAAACTCTCAACCGACAGCGGTTACCTTGGTGGGAGGGGTGTTACATGACACTGGGGGAGGAGGGAAGGTGGAACGTTTTCATTTAAAGAAAATGCTTAGGTTAGCACACATACATAATAATAGCCTAAGAAAACAGCCTACATTTCGCGATGCCAGCTGACTGGTTTCCCCGCTAAAAGACGTCTGAGTGCAAAAATTCCATACTGATGACGCGTCACTACCCAGATCAGGAGGTGCTTCTGACTGGTACAAGCAAATTTCCCACGCGGCAAGACCAATCAGAAGTACATGTACTAGAGACGCGTCATCAGTAAGGAATTTCTGCGATCGTCTCTCAGACGTCATTTTCCGGGGAAACCAGTGGTGACGTCACGGAGCGTCGGCTGTTTTCTCAGGCTGACATAACAAAATACATAACACATACAGACAATAAACAAAATAACAAAACTGTTTGCAAAGCAGACGGAGTAAAAGTACAGCAACAAGATTTCCTTCGTCTGAGGCTTTGATCTATTAAAGAGTTCAATTAGCTCTATTCTAAATCGCGTTACGGTACTCTTCGGTGGAGATTCCGCCTGAACTTTAGGCCTAGTACAACGGACGGCTGTCTGTCAACAAAATGTACAGGTTGAACCTTATTGATTGTTACAATTTTCCGAAAGATGTTGCACTCGAGGACACCCTACAGTGTATTCATTACTGGTACTGCAGCTACTTACTTTTCATCTGACGACTGCATCAATACTGTCTGTCGAACAAGTCTTACCATTGGTGTGAATCCTGCGGAAAAGAGTCAAAACAAAAAACAATCATTGCTTAGCACAATAGTAAGACATCCAATTATATTTGGTGTGAGATAACAAATATCTTTGTATTCTCGGTAGTAATGTAGAGGTGTTTACTTATGGAGGCAAAATACCTTCCATTGCCTTTTCGTGATGGGGAGGTTTGTGAGATATGAGGGCAGACCGGTCTTCGGGTTGCAGGTTGGGCGTGTTACCAGCACGCAGGGCGTTATTGGGGGGGCATTTAAGGCGGGTTTGAACACTTGAACACTTTCAATGACGCCTGAACAAGGGGCTTAAAACCTCGTCCAGTAAAAACGTCTCAAGGAGACCAAAACAAAATGGGTTGAGACATAATTCGTGGGGGTTCGTGGGGGTTTAGGGGGGGGGGAGGAGGGGGTCATGTCGCCCCTTCTGAAGTTGTGATAGTTCATTGAAGGATGAATGACAAGTGGCCATGGAGAACTAATCTCACTAAATGTCTTGCCTTATACCTGTTCCGGCCGCAATAAGAACTATCTCCTTTGCTTCATTAAGTCGGGATTCTTCAAAGTCTCCAGAGTAATCGCTAAGTTGAAGAATATCACCTGTAAAATGACCAAACAGGTTTTAAGCTGTTCTACACAGTATAACAAGAAATACCAAGTAAACGAATGTCCTTATACAAACGAGGAAAAACACTGATTAACGATGCCTCCTTTGTTTTCAAATACAGTTACGTTTCCTCTTCAACAAAGACAGTCGACAAAAGCAAAGGAATTTAGGGCCTGTTTATATAAGGTTCGTCAGCACGGTTAGTTGGCTCGGTTCAAGCCTCGTTTACTCAATTAAATGTTCGTTATGCTTATATAAGAAGGATGGCTGGTTTGTTGCTCGAGCCAAGATCTCGGCAAGCGGGCTAGCCCGCCTCCTCTTTTCCTTTCATTTTCTCTGACAACTGTTATCATTTAAAAAGCTACATCACTCAAAAGTCTCGGAGTCATTCTTAAAAGACTCGGCTACCCTGTATTTTCCCAATACGTTTCCTATCTGAATATTATATATTTTGAAAATTTCATGAAACACTGGCACTCGCTTTTGAAAAAGGCACATGATTCATAGCCACGTACAGTGCGAAAGAAATAACAATTTTGTGAGCTATCTGTCTAGCTAAAAATCCAGCCAACACTTTCTAATGCTATTAAATCTGCACTATGTAGATGAATCACTTCACAGATCTCAGACAGACCTTGTCTCAAGCAATTTAGAACTTTAGGTCTGTAAATCAACTGACCTGCTACTATGGAAGTCAATGTGGGCGTAAGTGTTCCATCAGGGTAGATTTTAATCATTAAATAGAAGCGCCTGCCGTCATATTCTCTTTCCGTTGCACTAATTTGCAAAGATGGTAGAACCACTGTGTATGGACGGCTGATCTTCATACCTGAAAAAAAAAAACTATTACATGACTAATCACGGTAGTTTTCAGGTGTGGCAGATAGGTGCGACGTAAACCAAAGATGACAAAGGCATTATCTAGCTCGATCAACTATCCCTGAGTATGATGAGGGACTAATCGTATTGTGCCAGCTAGAGAACCACAAAAAATCTTGAATTCCCGACAGTTTTTCAGTTGGCATATTCACCTAATATGTTTGTAACCAGATATGTTTATGAGATACACCTAATTGTAATAACGTTGTCTTTGAAAATGCTGAAAGAAAAATGAAAAAATTAAAAAGGCAAAATAGGAATTTAGTTGGAATGGGGAGTAACGCACTAGTATAACGCGCATTCATTTGCAACATTCCCCTCCAGCCGTCGCATTTGCAGTTGATTTACGACTAAAGAAAACGCCTCTGCCGCAACTGAATGCACCCTATTCATGAAGTAGTTTATTTATTAGCCCAATTAATTCCTTGTTTGCTTTTTTCATTTTCCTTCTTTGGATTTTTCTAAAACAACGCAACCCTATTGCAATTAAGCGCATGAACAGATAATTCTTTTCTTTTGGCTATTAAACACCCTTGACAATCTTTAAATAAATAAATTTAATAATGGTTTGGAGGTAGCACATCCACAAAGTGGTTCTTCGTCTACCTTATTCCTGGTCGAATTTTTACGCAAACATTGACTTATCATAGTATACCTTCAACATCCCTTGTCATGTGTACGTGATATCCTACAGGAACTCTCATGATGACACCATCAGGCAGCTCACAACAAAGTAGCTTACAATTATGCGTCACACTCTCCACTGAGATTAATCTGCAGTCCCATAACCTGGAGTCTGTAAATAGAAAAGGATTTTTTTACTTGCCATATAGCAAGGCGAATGAAATACACTGAGAGCCCTGTTTTTACGTCTCCAACCGGAGACAAGACCGCTTTTTCTACGTGCACGTGGTCATCACCCTTATCCTAGTGAGACGTTTCGCGCGTCTCTGTGACCTCTAAGGCAATACCGGTTGGAAACCTGTACCCGCCACCAATGCCCACCAGGTGAAAGGGTGGAGACTAGACGAAGAGTGATTCTCTGGTCTCCACGTTGGGGTTTAGACATAGGGCTAACGACCCTGTCCTGAAGGTCATATGCCACAGAGACCTTCTGACACGGAGAGACACGATGACGATGACGACGACGATGATGACGAAGATCCGAGCAACGCAAAGATCTTATCCTTTGCGGGGCATTAAGAGTACCATCATTTCTGAGTTATCTGACTACACCCAGCTTTGGATTTCCCCACTAGGACGATACACAACCGTTACTAGCCTGCGTAAAAGGCGCTTGAAAGCAATATGGAGCATTTTCACTCACGTGGCCAAGATCTATGCAAATATATTACAACAAATGAAAGCGTTTACATAAGAAAAGAGATCAACTCCCGCAGGATTGGTTTAGGACATCAACATGGCCTTTTCAGTGTTTTGGGACACCAACATGGCCGTTGTGACGTAATGTGAAAACACTCTACAGGCGCAAGAAGGAACGGTACACTTGAGCGTGTCTCCATTGCGTGTCCCGTTCTTTCTCGCACCCATAACTTCAAAGCGCCCCCTGGTGCGACGGTTGTTACACAACTGTTTATTAACTTTTCGCCCCGGACATTTCCCAAACTCCTCTGTTACCTCTTGAATTTACTTTGGACGTGGAATGTCATTTGTACCAAACGATTTATCACATACGTAAACAAAGCGATCCAGTAACATATGAAGAAGATCTTCGCAGTTTAAGACCGCCCCTCTTATCCCGGTCAAAATTGCAAAGAGGAAGCTTGGAAAACAAAAGTCAGGTTTGTTCATGATTTGAACCCTTGACCTCTGCGATACAAGTGCAGCGTTCTACGATTTGAGCTAACAAGGCAACTGGGTCCAGCTGCTCATTTAGTCGGTAGATTATAAGTCCGTGAAAGATGAAGTGGAAAACTGAATACAGGACTATCATATATTAGAAATGCTCCCTGACGAATAAAACGAAGCAAATGACCCAAATGCTATGATGCTTGGGATTTCTTTATCATATGCCTCTAGACAACACAGAAGTCAGTCTGTGCTTTAGCTTTTAAAATTCCCATTATCTATTTCATTACGTAAACTGTACCTCTATCCTTGTGCATCTTTAGTGAGTTGTTGCCATGGAGACCTCTTCCCAAGTCTGCCCACTGTATCCCAGCAGATTCTTTCGTTAAAAGAAGGTCAACTTTCCCACTATCTCCAGACACACGTACTGTGCCATTAAAGTAAAAATAAATCAATTACTCTTAGGAAATATTAATCATTTTGGATCATAAAATTAATCAGGACAGTGCTCCCTCGACCCGCAAACGAGAGCCAAGAAAACAAATAAAAGTCAGACTAACAGTACATGCACATCCCACAGTGGAAACTGACCACAAGAACCAACTGATACCTCATTAAACATCGATTCTGAGAATGTTTGAAACATTTCGGCCTCCAAACAAAATCTCCCATTTTTTGAAGGAACTAAAATTGTACATTCTGCATCAAGAAATCGAGAAACTGCATCGATTTTATTGTGTGCTCTGTACAGGTATGCTTGTATACCTTCCACAAAACAACAACAACAACAAAACAAACAAACAAACAAAGATTTAGTTCACACACCTTGTTGATGACTTACAGAATTGCTTAGATCTACAAAAGAAAAAAATTAACGTTAATAATTGTGGAAAGATAAATGACTATAAAATGCCAAGTCAGAAATCAACTCTCTGTGCACTGTTTATGGACCAAACGACAACAAGAAAACAAAATGAAAACAAGGAAAAACAAACAAACAACAACAACAACAACACCAACACCAACAGATAAAAATAGATATAACAATCCTTAAATTCTCATCTCAAAGACAGAGACACTAATGGCAATGATTGTGGGAAATTTTCACATTATTGCAACATACCTAAATGTATTTGAAAACTTTTTTCTCCTAAAATAAATATTGCATTGAAGTCCTTGCCATTCTTTAATTCCAGTATAACATCTTCTATTCTTACATCCTGCGCAAGGTACAAAGTAAAACTTGTTCCAAATAATCCGCATTATTAATTTTTACTAACGAAAAACTGAATTTTTTCCAGTTTAGAATAGACTATATTAAAAACAAGTAATGGTACTTTTTACATATTCCACATAGCAAATATTAGTAAAATCCAGTATATCCATTGAAATATTTACCGGTATACCCTGCCCCTCTGAAAAACTACCATATTTAAATATTACTGTACCATGTAGCAATTATGAGGTGGGGTTGACTATGATATGAAGAATTATGCAGACCAAATAGGGTGTTTAAAATTGGCTGAAGCAGAAAATATCCTCTAATATTGGCATAATTCTTTATATTGTACTCAGAAGTCAAATCCAATATTTATTTTTGGTTTTCACTCAAAATATTTCCAACTTCAACAAAACATGTTCACTTGATCTATGTTAAGTTTCCATCTTCATAACTGTTTGCCTATTATTTCAGCTTGTGAAGGGATAAATGGGTGGTATGTTTGCTTTTCTTGATAATGTTTTTATAGGCAGTAGTTCGGCTTTTCCTTATAAAATTCACATGACAGGAAGTTTTTTGACACTTTCCAAAGCTCTGCCAAAACAGCTGAGAAATTGTGTCTTCCACTGCCCCTGTTTTGTCAATATCTAAGTATACAAAATTGATGTCACCTATAATGATTTACATAATTATATAGGCAACAAACACCTTCCAAATTTGGTCAGCATAAGCTGGTCATAACAGTAATCAGAAATGGAGAAATATTATGGATGAATAATAATATCCCTTAAATTATATGTATTTTTCAAACTGTATTTCTCCGCTATACATTTAAGTTATTTTTGTATCAGCAACATATTTGTAAGCACAAATTTATAAGTTGGAAGGGAGGGAGGGGAGGGGTACGGAAGGTAATGTTTAATGTTTGTACAATGTACTGGTCACTTTTAGATAGGTTTACAGGCACCATACTCAGGGTGCAAAGACAATCATTTTTACAGCTTGCCATTCGGGCAAACTGAGGCTAGCATTTACTAGCCCAGACGTCATTTCACCTAGCCCCAGAAGCTTTTCGTCGAGCAGAATTGATTTCACACTTCTTCTGTTATTTGAATTCCTCAAAGAACATCACTTGCCCGTCGGGCAAGTTAAAAATAGATTTCACTAGCCTGATAGCAAAATCAGCTAGACCCGGGCTATCGGACACTACTTTCTTTGCACGCTGCATACTCTTAGAGGTAAAAGTTGGAGAGGATACCATCTGCCCCCTAAATCCTTCAGCCATGAACAATCATTATTTATGCACCATATTCGGTTATCTTCTTAAGCTGAGCCAATCAGCACCTTAGCCTACAGAGCACGGTAGGGAAGACAATCCCTTATATAGCTAAGTATCAGCCAGTAAGCATAAAAGAATTGTACATGTGTATGTCCTCATGAGACAAAGCAAGAATGTTTATTTACCTTTTTCTTGGTAAAAACAGATATTGTGACAATCTTGTCATTCTGATACCAATCATACCTGTAAAGGAGAAGGTGATAAAAGATATAGGAACAAAATGTTAGAATTCAAGAAATACAAATCAAGCAAAGATTATGCAGTTACCTTTTCTCCTTTTTACTTTAAAACTGCTTTGATAATTATGACTAGCAATTTCTTGCAATGCTTGTTTGATTGATTGTATTTCAAATTAGTTTATTGCAATAAATTTTATCATATAAATGCATAAGCTCAGTCGTCTTCAAGAAAACTCAGCCAGGCTATTGTTCCTTTGAGAAAGCATAAAATTATCATTTTTTAAAGAAAATAATATGGTAAAAACTTAGAATGTAGTCTATATGTACACAAGTTAGTGTGCTCGTAACTTACCGTGGATTTGGTGAGTTTAGAGGAGGAACTGGAACAGAAAAGCCATCAACTAATGGATAAACAAAAGCAAGCAACAACATGTAAGGTGTGGCGTATCCAGGGGAGGGGCCCGGGACCCCCCCCCCCCCTCCTAGTTTTAGACCAAACTGAGGCTGAGGGGCGAAAAAATTTTTGGGAGACCGCCCCCCCTTATCTCAACGTCTGGATCCAGCACTGTTAAGTACAGAGTATAGCAAAGAGTTGACGGTTTAATATTAGTGACAGCATAATGATTATCTGAGACTTAAAAGAGAGTGGAGTGAAGTTAGTGGAGCTCGGGTAATAATTATGATGACAAACATAATAAGTATCAAGCAACTCTCCTTAATTTGCCAACATGATCATTTCAGGGTTGCAAAATTATTGTAAGGCTGGGAATGTCTGGTCTTTTGGAAAGGTGGTCACTCATGACAAGCAGTCACTAATGGACATTCAATTAAACCCCAAAGAAGATAAAACAAGAATGCTCGTACAGAGCCTCAGCATTCAGTCTCGCTTGCTTGGAGATTAGATCGAGAAATGAGGAGGTGATTAATTCTACATGAAACAGGATTTACTCACTAAAGGTTTTTTACTTTCTACTTTATCCCTGTTGATATGCGTTGCAGATTATGATTCTCGCTGCTTACACAAACAAGACTAAATATAGAAAACAAACTTTAAGGTGGTTGTTTCAATTGAATGAACAACCTAAGCGGTTGAAAAAGATCTAAACTGGAAAAATTAGCTTTGACTGGAATATTCTAAATAAGTCAAGATAAAACAAAAAAAAGCTATATTTTAAAAAACAGTGATGAGTCAGTACCTTGTGCACCAGGGACAAACAGGCTATTTGAAGACTTTAAAGAGGAAGATGAAACATTGAGAGATTTTCCTGACCCTTTTGAAACAAGTTCAAAGAAAAAAATATATATAAATATTAAGTACTTTTTCATTCACTTTTTTTTAAAGACATTGGCAAACTTTTCAATTTGCTGTGTCATCTGAGTGTGCGATTTAACAAGGGGATTAAAAAAAAAATTTCAGTTTGCACCTGTTCTACTTGGTTTTGTCCTAACCAAGCTGTCTCTCTTCAGAGGGCCAATGAAACACTTTTCAAGCATTGACTCTGCATTCACCCACTTATGTGTCTGGAAAAAGAGATCATTGTTCTCAGTAGTAAAAAATATCACTGAAAAGATTGGCATTTAATGTATTGAAAATGGTAGTGTCTTGATGAAGATTTTGATGTTGATGGTAAAAAGCAGTGCTGATGATGATAACCCTAATATGTAAGATGAAAATTTATGGCAAAATGCATTTTGTGGACTTGTGATCTATGTAATTAGAATACGTTACTGGGATTTTAGCATGCTTTGCACATTTTGCTGTTGCTGGAGTGTATAAACCTAAATAAATAAAGATCATTGCAGTTAAAGTCGCAACTTAATTTTAGTTGCAAAAAAAAGCCTGAAAAAACCTTTCCTGGATATCACAAGAAAACGTAAGGACCAGCTCCCAGTTTGCTTGCTAGCTCAATTGGTATCGCAGAGGTCAGGGTTCGAATCCTGGCAAGCCTAAGTTTTTTCAGGCTTTCTTTCTGCAACTGCATACCTGTAAGTTGCAACTTTACATGTACATGTATAACTGTGATGATCTTCCTTACATTTACTTTGTCATTCCTTGACTCAAATAAATGAAATTCATATATTATTCATTATCACTCTCAGCTCTTTCAATTTACTAAATGAGATACATGTAACCTCAAACAAACACATTTGTGTTTATATGCTCTGCACAATCACTGGCCAGGTTGTTCAGGAGGTGTAAAAGGTCTAGTGACTAACCAGTTGTATTATGATCTACATTTGTTGGCCACTTTTGAGGATAAATTTGTATTTAAAAAATTAGATGGTCCCCAAATATGTGGATTCTTGTTTCCCTTATTCTGTCTGAAATTTTCCCTCAGTGCTGTGCAGATGACAACAAATTTATAAGCCTAATCCAGATCATGAACAAACATTTTAATAAGTCGTGTAAAGAGAGGGTACACCCTTATCTTTGAAGGGCCAGAGGTAGATGCATGATAAGAAAAGAAGAGTAGTATGGACCTACATGTACAAATTATTTTAAGTCCATACCACTTCCTTTCGTAGATCAAGTACACGTAGATCACTGGCTTTGTCACCCAGGTGAGAGAAATGGGATTTACCAATGAAATTTCCAAAGCTTTTCCACAACATTAAGGAAAATGCTGGCCAATTTTTTCACTGCAACTCAATTCTTTAAAAAGACTGCATTTCCTGATCCTCCAAATCTTGTTACTCTTTCTTTATAACAGTTCTGGACCCGGTTTGTTATTATAAGTCAAAATTAATTCTTAATCCTGAAACCTTTATATTAACATTGATAGCTAAAACAATAATTTATTAACCCTAACAGTAAAAGAAAAAAATCTGTTTTATACCTCATCAAACAAATCTGTACCATCCTTCCCCACACCCCTCATAATCTCTGGAATGCCTCCAGGGTGATACTCCAAATAAGGCGTGATATTATATACTCTACCTATCAAGAAAACAAGATTGTTAATATTTTATTGGTATATATGTAAGTGAAGGAATTAAAGGCTAACGTAGGCCCAGATTCTCACAACCAGAACTACAAAAATTCTTGGGACACTGTGATGTTTTTAAGCCAAAACTGGTGTTTATCATACTTTACATGTTTCCTGTACCCTTTCTCTTTATCAAAGTTGTAACAAAAATATCCAAGACAGGGCTTGAAATTGCGACTGATGCAGTCGCCAATGCAACCAACATTTTCTCCTTGGCAACTAAAAATTATAGTTTAGTCGCCACTTTGGCGACCAGATTCCTCTATGATTTAGCTTTAAATTATTAGAGTATAAAAGTTAAAACAAACATTTCATTGTATCTTGCTTTGCTTTCGTCGTAAAACAATGTGCCAAGTCGCATAAACAAAGCCAGTTTACCTCATTATGTACCAACTTCTGTCTGTGATATTTTAAAGCAATCAGATCTGATGCAGGGTTGTCATTAAGAGCCAGGGGCCGGGGATTTTCCCCAGCTACTTTTATTGGAAAATAGAAGAAAAATAGAATCAAAAGAAATCCCTAGCCGTTTGATTCCCCGCCTACTTGTTGTATTTACCCGGCAACTTGAAATCTTAGTGACAACCCTGTGATGGATTGCGCCATACTACTATACAGGCTTCTGACAGGTCAAAGAAAAAAAAAGTCAAATTTTGCAGGATTTTCAGAGACAGATTCCCGGAAAATTTTCATGGCTCACTTTGCCGAAAAACAGTTGGTAAGAAAAGGCCAATTTCGTGAGAATTTGCTGGGCAAATTTTGTTAGAAATTAGAAATTAGAAGAGAGAGAGATTAGAGATTAGAAATTTGTTAGAACAATTTTAGGCTGATTTGATGAACGTGTTCAATGTTTTTTAACAGAGATAATCATTTGCTATTTTAACAACAAAGTGCTCGAGAAATGAGCCAATGGCAAAGCTTTTGACACATGATTAGTGCCCAGTTTTTCCCACCATAATTTATGTAGTTTTGGGCTTGTTGTGGTGATGAAGTTTCAAGATAAATTTGCAAGTTTACAGCTACAATTAAACAGCCCCAGTAGCCGAGATAAGTTTCAAATAATTATGTTGTATCGACATGTATTAATTTTGTTAAGATGACTTGCGAATTTTGCAGCATTTTGCATGTTTTAGTGACTTTTGCGGGATTTCGCGAATTTACCTGAATTTCACGAATTTACCTAAATATCAAAACCCCTGATACTATGAGCTGCTTGACTCATGTACATTATACATACTGGTGACTAAAAATTTGCATCTGGCGACCATATTTCTCCAGCTGGTCACCAAAAGGCGACTAGAGGATTTTTTTCGAGCCCTGCAAGAGTGTATTCAAAACTTGCAGAGACCCATACTGAGGGGCTACTTCCAAAAATTCTGTATAGGTGTGTGCCCAGGAAGGGTACTCCAGATTTAAAGTGATGGGGATGATCAAAGGGGGCAAAGATCAAAACCCCAAAAGATCCCTAGGACTCCCAACAAATCCCTGGACCGAAAATTAACCCCCAAAAAATCTCACGCCAAATTTCCGAGCTTTAAAAATTTCCAAAAGGCAAAAAAATGATACAACATGAAAAATAAAAACATTAGAAATTGATTGTTTGTGTTTGTTTTTTCATCATACCATCTGAAGTTATCATACGCAGGCACTAGCACAAATTTCTAGATTGTTTTGAATACCCAAAAAAATCCCTACTTAAATCAAGCCACCCCCAAAAAAATTCCCACATTTTCCCACCCAAAAAAATCCTTCGATCATCTCCAACACCTGAAATCCAGAGTACCCCCCTGGGGGTGTGTGCCACCCTGGGTCTCTTAAGACCTGACCCTGTTTACATGTAATGATGAAACAAACAAAAACTGATACAATGCACCATTTAAGACCCAAACCTGGAGATTAAGACCCAATTCCAGGGAACTCCAAGTACTCTAAGATAAAGTTCAGTTTTAACACAACTGATTTGTTTCTCATGTAGCTGGGCATATTTTACAGACTTGAATTTTAGCTGATATAGTTCCCTATCTGAGGATCACCACAGGAACAAAGCGCCAACTAGGGCAAAAATGAAACCCTAATGAAAGATGGAAACCCCCAAAACTCTATCGGGCAGCATATACCTATTTATTAAATAAACACCACTTATTATATACATACCAAGATTTACGCGCCAAAAAGCATCAAGATAAAATAGTCTCTTTGTGTTAGAGAAGCCAGATGATTGGTCGTACGATTTTTTTCACAATGAAAAACGACGTATCGACACTCTGATTGGCTATATTATTTTCACTAGTGAACAAAACCGTGTCGCTCACTCGCCGCTCCTAATGACTGACAAATAGCACATTTCTAAGAGCTTAGGCACGTTTTTGTTTAGAAAGATGGCTTCAAATCAGACTAACCATTCTCAGAGCCTAGATTCATCAGTAGAAGAGTTCATAGACAGACAGGAAAATGAAAACACCAAGAAAAAGACCAAACACCATGTTGCTCTGTTCCACAAATTTCTTGTTTTGAAAGGCGAGATGAGACAATTGGACTCCTCAAGAGTGGAACAAGTTTCTCAGCGAGTTCCTTATAATGGTTCACAAAAAAGAAGATAATGAGGAATACGAGCCTAATTCCTTAATGGCATTCTTCACTAGCTTTGAGCATCATTTGAAGAAAAAAAACTATGGATGTTCCGCTACCTCGACCGATATTTGGTCTTGGCCGAGATAGGGCAGCATAACCAGCGAAGTTGAAATTACTTTTTATATGGTAAAAAAGGAAAGAACTTACATAGGCTTGGTTGATGTGAAAAAACTAGAGAGTCAATAAGACAATGACTATTATACTTTGCTAAAGGAAATCCGAGCGTAACAGATTGACCAATAATAAGGATTTACGACAGATACTATCTCTAAAATGACTAACCTACGTCTCAAGCGGAAATAATCACGAAACAGAAAAATGATTGTTTATATAATGTTCAGTGGCGTGACGGCACACTCCTCGCCTGGTATTCGAGAATACCACTACTGACTAAATTGTTCGGTAAAGTGAGACAAAAAATAAAGAGGGAAAAGTGTCAGTGATCCAGCTGGATTCATTGGGTCTCTGACGGCAGCAGGATGGTTTCTGTAACTGGGCGTTTATAATGCCTCCTTGAGCTCCCACCTAAGCGGTTACTAAGTCTACCCTGCGCACCATTCCGTCACTGTCGGTGTGAGCTCTGGTGACCCTAGCGAGGGGCCAGTCGTTCCTTGGGGGCGTCTTTGCAGCGGAGAATGACTAAGTCGCCCTTCTGCACGTTATGGTCGTGTTTTGCCACTTTCACGCGCGGTTGCAGCGTTGGAAGGTACTCTCTCCTCCATCGCGACCAGAAAACATCGGCTAGGTGTTGGACGCGTTTCCATTGTTTGTGTGACAGGTTCGCAGCACTGAATTCCCCAGCTGGCGGTTTCAGGTGTTGCGGCTTATGAGTAAGCAATGTCGCTGGGGTCAAAACTTCAGGCGCGTCTGGATCGTTGGAGACTGGAATGAGCGGCCTAGCATTAATGATAGCCGATACCTCAGCCATCAGGGTTGTTAAGACTTCGTGTGTGAGGTTTTTCGGCGAGACATCCGCTAACATGGCTTCCAATACTCGTCTCGCCACGCCTATCATTCTTTCCCATGCACCGCCTGTGTGCGAAGCGTGGGGTGAATTAAATAGCCACTCGCAACCTTCCTTCAGCAGATATCTTTTAACAGGGCTAGCGTCGGAAGGTTTTAGCACTGCTTGAAGTTCGTTGCATGCTCCTACGAAGTTGGTGCCGCAGTCTGAGCGAAGCTGGATGACCGGTCCCCTTATAGCTAGGAATCTGCAGAGTGCATTAATAAAGCTCGAAGTATCCATAGACTCAATGACTTCAATGTGCACTGCACGGGTTGACATGCAGGCAAATAGTACGGCCCAGCGTTTGCTGTGAGCAAGGCCCCCTCTGGTCCTCCGGGCGCAAATCTGCCAGGGGCCAAATACATCGAGCCCAACATAGCTGAGCGGGGGGCGGGACTAAGTCGTCCACAGGTAGGTCGGCCATTTTTTGGATCTGGCATTGACCTCTCAACTTCTTACATTTCACGCACTTCTCAATGATGCTGTTAATCAATCTCTTTCCTCCCAAGATCCAGTGCCCACTTCTGCGAAGTGCACCGTGCGTTAGAACTCTTCCCTGGTGCTGTACTCTTTCATGGTAATGTCTGATCAGAAGAGATGAGACGTGACTCGACTTGGGCAGGATAATGGGGTGCCGCTCCTCGTTGGCTAGGTCTGCTTGGTTAAGTCGTCCGCCTACTCGAAGGATTCCTTCTCCGTCTATTATGGGGCTCAGCTTCTCTAGAACGCTCAGTCTGGAAACCTTTCCTGAGCATGTGATGCGTTCAATGTCTTCGCCAAAGGCTTGCCGTTGGACACTTTTGATGATGACAACCTTTGCTTTATGATAAGACTGGGTGGCAGTGATATTGTCCTGCGAGAGTATTTCATTCTTTGATCGTGCAACGGCGATCAGCTTTGCGATTGCACCTTGAAGTTTGGACCATTCTGAAAACCTGCTGAAGCGCTCTGAGCCAATGGTCGAGCAGACTTCTACGTGAGTAGCCAAGACATTAGAATCTTTGCGCACCTCTGGATCGTCGGGAGAGATTTCTGCGTCCGTGTCCCTATCGTTGGTGACAGTTGTAAGGCTGTTGTACAGAAACTTTGGACCCCTATGCCACGTGCTCTCTTTTAATTTACTTGCTTCGATTGATCGTGTAGCTAGATCTGCAGGGTTCAGATTGGTAGCGACGTACTTCCATTGGTGTGGGGCTGACGACCTACAAATGCGCTCCACGCGGTTGCTGACGTAAACATAAAATCGGCGGGATTCATTTGAGATGTAACCCAAAACGACTTTGCTGTCCGAGTAGTAGGTCACTGAGTCCGGTTTCCGTTCTAGTTCTTCGTGGACAAGGTCAGTCATCTCAACCCCAAGAACGGCTGCGCAAAGTTCTAAGCGAGGTATTGTTGTGGCATGCGCTGGTGTCAACTTGGCTTTTCCGAGCACAAATGCTACTTGAACCTGGCAGGTGTTGTGGACAATTCGTAGGTATGATACTGCGCTGATTGCCATCTCGGAGGCATCGCAGAAGGTATGCAGTTCAATGCGAGCGGAACATTTTAACGCCTCTGTTCCGTAAGAGCGGGGAACCTTGATATCTTCTAGAGCTCGTAGAGAATGACACCATTCTTTCCATTCTGCCTCCCTTTCTGCAGGTAGAGGGTAGTCCCAGGCATCGGGGTGTGAGGCGCTAAATTCCTTACTCAGTGACCTGAGTAAGTGTTTCCCTTTAATGATGACTGGTGCTGCAAGGCCCAGGGGATCATACAGGCTGTTGGTAACCGACAGAACTCCTCGCCGTGTAAATGGTTTTTCTTCTAGCAGCACTTGGAAGGTGAAAGAATCGGACTGCAAGTCCCAGTAAATTCTAATGATCGCTGCATGGGAAGGGGCCTTTGTTGAAGTCTAGGTTGTGGAGGCCACTTGCATGATCTTCAGGCGGGGAAGGCGTCCATTACCGGGCGTGACTTGAGGCAATTTTGTGCAGGCGAAGGTTTGCAGTGGCTAGCATGGCCTGAGTGCGACGTAGCAAATCTATCGCCGTGGTTGGATCCGGGGCGGAATGGAGGCCATCATCTACGTAAAAATTGTGGTGTCTGAACGACTTTGCGTCTGAACCGAACCGCTTCTCCTACCTCGGCAGTCTTGCGAAGGGCGTAGTTAGCTACTGCTGGTGACGAAGTGTTCGAAGATATGAACTTTCATTCTGTACTCCGTTATCGCGCCGTTTGGGTCGTTATCCTTGTACCAAAGAAACCGTAGGAAGTCTCTGAATTCCTCTTTTACCTTGAAAGAGTGAAACATTTGCTCAATGTTGCCTACCAGAGCGACTGGATCCTGACGGAAACGTAACAGCACCCCAAGAAGGTTGTTAGTGAGGTCAGGACCCGACAATAACAGCTTGTTAAGAGACACCCCGTTAGATTCAGCAGCTGAATCGAAGACTACACGTATTTTGTCCTTCTTCTTAGGGTGATATACGCCGAAGTGAGGTAGGTACCAACAAAGTTTGTCTGGTCTCAGATCTTCCTGTGGAACGATTTCAGCGTGATCGTTATCGAAAATCTTCTGCATGAACGTAAAATACTGTTCCTTCATAACTGGGTTTTTATCTAGGGTTCGGCGTGTAGACGTAAGGCGTTTCATAGCATTCACTCGGCTACTGGGAAGATCCTTGACGTCGTGTCGGAAGGGCAGTGGAGCTTCCCAGCTTCCGTTTTCATTCTTTTTCATACCATCCTCCATGATTTTCAGGAACCTGCGATCCTCAGTAGAAATTCCGGGCTTATTGTCGTGATTTGTTCGTACGAACACGTTGCGCCCTAGGCCATCGTCAAAGGGGCTGCCTATGGGGGGTGTGTGTTCTTCTTGGCCGCCCCAGGCTGTAGGAGAGGTATCGTGTTTAAGGTAGAAGCGGTTTGGGCAGGGGATGAACAGGGAGGGTCGACCGTTGTATAGGACTTGGGCCTTGAAAGTAGAGACTTCTACTGGTTTGTGGGCGCCATCGAGACAGGTATTTCCAAGTACTACCCAACCAAGGTCCAACCGCTGGCCCCAAGGCACGTTTCTGGGTCCGTTGCGTGACTCATGAACCTTGTGCAGTGCGGGGATATCTCGCCCGACAAGCAGCAGAACCTCCGCTTCCTTATCAAGTGTGGGAATCTTGTTTGCTATCTGAAATAGGTGCGGGTGTGCTCGTGCAACCTCTGGTGTGGGAATTTCTTCTCGATTGTTTGGGATCTCATCGCATTCCGTTAGCGTTGGCAACTGATACCTTACTTGCTTGTCTAAGGATTCTATTACCAGTCCGTGCGCACGTCTCCCGAGGGTCTGCTTGACGCCAGAACAGGTCTTGAGGGTGTACGAAGTGGCTGAGCCTTTAATGTTTAGCTTGTCGAAAAGTTTGGCTCTAGCCAGGGAGTGATTGCTTTGGTCGTCTATAATAACGTAGGTTCTAATCGTTACATGGGGCGCGCTCGGGTCATAGACGTCAGCCAAACATATTTTCGCACAGGATCTGCCGATTCCAACGGTGTTTTGACCGCATACTTCGGTACACCTGTTAGTCACGTCCGGAGGCTCCGTTCTTTGGGAGGTCTCAGCTTCCTGCTCCTCGCCGTGCTTCTTTCCCGTCTTGCTGAATCGACTAGCATCTCCCTCTGCCCCATCAACATGAAGCGCAGTCACGTGTCTGTCGCTGTGGCATATTCCGCAGTTTGGGGTGAAGGTGCAGTCTTTCGCAGTGTGACTGGATGATGAAACGCAGCGAAAACAGATGTGGCGCCGTGCTAGTAAGTCCAGGCGCTCAGAATACGGTCTACTTCTTAGTTCGCGACAGACTCGTAAGGGATGAGGTCTTTCGTGAAGGAAACACCACTTGTCAGGACTCTCGACGGACTTTACTTTTTCAGGGATTTCGGGAGTTGTAACGGCAGTTTTAGCGGTCGATATGCCATGGAAACTGTCAGATTCATCACAACTTTCTAGCGTTAGGTAGGGGTCGTTTCTTTCTTTAGCGACTTCTTGAATAAATCGCGAAAATTCGGCAAAAGGGGGATAGTCTACCACTTGCTGTGTTTTGTACTTAAATGCGTGTTTTTGCCATCTCCCTTGTAGGTCGGCGGGGAGCTTGGCGACGATAGGCCTCAGATAGGCAGGTTCATCGAGAATTTGTAGGCCCTTTATTCTTCCATCATTTTTGGCGCATTGTAATTCTAGAAGCAAATCCCCAAACTCTTGAAGCTGTTTATTGTTTTGCATTCCTATCTTGGGGAACGAGTTTATTTTCTGGAGATGAACTTACGTGACCACAGAGTTTGAGCCAAATCTCTCTCCTAATTTGCACCAAACTTCCTTTAACCCTTCCCCAGGGTTGTCAATATAAGCATTGCGGAGTCTTTGCGCAAGTCGTTTTGATTCGTTAGTGGTGTACTCGATAATTAAGGAAAGCTGTTCACTGGGGCTTATCTTCACTCCCGCGATCATATTCTCGAATGACCCTCTCCATGTGTGGTAATTCTCTGGGCGGTCGTCAAATTTTTCGATTTTGTTCGATATAAGCTCTCTACGGGCCATAAACTCAATGTAGGTACCCATGGTTGTTTGAACTGGATCGGGTGTAGGCGTAAAGGGTGGGGAGTTTGGGTTGAGCTCGCTGTAAAATGGGATTTTCTGCCTTGCCTCTGGTTCTTGTTTAACCTTTGCCCCAGGCTCGTTTTTAGGGTGGTGTTTTTGCTCCGAATGCAAATCTTCCCCTTTGGTGATGTCATGGGAGAGACAAAAGGACTCTTCGTGTGAATCTAAATATTTTTGTACGCGTTCCTTTGGATTTACTTGTGGTAAATTTGGCAGGGAAGGCGTTTGAGAGTGAACAGAGGCACCTGACAATTGCAACTCGTCCTCGATGGCTTTAGCCTTTGCTAACGCGATCGCTGCCTCTTCGTCCAAGCGTAGCGCTTCGAGCCTGGCTTTTTCGCTTCTCTTACGCCTAGCAAGGGCGAGTTCTTCTTCTTCTATCAGCAGCGCTGAGCGCGATTCGATTTCAATCCTTTGTTTATGCAACTCGGCCTTTTTTACTGCAGCGGCGGCTTTCGCCTTGGCTTTTAGTCGCGTGGATGTCACGGAGTTGATAGATCCTGTCGTTGAACTTCTTATAGACTGCGCCTCTAATAACAAGCTTTTTATCAGTTCATCACTATCTTTTATCACACTGTCTAAAAATTCTTTGCGCTTGGCCGCAGTTTCCTCTAATTGTTTTCGTTCATCTATAATTTTCGTCCTCTGAGTCTGGCAGTGGGATTTGCTCGGGTGACCAGGGCAGGAAACTTGGGCCGTCCGAACGTCTGGGACGGGTAACTTTTCCGTTCGGACAAGGAAAAACGTGATCCCAGCTGTCCGAATGGACGACTGAGTTGTAGAGGTCCAACTTAAAAAAGGTCAAGAAACTATACTTCCCTGTTTTCTTTGGATATATAATAAAATATTCTTTCCGTAATTAATAACCTAAGTGCTCTAAAAAATAAGTAGCTCTTACAGAAAGTAAAATAAAATATCATTTTGTTTACGTTGTGTGTTTGATTTCGTCGTGCGAGGTGCCGCCATTAAATTCCATGTGAGTCCTGCTGTACAACATAATTAAATAGGAGGCTCACGATATCGCACGTGCTTGTCAGTCAGGTTTCAGCGAGTTTCAGCGCTTTTCTTCAAGCGTCATGTCTTTGTTTCAGTCGACACTTACTAGCTTTTCAAAGAGGTCAGCACCGGAAACACATGATGCAGATGATGGTACTAGCAATGTTGTACATTTCAAAAAAAAGTATGAAACGAAGCGCATAAGAAAGTTTCAACCAGCGTGGCAGAAAGAGTTCGATTGGGTTGTTTATCAAGAATAAACAAAGCCAGCCATCAGCAACTGGTTTCTCAGCAGTAAAAGGAAAAGGCACTTTGTTTCGGCATCTTGCAGTGGACATTCAAGCATTGCAAAGGGGAGAAATGACAGTGCTAGTGGAGCAACAGAAATTGTAGTAGAAGGAGAGGAAGAGGAAGAAGAAATTCTACCGCCACTTCCCGAACTGCCTGAATAAACACAATGACTAAAACAAATGTATCAAAAGATATGTTTTTTCAATTTGTGGAGTTCTGTTAGTTTTAATTCTACGAGCTAAAATGAAATATGAAGTTTATATATTACCCTTTAGTATTGTTGTGGTTGTCTATTTTTGGACAAGTAGTTTTGTGGTTCGGACAAGCAAAATACACATTGTACTTGTCCGAAGGGACAAGTGAATTGAAAAGAAAGTTTCTTGCCCTGGTGACTGAACTCCCAAATCATCTTCGTTGTGGTCCATAGCTTCTGGCGATCAGCTCTGTTTGTGTGCTGCGTAGTTCTCCTTTTTTACTGTTCCGCTACCTCGACCGATATTTGGTCTTGGCCGAGATAGGGCAGCATAACCAGCGAAGTTGAAATTACTTTTTATATGGTAAAAAAGGAAAGAACTTACATAGGCTTGGTTGATGTGAAAAAACTAGAGAGTCAATAAGAAAATGACTATTATACTTTGCTAAAGGAAATCCGAGCGTAACAGATTGACCAATAATAAGGATTTACAACAGATACTATCTCTAAAATGACTAACCTACGTCTCAAGCGGAAATAATCACGAAACAGAAAAATGATTGTTTATATAATGTTCAGTGGCGTGACGGCACAATGGACTTTGCCTTATGAAAGACGTCCAATTCGAGCAAACTCGGAAAGGGCTTCAGTCAAAGCAAAGGGATCTAAAACGGAAAGGCAAGGGCAACAAGCCTAATGCTTCTGCTAGTTTAAGTGAGGAAGATATTGAAGTTTTGTATGAAAAGGATCTCTTGGGAAGTTCCACGGCAGAAGCGCTTTTAAACACAGTGTGGTTCAACAACACAATCCATTTCAGGTTACGAGGCTGCAAGGAGCACAGAGAGATGTGTTGGGAAGATGTAAAACTTTGTCAAACTTCCACAGGGCAGGAGTTATTTGAATTCAATGAAAGAGAAACCAAAACTCCTTCAGGAAATGATCCTCGGAATGTAAGAGCCATTGCACCGAAAATCATTGCTGTGCCGAACAATGAGAAATGTCCAGTAAACGCCTAGGTTGTCTACGCAGAAAAGCGACCTGCGGAAATGAAAACTGACGATGCACCATTTTACTTGGCAGTAAACAATGTAAAATCTGGTTCCAGCAAACCTTGGTTCAAAAAAGCTCCAGTCGGAGTAAATAAGCTTAATACCGTAATGAAAACTATGGCACAGAAATTTAGCTGGACATGGGCCAAACTTCAAAAACCACAGCGGCAGAAAAACTATGATTCAAACTTTAGTCAACAACGACATGCCGCCAACTGATATTATGCAACTGCCAGGACACAAAAACGTTCAACGTATCACTAGCTACTCTACTGTTTCACAGAAACAACACTTAAACATGTCTCACACTCTCACTGGAGTCTGAATTCAGGAGAAATCGCTCCCTCAGGCTGGCTCTTCTATTCCGGAGAAAAGGAAGCACGAGTTTGACGAACTCACTCATCCAACATTTCATTCAACTTTTTCTCAGCAAAGCAAGCAAGCAGCACAGCAGCCCCTTTCTCTTTTTTTGGGTGCTGTTATAAGCGGAGAACATATCAGTGTGGCGATAAACACTTTAAATCAATCGCCCACACTTTCAGTGCCAGAGAAAAACCCTAGCAAAACTTAAAAGAGAATCAAATCTCTTCATTTGGATTCCGACTAGTGTTTGTCAATTCAAGCATGTGGGTTCTGATAAGCAACAAAAAATGAAGTCTCGGGTTCTCATTTCTGTATTTCAAATTTTGAACTTCCGTAGAACTATTTCGACAAATGTTCAAGATATCTTATTTTACTATAACTAGTTCTGCCTTTTAACAGCATTTTTGCTTGATAATATAGATGTAAAGTATTTCACAAGGAAGCCATTTCAGTGCAACTCTCGAACTGTGAGGCGGCTTGACCGCATGTTGTTTTCCTTTGAAAGAAAATAAAGATATGTTTATCTTTGAGTTCTGTTCACTTATGAATCTCTGTATGTATATAATAAATAAGTTATTTCACGATTAGTTCACTTGTATGATTTTTATTCACTTGTTGTGTGAACACAACTTGTGAATAAAAATCGCATGCGCTCACCAACCATGAAATAACCTATAATGAAATACCAGGTGTCAGAGCTTTCACGCAAAAACTTGATATCTTTACATGTGAAAATATCACCATTGCTATGGCTACATAATAAATCGTGCCTTTCACACCAAAAAACTATTAAAGTGAAATGGTTTGGTATTTCATTGGTGTTTATATTATAAATAGAACATTACATGGCCGCTTGGAGATACGAAATTTCTCTTCTCGTGTAGAAAAAATATTTTACTGTTTTTCAACAGTCAAAGAGAAATTTCGTATCTCCGTGTGGCCATGTAATATCCTCTATCTAGCCCATACATCTACCGTATAAGGGAGCATTCCCCTTCTCTAAGGCCCCATACTCTTATTATGCTGCAATCTCATAAGGTTTCAAAAAAATTAATAAAAAGTAAAGTCTAAATATGTATGCATACTATGTAAGGGATTGTAAGGAAAGATACCAACCCCTACAGTCTCTAAGGCCCAGTTCAAATGGCGATCTTTTCATGTACCGAACTTGATACCTATTTAGGTCAACCCAAATGATATAAGTTCAACCTTTGATTCAGACATCGAACTTTAATAGTCGGACTCAATTCATTTTCATGATGTCCAAAGGTCTAAAATGCTTGTAAGTGAAAATGAATTTTAGTAATTTATGCATTAGGTTCAGCACATAAGAAGTTCGACATTTGAAACGAAGTCGCTCCACAGTTGAAAATTCCCGTGTGGGCCACTTGATCTTAATTCATAAGTCAAATCCAAATTAGATATGTTGAACTTCATTGATTCAAACGTCGATCTTTTCATGTTCTTAATTGAAGGGATTAGGTTCGGTACATGAAACGATTGACACTTGAACTGGGCCTAAGTTTCCTTTACAAATATGTATATTCAGAGCAGCCTACGTGGTACTGGGATGAAGTGAGTTGGGAGGGTGATGTTGGCAAAACAAATCTTTTGTTCCTTTTCGATCTACTCTATGCTAACTGCGTGAGGTTCTGCTAGACAGGCACAGGTGAAGTTCAAATGACGTATTCTTTACGTGTAAGCTTATAAGCAGGTGACAACAACTGTCACTGATATTGCATCATAAAATAACTAAGGTACCCACGCTCTGAGTGGCCGAGAGGCATGTTTGCATGAGAGTATGTAAACATGGTGTCAAGATCTTTTGCTTTTCGCGCGCTAAGCACAAATTTTAAAAAGTTTTTGAGAATTCTCGACAGTTATACAAACCCTCTACTTCGTCTCGGGTTTGCATAACCGTCTCGAATTCTCCCAACCCCTCTCGTGTTTATATCAGGTTATGCAAATTTTTGCTTAAATATTGTCAACTGAAACTCTCAGCAACAAAGCATTTTGCAGTAATAAGCAATTGATCTAACTTAGTATTATCTTAGTTACATTACATCAATAAGATAAATACCTCGAATACAAATCCAAGCATCGGTCTCCGTGTTGTGTTTGCTGAGTTCCTCCATCGTAACAGGACGAGCGATTCCACCGGTTCCTGCTAGGTCTTGGCTACTTTTCCCTAGTCTGATCCAATCCATCAAACTTCTACCGGGTTTCAAAGGTACAACCTTGGCTCTGACGTTAAAAGAGCCCGAAGAATTCGCCCTTTGAGGCGAATTTTCCGCCGGGAAGCTTATCTTGGGAGCTGTCATGGCGCCGTTGTCGTTTTCAGCATCACGTGTTTGTAAACTTTCTGTATTGTGGTTAGCCGCTGAAATGGGCTGAGTGGTTTTCGAGCCCGAACAACCCAGCTTGGCGATTGATGATCGGCTACAAAACGCTCTCTTAACCTTCCAGCAGAGTTAAATAAGCACAATCGAGGCAGTTTGTGAGGTGTTAAATAGCTCTATCGGCAAGCTTTTAAGACTTGCAGAAAAATTAATCAGACTGGCGGTTTGGTATAAAGTCAACTGATCAAAATGAAACGAAAACAAACTTAGCTTCAGTGACACCTTGTCTAACAACGTACATGTAAAACAAATGAAACATGTTGTAGTGATTAATTAAACCGGAGTATCTCTCTCTGTCGTCATGGAATACAAGAAAATGTAAATTTATTTGTTTGAAAGCGGCTCATCAGATGAGCTTATCAATAAATTATGAGTCCGGTTTCACAGGTGCGTGACCCTGGTCACGTCACTAAGGGAAAGTTCATTTAATATGACAAGGGGGGGGGATGAAGATATTGAGGGGGGGCTCCGAAAATTTTTAGACACCCGAAGGGGGGGCTCTGAAAAAATTGTTGCGTTAGGAGGGGGGGCTCCGAAAATTTGTATACTTCAAAACCAACACATGACATCATCATACAGATCGGATGGTTTTCAACTCAACAATTTAATGACCTGTGCAACTCAGCTATATCACATGGTTTACAGATATAACAAATGTAGTCTCAGTAATTATTACACTCTTGTTCATCCCAAAAATGCTTTAGAAAATTGTATCACAACTGTATCTCAAGTTTGTCATAGTATAAACCATTGAAGACAATAACGGTAAATATATTTAATACAGTCTAGCGATCTTTTTTCAGGGGAGCAAAGGAATTGAAGGAGGAGGGGGGGGGGGGGCTCTGAAATTTTTTCGACTACCAAGGAGGGGGCTCCTAAAAAATTGAACCGCTAGCGAGGGGGGCTGCTAAAATTTCAAGCTTCGAGTTTCAATATCTTCATCCCCCCCCCCCTTGTCATATTAAATGAACTTTCCCTAAAGTCGCCCGTTTCGGTCCTTACTTCTGACTAGGGGTCTCCTTGAGGCAGAGGACGGTGAACGGTCATTCGTCAAAGAACTGAAGAGCTTCGCAGAATTCAGTGTGTGTCTACTCAGTGTACATTTTTGCTGGTCAGGTCTTTTATAGATCCTACGTTTTGCGGCATATTCGTTTGCGGTCCTTTGCAGTCAACAATTTATTTCTCTCTGGTTTAAATAAAGATGTTGTTGTTGTTGTTGTTGTTGTTGTTATAAACGTTGGCATATCAAGGCGCACAGCCACTGATTGAAAACAAAGGTGGGGCACGATCAAGTTCAGTTAAAACCGACCAGACGCGCGCAACGCCGCGACCTACCACTCTCATGGTAAGCAATTATGCTGAAGGTGTTAATGTTTTTGTGACAGTCTTCGCACTGAAAGTGTAAATGATTAACCGAGCGGTCGCTTTGATTACTGAGAAAGACCTGTCAACTTTGATAATTTAACTGATTAAATTACGGGACAGAAATTTTACTGCTTCCCGCGCTCCTCGTGTCTCTCTATCGGATCACTAGAGGCATCTGAAATAAGAGTCCATCAGCCACGAGAAGGCATTTTTTCATCCTTCTTAAACGAAAATAACGTTTTAACCTACATTCTAGAAGATGAACATTCACCTGTTCCACAACGACGTCATTGAGATCACAATGATCTGAAATATATCTTCATCAGCGGCGTTTAAATTTCATTTTCCTTGAAATCTCTCACAAGAGTTCAATTTTATCTGACTTTGTTGAATCTTATTTTTGCCTGACCATTTCCTGACGTTTAAAGCCAAGTATGATTAAAATAAAATCGCAAATCTTAGCAATATTAAACTGCCAGGATGTTTATTCCTAGTCTTTCTTCTTTTTACACCGGGGCTCAGCTGGCAAAATTCTATACAACTCAGATTAGATGAAATGTCCCTGATAAATGCATGTTTCATCATCACCTGCATTGATAAAAGTGATAAAAATAATTCTGCTTCAGTGGTAAAAATTACATTTTAAAAACATTAATATATTATTTTATCATTAAAAAGTATTTACAGGTCCTCACTTGGAATTTGAAGCAAAATAAGAAAAAAGAAAAAAGTACAACAACTGCTCCAGTGGAAGAAAGAGTAGATTCGACACCGAGTTAATATAGTGCGCCTTGTCTCAACTGGAAAGTAATGCATGTGAGGTGCCGGATTTGCCTTGTCAAAAATACATTAAAAGATATGTAATAAGGTTCCTGATGGTGAATCGAGCCTCCGGCAGAAACCCGTACAAAGACATAAAACAGTTCCAAGAACCAGCGTATAGACCTGTTTCATAACGGCAGCCCATTTATTTATTCTCTCATAATATGTATACAAATGAGACAAACCCGACAGCTATGTCATGCTGATGAGCCCCAATAAGGGCGAAACAGCTGTCCATGGCTGCCACTGCCCGCGTGATATGGCTGTGCGCATGTGTGAGGTACTGACCAGGCCGTGGGTTGGTGTATGTGTGCCCCTTGCTTTAAGTTTGTCGCATATAAATGAGCCTTTTTGGTCTGGTTATGTAGGTCTACTCTTAAGGTCTTTCCTGATTCGTTCTTTGAAACAATGTCTTTGAAACAATGGTAATTCATTTTTTGGTCTCGTTTCAAAGTAAGAATTCTTTTATATTTTGCACATGCTAACGAGGTCAGAAACTGGCTAATTATCATTTCTATTAAAGTACTTGGGCCGCTATAATGAAAGAGGTCTGTTTGTGACTCGGAGACGTTTTATGTCTTTGCAAGTGTCTCAGAATAGTGTTCTGATAGATTCCGTAGTTTTCGATACAGGTAATCATTTGAGATAAAAGACTACGTCAGTCGAGCAGGCGTGGATCTAGGATAAATACTGACCGATTTCTTGAACGAGCGCCGAAGGCTCAGAAGCGGGGGAGGGGGGCATGGTCCTCCGGGAAATGTTTTAGATTTTAACTCCCTAAAGTCCCCTTTGCTGGGTTTCCAAGTCATTCAGACAGGATAGTGGCCAGTTCCATTCACGTTAGATGAAGCCTTGCAACTTGGAAAGTTTTTTATTTATTAAAAATATATCCCTAATGAAAAATCAGACAGATTTCCGTTAAAGGGTGGAACCGGTGTGGATCCGCACCTGTCGAGAAACGTTGACGTTGGAGCTTTTTTAATGGCAAGATTAGATCTGTTAATTTATCACTGTTTCTTTTTCAAAATAAATCAACCGACTTCCAATAGACGGCTTTTGAAAGTCGGTCGGTTAATAATTTTGGAAAAGAGCAGGAAAAAAAAGAGACGGGCTGGTGCAGGGTGTGGTCGAGTCATTTGCCATTATCTGAAAGCCTGGAACAAGCTAGCGTTGTGGAAATAAAAAGGCTGTTTACATGAGCTGGGTGGGCCTGGTTTTCTGGGCTGGGTCGCTTTGGCAAGATTGCCCCACGACTTTCCGATTCTTCATTAAATCCCTTGAAGAAGGACGGCTCGTCCGTCCGAAATATCGGGAAACCTCAAGTCGCTTTTGTCTTTGCTGTTTTGTTATTTATGTCTATATTTTTGTCTTGGATGAAACAGCAGGATTTGGCTGTCGTCATTTTATATACAAAGGCTATCTGAAAATCTGGAATCAACATGTCGCAACACTGGGATGAAAGCCACCTTTGCAAAGCGAGACAACTCGGCTCATGGAATCAAATTTGGCTCTGTGAATACGTATCAGGATAATTTTGAAAACAGAGAGTTGTTTTCTCCTTTGTCACAAAGTTATGCTTTCGTTTGCGCCCGTCCATATGAAAACGCTAAAACGATGGAAATACGATAGCATCCCAAACAGGGTGGGAGCATGCGTAAATGCTCGTAGTATATGGTGTGACATCATGCATCGTAGTTGAAAATCTTCGTTTTCTTCCGTCCATACGCAAACGAAAAGCCGAGGTTTTCAAAAGTCTCCACTCTGGGGACGGTTTTTTAAAAACTGCTTTTTTGGTGCCCGAAAACGCCGTTTACGTGGAAAAGGAAGGCTACAACGGAGAAAAAAATCCCCATCAACTCAGCACTACCACAGGTACCCCAAGTTCAAGAGTGACAATCGTTGTCGCGTAACAAAAATATTATAAGGGTTTGTATAGGGATTTCAGCGATCGTTATTTAGGGGTCAAATACATTAGAATTTATTTCCTTGTGTCCTCGTCTAAATTTATAGTGTTTTCTTAGCATTTTTGGCCGTTTTAGGACGATTCCAGCGAGTTTTAGTTCTGCTTTTTATTACTAGTTTTGACCACTAAATAATGATCGCTTAAATCTCCATACAAACCGTTATAATATTTCTGTCAGGCAACAACGATTCTCACTCGTGAGCTTTGGGTACGTGAAATACATGTATCTGGTGGATATGGCTGGTGTGGATGGGGCCTTAAGAACAATAAGATAGATTGAAAGGATGTATAAAACCTAAATCACTAAAACCTTTTACTAGCATGCAAAAAGGTGAAGTTTCGAAGTTGTTCTTGACTCGCTAAATTAGGGTCATCACGCAACGCTCCTCCCCACTAAGAGGAGAGGAGTGAGGAGGGGAGAGGAGCGTTGCGTGACGACCCAAATAACGGCTGCGAAGGAGACTATAAATGCCTTGAACACGAGGCCAACTTTTCGCGAATTAATCAGATAGTGGGGACGGTGGTTGTTGTTCGCGCGCCCCTCTCCATTATCTGAACGTTTGGAACAGGTCAACTTCCAAAGATACCTGAAAATCGGACCACTTGTCATCATATTGTCTACATCTCTATTTTTGCTATTCATAGGTCTTGATATCATAAAACTTGCGTTAAAGAACAGTCTCTCTCTCGACTACAAGAAGTTTGCCACTAATTTCTGTAGAGCCGTGTAGGAAACATCGCTTCTTGACAGAAGCCGCTTTCTTGGACTCCAGAATCGGCTGTACTTCAATATCGCTGTCACCAGCCTCAGAAGCAGATTCTTCTGTGCACTCAAAAGAACTGCTCTGATTATTAGTTTGACCACAGTTACAAATGAGTCCTCTGTCGTCCATAACGTAGAACTTGCTGTGTTTTCTTCGCATATATTCAACGCCAAAAAGTAGGAGACAGGAAAATACGGCGACCGCACCGGAAATGTAAAACGCCTCATCATATGAGCCAAATTCCTTGTACAACCAACCTGCAAGTGAAAAACATTCAAATATTTCGACGTTTATGACTGGCTCCAACCCCCCCGTTAATTCTTCACAACCAACTAGCACTTACCATATTTGGAAGATGAGATTGATAACAATTATTGACTGAAACTGAGTATGATCCCGGGGAGAGTACTCAACAAAGTTTTGCACGGGGATGCTCCGCTCAAAGGTCCGACCCTTTTCCCTTTTATATACCATGCATTTTTACAGAAAAAGGTACCCCTTTCGTATACCTTCTATCATGTGGCAAATCATACCTCTTTCACATACCCATTTTAGAACACTGCATCTCTTTTAAATGCTGTAATTGAACTGTCTTCTAAAACTGAATAACGTCAGTCAGTAAAGTAGAAGTTTCGACTTCTATATAACCACAAGATGCAACTATTGGCCCTTTGAGGTTCTTTTACAGATCTAAATGACAGATTTCCCAACAATCTCATCTAGTTTGACTGGTGAAATCCCTACCCTTTCATAATGCTTGAAGGAGGTCTGATTAGAAGTAGAAAAACAAAAAGGTACCCCTTATGGGCGGTGCCTTCCCGTAAAGGCCATTATAAGGAGTAACCCCCGGGCTTGGAAAGTGCGGCAGTCCGCACAGGGCCTTAACTACTTGACAACTTGAAGAACCACAGGTAGCCCAAGTTCGAAATATGAGCATCGGCGAGCATCGGCATTGTTGCGTAACATTCAAAATATAAGGATTTGTATGGGGAAAAACCGTTTACATAGAAGCCCATAAAAGGGCCATAAATCAGCCCGTGGCCCACACAGGAGAGACGTAACACACATTTTAAGTAAGGTAAGCTGTTTTTTAGTGAAATCCTTTCATTTTCATAGGTTAGAGAAACGATAGGTTTTTGCCCATACAAATCCTTATATTTTGAATGTTACGCAACAATGCCGATGCTCGCCGATGCTCATATTTCGAGCTTGGGCTACCTGTGGAAGAACTAGAAAAATCCAATACACGAATTCTGACCTGCAAACGGGGGTCCCAAACTCATAGGTATTGCCAGTGTACCGAACATGTTACCAATTGCTTGTGACATCTTTTCGTGTCCAACAACATCCGCCGTGATTACTGCAATTTGACCAACAAAACAGCCATCGAAGAACCCAAACACTAAGGCATAACTAACAAGCCCTGCATAATTGTTAGCCAAAGGAAGCAAGAGCGTTGTTATTCCAATGGAGAGAATAGAGAACTGATACATGTAAAGTCTGTTGATGAATCTCAGATCAGCAAGTTTGCCAAACACCAGCCGTCCTAAAGTTGAGGTGATTGAAAGGAATCCAATTAACCAGGCTCCTTTGGATGTTGGAACTCCCAAATTTTCAGCGTGTTTTACCTAAAATTGTGATATAATCAAGAGAGCATGTTAGTTTTCAAGACAACCCATATCCTCTGTTTACAGTAACTGTTGGTATTCCAAGAACTAGATCGACTTGAAATAACCCGCCCATCTATCATTATCATCGTCATTACTCCGTCACCACCACCACCACCACCACCACTACTAAAAATCGTCAACAATACTCCCAAACGCCCACTCTTTAATGAAAAATGGAATAATAAAACTTTGATTGTAATTCACTTGAAAACTGGTCTACTTTAAGGTTCGTGTACATGAATTTTCCATGGGTAGACACGTATGTTTTACACGCGAAAATAAAATTAGACAATGTACGGACGGTCACGCGTAAACATAGAAGTTGAACCTCGCTCAACTTTTACGTTTACGCGTAGCCTTTCATACATTGCCTCTATTTATTCACGCGCTTAACATTTACGTGTGTACGCACGGAAAAATTAGGCGACAGTGGAAATCCACCCTTAGGGTCTGTTTACATGGAGGCGGGGGACCCCAGATAGGTGAGGTAACTTGTGGCGGGTCACCCCACCTATCATGTAAAAGTGATCAAATTAAAATGAGAGACTATATGGACAGGCGGCTTACTCCACCTAAGTGGGTTACCTCACCTACCTGGGGTCCCCCACCTTCATATAAACAGGCCCTTGGTCTTTAATATTAGTGGCGGTGGCGGTGGCGGCAACAGCAAGAAGAAAAACTCAACAACTTTGCACGTGCATCACACTTTTTTGTACATGACTTTGCGGTCGCTGCACGACTACGATGTCGCTGAAACTTCTTAATTTCACGTTTTATAGCATTTGTAATCACAAACTTTTTCAAAGCTTTTCCTAACCGCAGACAAAGTCCCCAGAAATCTTCCCCAACACTTGACAATTGATTGAGACTGGAAAACAGCACGAATGCCTTTTTTAAGTGACGCCAAGGCCCCAAGTCGCCGTCATAGTTGTTTAAGCTTCCTCATTCCTGTCATGAGGCAGAAGTTCAAGAGTTTAACTAAAGGACAAGTCTAGTGACTTGCAGGTATATGAGGAAGGCTACCTTACTATATACTTTCACCACTTCTGAAATAAATTATGCTAAGGACCCATTAAAATACTTTAACCTGTTAAATAAACGTTACTGTATATTAGGGAGCTTGCTTCAAACTTTATCGCCCCTTTTCCATCTCGTTAATTGTGAAAATTTTGGCAAATTTTTCAGGAGCTTAATTCTAAACTGAGGACTGTGTCAAAGTGCAGGAAAAGAAAAAAGAGGTCGTTGTGTTGAAATTAGGTAGTTTCACGTCGTAGTCGTGCAACAAAGGCAAAGAAATGTACAGAAAAACCTTGACGCACGTGCAAAGTTGTTGTTTTTCTTATTTTAACTTAACGCTTTTTTATCGTTCTCGTTGCCGTCGCCGTCGTCCTTGCTTAAGCCGGCCCTATTAAATATATATGAATTGCGGTGTTTTACCGTCTTACAGGTGTATTACACTTTGTGCATAAAAAATAATAACTTACCAGATGGACAAAGGGAACAAGATAACCAAACTGAAATAGAGCCACTGTAGTCACCCATAACACATAAGCTTTGTTTCTCCAAATTGATAAGTCAAACAACTTCTTTTTCGCTTCAGCTTTCTTACTTAACTGTTCAAAATTACTCTTTGCTGGCTTAAAGAGTAGGGCTGCTACCCATAACACATTAGCAAATCCACTTAAAATCCGCATTGAGTTTTTCCAACCGACCGACTGTAATAGATAGTTGATGACAGGACCAGCGACAAGAGAGCCCACGCCACTTCCAGAAGTTGCAATGCCATTAGCCAAAGCCAGTCTTCTATCAAAATACCGTCCCAGGACAACAATGGATGAGACGAATGAGAGACTGGACCCAACTCCCCACACAAGACCATATGTTAGGTACATTACATAGACATCTTGTATAAAGGAGGTTAGAAACAGTCCCATTACAGATAACACAGCTCCAGCGAAGGAGATTATACGGCAGCCGAAACGGTCACAGAGAGCGCTTGTAATAGGACCAAAGAAGAAGTTCAAGCCCATTGCCATTGCACCAATCCATGCTGACGATAAAATTAAATACAAAGCAAAATTCAATAATATCGAAGACTACCCCCTGAACTTGAACCGCTAAAAGCTAATTTAGAAAAACACTGTTGTTTGGAGTAGTGGGGTTTCTAGTTATAAACGCGTTAAACTCTAGAGTATAATACAATCAACTGACGTGATACAGCTCACTTTGACTCTGAAGATGACTACCGCACAGGTTGTCGAATCGTCAGTTACTGTCAACAACAACAGTCCTATAATCAGGACTACGTTCACCCGGATGATCAAACTCAACCTACTTTTCTCTAAAAATGTTGCCTAGGGGTAAGCTAATAGACCCTTTATGTTTTGCTTTTAATTTTAATTCAGATACGGACTATTTAGCGAAAATCCGCGGTCCTCATTTCTGTTGGGAGAAAGCACGATTTTTAATAGAGCGAAAAACTCCTCAAAGATGCCAAACATGGCATATGGGCGGTTTACAAGTCTTATCATATACATAACCTAGATCAAACTTGGTGCGACCTAAGCATGGCTACTGACCCACGAAAACGTGCGCGCGTACCAGGCTGTTTTTTGGTTCGTTAAGTGCTGAGACGCAGCCGCGCTGAACCTCATTATTCTGGCGACCAAAGCGTTTTGGATCTCGTGGTCGTCACGGTGGTGAATTGACCGAGAGGGCCTGGGAAAACGCAGTAGAACTGAACCGAGGTCAAACAAGAAAACGATGGGAGAGGAGCCGGGGGGTGGGGGAGCGGTGGTAGAAGTCAGAGAGAAAAACCACCTGCACTCAACCGCACGAGGTTTTCAGCTTCTCAATTGCCTTTATTTTTACGTCTTCGAGTTAGCGTTCCCATGGCTTCTTCTACAAAATTCCAGCTATAACTGACATATGGACAAATGTTTTTCGTGCTTCAAGCCTTGTACCTCAAATTTTAGTTTTCCCCTTAATATTGTTGATAAGGGCCTGGCGAGATAGGTTTTCCTCTTTTGTTTTTATGGAGGATTGGTTTTGGGTGGTTTATCCTTGTAGGGGACCAAACGTCTATTGTTTTTCCACCTTGTATGATATTTGGTAACTGCATGTACTTCATCTGTAAGTAAATAAATAAATTGCGCCTCCACGCCTACATTCTATGACAATTGCGACCAAACTAGTCCCGAGAATACGTCACCAGATTAGTGAATTCTTTCCCACTTTAATCCCGAAGACTTTTGATATGATCATTTGAAAATTTCAAAAAAGGTCATGATCTGCGGAATAAATTGGCATCCAGACATCTCTTTCTGTTATAGAAAATTGGCAAATCATGTTTCAAGAAGATGTCAAAATCCCATCTTTTACTGTTTCCACTAGCGATAGACTGTAAGCAAGGCAATGCCGCAGTTCTTATTTTTGTTTTTCACAGCTTTTAAAGACGACACATGTCGAAATGCGAGTAATGTTCACCCTGATGTTTATCAAGGCAGACCTTTAAGCGTATTTTGTGATTCATTTCCTTTTCTTTTAATAACTTCATGTATGTGTTTTGAAAAACTAAGAGTCCTTCTCAAACTAGGCTGTATGTTCCGATGCAAGTAGGATCGAGCCTCTATGGTTTCTATAATCAAGCTTAATTTTAAAGGTTAGGTCCCATTTTTCGTCTTGGATGACTTATCTAAATGATCTGAAGATCCATGTGTATTCTATGACACGGAAATGTTAAGAATGGATGTTTGTGCATCGCTGGATTACGCCCAGGGGGGGAATACTCCCTTATATAAGCCATACAGATATGTGCCGCCCCATCTGGTAGGGGTTTTGTGCCATTTTGGTCTGAAAACGGGTATTTTATAAACTTTGCCCATTTTGGTCTGGAATAGGGTATGGTTTTCGAGGGAACTACGGGAGTGTGTGCACGTATTTATCGTTTCAATTCCAAATGAGTAAGATAGAGAAATATGCGAATTCGAAAGGGATTTGAAGAAATTTTTTGTTTGCGCTCTAATCTAAGTAATGATAACGTAAGTTCCGCCTAAAGGCCAGGTCTGAAAACGGGTATGGATTTTAGAGGTCTGGTCTCAAAACGGGTGTGGAAACTACACCTTTGGGTCTGATATAGGTTCAGGATTTGGAGAACCGGGCGGCACACCCCCACAACGAATTCCCAGGAGCAGCCCCCGGGGGATAACGAAACATATAAAATGTCAGCAAGTCCACACAGCAACAAACCAATGAGTGGTGCCGGATCTCCCAGTTAGCAGTGGCGGATCCAGGGGAGGGGTCCGGGGGGCCGCCCCCCTATTTTTAGACCAAACTGAGGCCCGAAGGGACGAAAAAATTTTTTTCAAGACCGCCCCCCCTTATCTAAGGGTATGGACGGCAAGGCGATGAAGAGGCAAACAAAAGAATAAAACAAAATTACATATTTAAACAAATTCCCCAGTCTTCAAATTCCCCAAACACTCACTTTACGTTTCTCAGTCTCCTCGCGGGGAGAGTACATAGAGAACGGCTGCATTGTTTTGTAGGGCTGGCGCTTTATGAAACAACTAGCTGAAGCGTGGTGAAAAGGGCGCTCTTTACCTGCTGCTAGATTGGACTTTTTTAACTAACTGAAGGATCAAGGTTCACTTTTAAGTACTTTCAAATTCATTACCATACATAACCGCCATATGAGATTGATCTTAAAACTGATCAAATAGTCTATTATGATTCGGCCCTCTTGCAGCTCTTGCTCTCGAGCTAGCAAGAACTTTGTTGATATTGCACAGATAGGGAAATCTTTTACTATAATTCAGTTACTGAACAATTTGAAGTGAGATGACTAAAACAATAAATGAATGGTACAGTTGAAAGGGTCAATGTACAAGTAGTATTGTCCACTCGTTTACCTTAAACACTCTGGGCCGGTTATTTGAACGAAGACTTGCTTAGACTTTGGTTTACAACACTTAGTGCACCTCAAGATCTTCCCAAAAGTGTGTTAGTTTGTTGTTTCTGGCCGATAGATGCCTTTCTCACCTGCTCTGAGTCTACTCTGTATAACATATGCCTACTCGACGCTTACGGAAGCGCCTTTTGGATACCAAGATTGGCCAATACAACACGTGGTTTCCTAAGCACGGTAGAACTCTGTTAACAATAAAGCTCGGCTCTGTGTCGGTATTAAACTCCACAAAAGAAAGGATTTTAAAAAAAGTCTAGTTTAATACCTCACCTGTTTGAATTTCTCCCAGCTTCAGATCGTCTAACAGATTAACATAAACAACTCCAAAAGAGTTGTGAATTCCAAACACAACAAAATTTACCATGAATGTCCCACAACACACAATCCACCCATATCCGCCGTCGGGCTTTAAATCTATACGCACGTTATGCGTTTCATTTCGACTCGATTTTTCTGTCTGCGACATTTTCTTTCATCTGTGTAAATAGGAAGCCGTACGTACGCTTCTTTCAGTTTCTCTACGTAAGAGAATGTGTCAACTGAGCGAAGCAATTGAATATGATCAGCGTGACATGAAGCGTGACCGTCAACGCGCCAAAAATGAGCCTCACCAGAGGTCAGATTGGAGTCGTGTCTGTCGGTTTATGCCCGTACAGGAAATGTAATGGAATATTATCCTATCCTGCGTCAACCACGAAAGGAAAGAAAAAACTTATGCTTGGGTGGAAATATTTGTGTTTTTGTTATCACGTATAATCATTACGCTCTTAATTATGCCAGACTATTCAAATCACGTATTAATATCAATCATCTCCGCGGGACAATAATTTCGCGTAACCTCGCGGCTTCGAGTGACGAATCCTGTCTGCGTGGACAGGCTAAATTAAAGTAAAGTAAAAAGAACACAAACACATGAAAGAAACAAAAAATTAAATTAAATTAAATAAAATAAAGAAAATCAATTTCGCGGAAATTGTTAAGTACATGTACTCATGAATGGTTGGTTTTTTCATGACGTCACTAAATCGTCTCAATCAATTCTCGGCTTGCACTGTCACGCAGTGAAAAACAAAAATGCAAACCATTCAATACAGAAGGACTAGAATCTGGGAAATGAAAAAAGATAAATATACAAATACCCTTGCCAAGAATCAGGTCTGTGAAATATTTCAAATGCGAGATATTGGGAAAAACGGTTTACCTAAATTTATAAAGCTTTGTATGGAAACGCCATGTTGGTGTCCCTTTCAGGAACACCAATATGGCCGCCGGATACCAACAGAAACATCGTTTTCGAGTTGTCCTACTAATGCGTGAATTCTTCGCTTGAGGAACTCATAAAGATTACAGTAATATTTATTCTGAGACAAGGAATGTTTAGATTGCAAAACCTCCCAAAATCGGTAATGTTTTTAACCCACATAAGAGCTTTCCCGGCCGCCAGCTAAATGCCCCGTCACGTAAAAGCCTGGAAATTCAAGCGTCCTCTCTCGCAAAACGAAGAACTCTTTCGAACCAAAAATTTGTTTATGTAAAGATGTTTAGGTACTGTAATACCTCGTGAAAGTGGAAACTCAGAAGAGTCGATAGTTTCTTGGTTTGATTTTTGGTGACGTCACGTGCAACCCAAGAATAGACCAATACAGTCAACTCCCTTTAATGCGGACACTGTGGGAACCTCGAGTTAGTGTCCTCATTAGCTAGAGCCCGTAATAGCGGGAGTTTATTTCGGTCAAACGTCTGTAATTTCTTTTTGCCGGGGATTTAGCTGTCCGTTATAGCGGGGTGTCCGCAAGGCGAGAGTTGACTGTGTCCAGTGTCCTTGGCCTCATGCTTGGTCTGGTGCGTATTAAAGTTCGCACAATAAATATTTTCAGGGTCTTAAATTTGGCGAATTTTTGAAAATCATTGAGGCTTTGTTCACACTGTAACCGTAAGTAATCGGCTCTTGCCGCATAATATGGCTATTTCTCCTTCTACCCTTCCTATGAGACCCTGCGCGATCCTCAACCGAATCCCCAATCCTCAATCTCACCCCCAAAAACACTTAAATAGCGACTGGGTACGAGACTGACACTCAAGAAAGGTTGTGGCGGCGCGCGATTTCTGTGACTGATCGATGCTGCGCCTCCCCAATCGCTAATTTGGAGAGTCTTTTGCTCACGTCCCAACTTTCTCGCCGAACTCGCGCGGAAAGGCTTGCTACGCAGGCTAGAGAGTCACATATTGGACAGCTTTTCAGTCACACTATACCAGATGGTTTCTCGTGGCGCCACCAAAAGTTATCCGGTATAATGTGTACATAACCTAAATCATGATAGCGAAAATTAAACGCAATAACAATGAGGGTGAACCGTCACTTTGGCACTTTTTTCTTCCTTACCAGATAGATTTTTTACGTCTTGGAAGCCTGGTTTAATTAGGTAACGTGCCTTCGACTATGGTGAAATGCAACAGACTCGCTCAAAGTATCCTGGTATTCATTTCCAAAAATGTGCGCACATTTATTAATTTTGTACAACCATTACAGAAGAATAAATTATCGATAACCCTGGAAAGACGAATTAAATAAAACATTTTAAACAATTTTTTAGACAATCTGTGTTCGTGAATAAAACTTGCAATAAAACATCAACCCCCTGTGCCGCTGTCTCAGTCATCATCCTAGGGTCCTCTCCCACTCGTCCCTCGGGTAGGGACGAGTAGAAGATAACCCTGGGAACAAGTGATGTTAAAGTACAGTTTCCCTATCAGTTACAACGAGTACTTCCTGAGACGTCAAACCAACTAGAGCACACTCTTCGCTTCCGGTTTCTATACTTTCTTCGCACACACACAAGTTTGCTGGGTCTGTTAATTTAAAGGAAGTTTCTCTGAATGTGGCTGTACGTCTCTTTTTCCGAATCATGTAAGACACAATGAAGACTAGAAGAGAAGACGCGATGATAAAACTGCCGCAGACAAAGAAGGCCTCATGATAAGAACCAGAGGATTCATACAGCCAACCTGTGAAAAATATCAACAAAATCGTTTGCATTTTGTTAGGGCGATGGGCCAGACAAAGTAAGGAACCAGGTTGTATTGACTTGACCACCTAGCCTGAGTACGCCTGATACTCAGGCTATGACCACCAGGCCCAAGTTGTTCAAAAGGTGGATAGCGCTATCCACTGGATAAATCACTCACCACTGGATAACCCAGTTGTCTTCCATAATACTTATCCGCTAGATAGTACAGTCGGTGGATAGCACTATCCATAGCCTGCGTAGCAGGCGCTAGGAAATAAATGGGCGCAAGAAAGAACGAGCCCGCGCGAGGGCCGCCTGCTATGCAGGCTACACTATCCAACGTTTAAACTACCAGGGCCAGGAGTTTATTAGCCTGCGAATGAGCAAGCTTTCTATTTCATGGACTGGGGGCGAGTAAAGCGAGCCACGAGGAACGTCCTCCGTTCTCGCGTCTTCTTTCGTGTGTCTCTCGGTGTGACTTTCTCACCATATTCGTCACTCAGGCTTGCTCGCAGGCTAGGGTTTAATCCATAAAAGCTCAAAAGGTCTTTTGGTGTGAAGATATTCCGCTTAAACGAGGGAGATCACGCGTTAAATGATAAAAGTTCGATTTTCCCTACTGATATCCCTTTGCGCAGCTGCAATCCATTACCGCCGCATAGAAACTTATAATTTTTCCTTCTGAGATTTTTAAAACCTTGAATCACTCCAACCTATACTAACATTCACGAGTAAACATTTCATATGACAGAGCGATAATTGTTGTGATTTGTTGCTAACGCCACCAAGAGAAGAAACTTGGAGACAAATTCAGTCGTAAAGTGCAGGCGCGCAAATGTTCACGCCACAGTCTGGCCCCTAGTCGTTCTCTTCGTTTCATAGAAAAAACGTTACTGTCCTGGGAACGGATTGATTAAAGAGCTTAAGCAACGAGAACGCTGACGTCCAGGACGTCATGAATAGCAATGGTAGTTCGATGTCTCGCTTGATGGAACACTTTTGTCTCACACAACGAATCTGAATGCCTTTGTTTTACTCCCGCTGTACGAATTTGTCGAGTCAGGGCACTGAAAAAGAGAAAATATCAACTTCCGGTTGCCATTTTTTACGTCTTGGACGTCAACGTTCGCGTTGCTAGAGCCCCCTGCTATAGTGCTTAATGTCATAAGGTGACGTCATGAACCCGGCCTACCCGAGACTTCTTTTTGGTTTAAAAATAGGGGAGGCTGCCCCCAAATAGGACAATTGCACGATGACGTCATTCTACTACAACAACAGAATCCTTCAATCAGTTTGTTTGTTTTCTTGCCGACAAATTACTAATATCAAAGCTATTGATTTTATAGACCTCAGAGGGACTGAAAAATTTAAAGAAGGAAGCAAAAGACGACACGAATTCTGGTTGTTGTGTTAAGCAAGTCCTGGGAGGTAGAATTAAACGAAACCTACCTGCTACTGGTGCACCCAAACTCATAGGAATGGCTCCAACACCAAACATGTTCCCTACGGCTTGAGAAAGTCTCCTTCTACCCGCGATATCCCCCGCGATTACAACAACCTGACCCACAAAACATCCATCAAAGAATCCAAACACGGCAGAATAGACAAGCAGTCCTACGTATCCCTCTGTGATTGGACAGATCACCGTACTAAAACCCATGGCGAATACTGAAAATTGAAATACATAGAGCTTGTTGACGCACTGCATTTCACAGATCTTGCCGAATATTACACGGCCGACCGTGGACATAATTGACAGAAAGCCAACCAACCAGGAACCTTTGGAAGATGGGATACCAAGATCACCGGCATATTTAACCTGGAGAGGAAAAGATAAACAGTGACGATTAAACAGTGGATCATGATGTATTGCTGAAAAGCCCGGCCGGGATAATTTATCCACATCTTATCGCTGCTTTAATTTCGTAAAACAGTCACTCGACTTCTTTTATTCGATATGAGACGACTTTGGCTCTTTGTCATCTTGTTATAAGCTATAAAAAAGGAATACGAATTCACGACGATGCAACGGAAAGATAAAAAGTCGCGATCATCTGGCGAACACAAGCATAAATATAAGCACAAGCCTCGTTCTCAGGGTTTTTCCCTTAGAATCTAGGTGGCCATGGAAACGAGGTTGGATTGAAGTAGCCAGTTCAAAGCCTGTTGAGTAACTGAGCAGAATAAACGGTGATGACAGGGATCAGGGAATAACTGTACTGGAACGACCCCGCCCTTAGCCTGCGAGCAAGCCGTCTGACGGCGGGGCGGGAAAAGGAAGGAGAGCTTTCACCTCCAATTTCCTTGTGACTCTCCATCGACTGAGCTGTCAGATTTCCGCAATCAGCACGAAGCGCAAATATCAAAACACACGAGCCAGAGTAATGACGTCATAACTAATGTTATCTCCGCCAATCAGCATTTCGCATCGACGTTTTCGATGCATATATTCAAATTCCAGAGACGTAGTTGCAAGCTCTCCTTCCTTTTCCCGCCGCACCGTCAGAGCGCCCCGGAGAGCTTACTCGCATGCTACCCCGCCTCCGGTAACTAAACTTGCATTCCCGGCTCCCGCCCCTTTTCTCTTGGCCTCGCTTTTTAGTCTTATTTTTGATGTTGAAATACTAAGAGTTGTTGCGTGATTCCCTATTACTTCTCCCGCTTTCCATCCTTTCATAATTCCTACCTCCCGCCCTTTCATCTCCAGCCCCCCTATTCTCCGGAGCTCCCCTATCCTCTCCCACTCCACAGATTTGATACTTCCAAGGAAGTAATCTTTCAAGCACGCAAACTATACACACAAAAGCACATCGTCGAACAAATGATGCGCACATGAACTTACCAGATGAACGAAAGGGACCTGATATCCCAACTGGAAGACTGCTACCGTAAGGACATAAGCTACATAAGTTCGGTTTTTCCAAATAGAAACGTCACACAATCGCGTACACTGCCCAGTCACCCGTTTTCTGTCACGCTCTTTCCTAATATTATAGGGTCTAAAGAGAAAGCAACCTATAAGAAGAAATGCCGCGGCTCCACTGAGTATTCGCAAAGAATTCTTCCATCCGACGACTCGCAGTGAGTAGTTAATCGCGGGCGACGCTAGCAAGGAACCCACTCCACTTCCGCTCGTCGCCAGTCCATTTGCTAGTGCCAGTCTTTTGTCGAAGTAGTCACCCAAAATCACAATAGAAGGTACAAACGAAAAGCTCGATCCAATCCCCCAGAGGAGTCCGTAAGTCAGGTACATAAAGTGCAGTTGAGTGACAAGCGATGTGAGAAACAGTCCAATGATTGATAACAATGCGCCTGCAAAAGCCACGCGACGACATCCAAAGCGATCACACAAAATACTAGTCAGCGGACCACAGAGAAAGTTTAGAGAACCAGCCATGGCGCCGACCCAAGCTACAATAAAAGGAAAGACAGAGATCACGTTTGTGAGAGGTTCTTGATAATATTTACTTTTCAAGATTTTGTTGCTTTAGCTAATATCAACGTGTACCTTACAGCCTGACTCCAATCTCGTAAACAACGAGCCTCTTTCGTTTTTGGTGAGCTTCACAACTGAACAAAAGAGAGAAAGAGGATGGCGAAAAGTATAGGGGACAAAAGCGACGTGTCTTTAACGATTTATTTTCGTGATTTTTACTTAGCTCGTCTTTTACAAAAAAGATCTTTTTTATAGGAAAGTGAAGTTTGGCGAAATTTTTTTCAAACATGATCATTGTCACGCTTGTCACACAAGGTTTGCCGTCTTCTTTCCTTCACTGTCCTTTTGCGTAAGTTTACTGTGAAGGAGACTGAGTGGCGACTGGGGATAAGTCAGTCACATGAAGGATAGCATAAAGCTAACCTGAGATCAGGCTCTAGTTTCGTTTCGCTTTTTAAATAAAATTCTGGCAGTAAGCGCCGACCACGTTGTAAGAGAGAATGTATGAAGGCTGCTAAAATTGGACCTGATCTCAGGTTAGCATACAGCCATCCATTTTGGCACACAGGTAACGTGATAAAATTGGGTCAATCCAGCCAGAGCTGCTTATCGCAGGCGTAGCCATGGGCAGCGGTTATTTGACGGAGGATATCTGATCCATTTAAAAAATAATTGATGGGCTCTGAGGTTATGGAATGCACCGTAAAAGAGGATAAACCATTAACGAACATAAAAAATCGATCTACGAGGTGAGTTACAGCCTTTAATATAACCGGAATATGCTTTTTCCAACCGGGTATTGGTAAAACTAAACGAGTCATTTTCGGCTACTATAATAGCTTGCGAACGCAGACGTGTTTACGGTAGTCGCTTCTTACCGCCCGAAAAGTAAATAATTAAATACTGTTTGGTTAGACTGTTGATACTAAGGGTCAAAATACGTCCGGCCATGTTCGACAATTATCAGGAGATTAGCCATACACGCGGCTTGTCAATAGTTCCTTTTTTCGCCGATCTAGACAAGCAAATATATTGCGCTGAATTGTGCTGTGCTCTTTTGCTCATTCCTCGGCCATGAGTTGGTTGGTTGGGGCGAGGGGGAGGGTGCGTAGCAACAGCTATTAGACTTTTTCCTGTAGATGAGCATACCTAAACAGTAAAATGATAGATTAGTAACATTGGATGGGATACACCTTTTACTGGGAGCCTGTGGGCACCTTATGAGAAGGGCTACTCCTTTAACTCACATAACTGTATTCCTCTGTACCAAAAGGGGGCAATTATTCAATGAGGCGGAGGGATTAAACCAGGGGGAGGCGTGATAATTTGAAATGCTGTCCAGGGAAAGTTGTGCCAATGAAATTCTACCTCAGTACCTGCAGTTGCTCATGACGACTAGACAGATCAGACTAAACTATCTGAATGTCTGCATAGAAGTTAAAGAACTTAAGATCAACATAATATATGTCAGACAACCTTTCTCATTAGTTTGACTGTCAAAAACAGACACATGACTCCTTTCAAAAGGGAAAAATCATTTGCAGGTTTGCAAAACCAGCTATGATTGTGAAAAATATTGTGAAAAATGAGTAAAACAAAGCTTGTTTCCAATCAAAGAGGATATTCAAATATTCAATTTTCAGGAACTTGATGTTAATGTGAAAGAAAGAGTTGATATAGAGAGATGATGAGGAATGATGAGGCCTGAGAGGGTAGGAGGGTGGGGGGGGGAGGTTACTAGGGACGGAGGTGACTATTTAAGAGAGGTGATTTATTTAAAATTATCCTGCAAATTAGGTACACTTGTTTCTGGGGAGAGGGGAAGGGATTTCACAGTAGGAGTGACTATTATTCAAGAAAATATAACCTCTCTGTTCTTCTTCAACAACATTCATCGATGTTTGTCATGTTGAATAGCCTATGTAAATATCCAACACAGCTTCATGATGATACACTGTTTGAACTTTTGTGAAACAAAAGCTGCAAGATTGGCTGCTCCACAAATTTTGCACTGTGTGTCCCTGCTGTACTTAGTTTCCACCCAAACGAAATATCTCAGCATCAGGCTGTGTGCTACACTTAGCCTGTTCCTCTGAGGCATTTACAATAAACGAGAAAAGAAAGTTTATAGAACAGGACACAAGCCATCTTTATAATATTCATATGAGCATTGTCTTATTTTGATGTACAATCTCAATCAAAGTTTTCAAAAATTAACTGGAACTGGAGAGACTACATATATGAGTCACTGACAGAAGGGTAGGGGACAGGATTCTCAAAAAATTAAATACGAAGAAAAAATTAAGTAGGAGGCAATATATTAAATTGGAAAGTGCTTACTTGTGAAGATAAGTGTTGAAGTGGGGATACCCCCCTCCATTGAATGACAAGACCTCCCCAAGGAACTGAAAAGGTTTGTTTTAATTAGTGCATTTTGAAGGAATTAAGAAATGATTCTTGCCTGGAGGATGGCACCTTTATACAACAATAACAATCATTATTTCTCAATGTTATGACATATACAATTTGGATAGCTACTTATGGGAGATTTGATTTTATGACTCTAGTCTTCTATGCTTAAAAAGTTGGATAAGTCTGGGCTACTTCAAGAACCCAAACTGCATGGTACATACCCAGGGTAGCTTTAAATTTCCACTGTCTCCCCCTCAGTATCCCGACTATTGTGAATTGTCAGTACTTTGACCAACCTGTTTCAGCTTTTCCTAAGTTCTGTTTATCCACCAAGTATTCATACACCACACCAAATGAGTTATGGATACCAAACACTATGAAGTTGACTGTAAATGTACCACAGCATACTACCCACCCCCAGCCCCCTTCAGGCTTTTCATGTTCCTCTGTCTCTGCAGCTTCCTCTGCTGCGGCATCTCCTCTTAGAATGTGTTCTTTGTCTGCCATGACAGTTTGCTGAATGGCCAATGAGTTTTTAGTCCCAGTGCTAACACGTTCCAAAAATCATCATTCTGCAATTAAGTAAACAATAAAGAGTAATCTTCTTACATGTAATAGGCCATCTTAGAGTTTTCTTTTAACTTTTCGGCAGGTACGTGGAATCTTATTGCATGCTCATTGAATGAAATATCTTTGCCCTATGTTCACAGGGCTCAAAATTGATGGCCAGTCAACGGATGATGTCTGGCCAAAATGGTGATTTGACTGGCCAAACTTTTAATGTTTCAGTAACATATATGTTGTAGTTAATTCTTTTATCTCAGGTATTTTTTTTTCTTTTTTCTTTCAACTTCGCTAGCATACATTACCATACCCAGAAACAAGGGAAAAATTTAAATTACCTGAGATTAACAATTAACTACAACATATACATTGTACTCATTGTCTGTCCTCTTCTTGGCTAAATACCAACAGTTTATTTTGGAACTCGGTACTACCTACAGATTAGTTAGTTATCTGTTAGCAGATTAGTGGCTTATCTGTAAGTTACACGCACAATGCATAATTTAAAGCCTTCCTCTAAACACAAAAACTGGTTTGAGGGAATTCCTTCAAGGCCAGAATTTGCTTGTAAATTTGCCGACTAGTTTTCCAGCACTGCCATGTATTCTGTAATCTAGCCAACAGTTCTACAATCTTGGACAAAACTGTTGAGAAATTGCATACTTGGGGGGCATTTTTTCTAAACTTCGTAGCCAACCGATTCTTCCCTCCCTCACTCCCCCTGGAAGCAATATTGTTGGGTCTTCAAAAGAAAGCCGGATCCCTATGCGTTTGTAGGAAGCAACTTCGAACTGGAGGAGGGTTTTCTTTACGCGAAGCCGTTGATTTGGAAATAGTTTTGTTGCATTAGGTAGTGCGCATTAATGAAATCACAATGAAATCACGAGATTCATGGCCAAAAAAAACTACACACATGTAGATATTCAGGTCCAGGCATTTCGGAGAAAACCAAAGAAAATAAGGTTATTTAGCCGCAATAAAAAGGCTTTTACGTTTAAACAGAGATAAAAGAAAATCATTCAATGTTAAACTGCATCTGTGTTCAATCCTGTCAGAAAACATTTATAGAAACCACAGTGTGTAGAAACATAAACCACAGGAACTAATAACTCAATATGCATGGAACAGACCAGCTTCATAACCTCTAAAATTAATGTGAGACTCAAAGTGGCAAAAGAAAAGTTTGCTCAGTCAGAGTGTATAATACTCCATGCACTGCATAAACTATGCAAAAAGAGAGCAAGAAAAACCTCTATTGTTCAAGCTGACTCTAAAGTCACATTTCTTACTATCACAACCTCAGTCTCTCTTGTCACCAGCTATTAGTCGTGTTTGGCCTGTCAACACTTATTCAAATCAGACAAATCTCAAAATGCGTAAGAAACTAGCCAATCAAAAATGCTGACATATGTCCTTGCGACTCTGTGGGATTCGAACACGGTATTGTGCACTAATTTGCAGATACTCCATACAGAAGGTTTAGAGCATCTGCGACACAGGCAAGCTCGACTGCAGCACGACTTGGTTTCAGACATCAAATTTAACTCAGTCTAATAGAACGGCTGTCACGGAAAACAAATCACAAAAATAAAGAAACGGTTCAGTAAACTTTTAAATGTATTCTAATGTATTTATAATGTATGAATTGAGTTTGGCACGACAGTAGCGTGACGTTTGAAACCAAGTTGAGCTACTGCCATGTGGCATGGCAAAGCTTACGGTGTTAAACGGCAGTAGCACGACTTGGTTTCAATCATTGTGCTACTGCCATGCTAAAGTCAAATTTAATTTTATCAATTTAGTGCGGCACGGCAGTAGCATGACGTTTGAAACGGGCCTAATTAAAATTGGGTCCAGTAACAATTTTGCTCTAGCCTGAAATAAATCACTCAAGTTTTTCAAGCTGGATTTTGTGTGTTAATGGAAACAAGCCAATATTCTTTACATACTGATCTGAATATTCAGGAAATTAAAGAGTTATTAACATGTTGTTTTAAAAGGAAATGTATTTTCGAAAAACCCTCTGGTTTATACACCTGTTACTGATCGGATGATACTGTTTCTAGAGTTATGTAATGGTGTAGCAAGTTTTACCATGGTAATATGCTAGCAAGTCCTTGCAGTCAGACTCCTAGTTTCGCATTACTTCTAAACAAAAGCTTTTGCTCTTGAAACGTCCATGTGTTAAATGTGCAGGAACAAATACTCGCGATATTGCGTAAACAAGTTTTTGCTTTAATAATACAGTAACTTGAATAATTCAATTAAACTTAATTTCATTATGATAAAAATAAAAATTTGCAACGAGGAATTCAGTGTGTCTGACATTTTTTGTCTGTTCACCTTAATTAAGCTTAGAGACTTGGTGATTATTACAAGATTAAGTGTAATCTGTCTGAGAGACAAAAAAGAGAAAGAAAGCAAAAAAATATATATTATAAGGCCTATACCTGTACTGGCCGGACCGGCAGGACAAGACAAGAGCATAAGACTTCATAACGTCGTACAACTGTGATTAAAATGAAAGTTTCTAAACATACTACCAAAGCCGGATGACTTGACAATAAAAAAATTTACGTTATGAAACGTAAAGCCCTGTTCTTAAAAACAAACGTTATTCCTGACCTTAGACTCGGATGAGTACTATTGCATAAAATTTTACGCCGACTGCTTGAAGTGACTCGACTATTTATTTCGTTGAAAATTTACTTTCGATAAGTATATAACTAAAGAGTGCCTACTACTCACCTTCGATGACTGGATTTAAGTGACCTCAACTTCCTTTGAATGAACAGAAATTCGATCAGATCCTATGGCACTCACGCTAGCCGGGAAAAATACGGTATGTTGGGTGATTGTGTCTGTGATGTCGACTGTTGGACAAACCGTGGGAAGATTGGGAAGGGATGATGCAACAAGGTCGGGAAAACGAGGAGAATGTTCAGACTGGAATTTCCAACCGGGGATTACCGGAGCGTAAATTATACAAATCAAATGCTTAAGACCAGGCTGTTATTGGAACTTAATACAATGTGATGGACTGACGCTGGGGTCTACTGTCACAAAACCCATTTGCTATATGCTATTTATATGAAATCTTAAAGGTAGACTACAATGATCCGTCAAAATATTCTGCGCGAAATATATGGTTTGCTTTTGGGAGAATAATTTTGGTCTGTGATCTAGGGGGAGGTTAGCCGTGCCGAGGATAAAGAAAATAGAAATAATGATTAAATACATAAGAATTAATCTACTGTCACGATGAAAGGATGACGTGACATAATGTGATATTTTAAAATAACATGACATAACATACAACGAATTAAAGGGAAAGCAAAAGAAAGACCCTGCAAAGGATAAAAGTAAAATAGAAGTAAAACGTTTCTAAACGAAAACATTTTTAATTGATTCTAAAAAAATATGCATTGCATGTACTACATTTTTACGGTTTTATATTTAGTGCGCACTTTTCTTTATAAACATTAGGTAGATTCAAAATTCATCCCGTTAAGGAAACTTTATGGCAAATTCATTTATTCGTTAATTCATTAAACGCAATTCAAAAACTTCTGACACGGCGTAATCATACTGTAACCGCATTGACGGTGTCAACAGGTATTTTCGTAAAACAAAGTGCTCTTGAATTGAAACTTTTTATCACTGCTTGCGTGACAGAAAAATGACATCTGCCTGTCACACAATTAAGTTTCGGATCAAATTCAGAAAAAACTCTTGGATTTAAAAGTTATCCAATGTTTTTATATTGAGGTCGTTTTTTGAATTTCTTGCTTTATTGTGTCCAACTGAAATTGTTTTCCAAATTGCGCAAATCATATGTATTAAAGAATGACGTGTCTTCGATTCGGGAATTTGATTTTGTTCGTGATTATTGACGCGTTTCCCGCTTTTGATAGGCCCTCCATCAGCGATTGTTGACCTTTGTTTTCTGCCTTTGTTATTCAAAGATATTTTGATAAACTTAGAAGTTGCTTTTCAAATGCAAAATTTACAAACTTCGGGAATTCTAGGAATCCACGCGTAACGAGTTCGTCGATTTGAGCACAGGTCGACTGTCCAGCTGAAAGTTGGAAAAGATTACTGTTTTTTAAAGCCCAGCCCGCGCGTGCAGACGGTCGTCCGCTGCAAAATGGCTACTGACGGAGGTTCGCTCAAAAGGCAAAGCGAAGGCAGAGAGTCTGCAGTGTTCAAGCAAACGATACGAGAAAGAACAGGTATTTAACGTTATAGTTTCCACGCTGCGTTGCGTGTTTGATCAATTCTGTTTGTTAACACATATTACCTACATCGTTTTGTCGCTAAGATCCGCAATTGGTTTGCTCCCCGTTAAATTTTAATACTACCCTAAGTAATCTACATGGTATAAGACCATAAATAGTGACAGTCGATATTACATTGAACTGTGATAAGTTTGACAAAGTTGTTTGTGGTTGCGAAACCCAGTACAAGTATAAGTTTTTAGTTATGCGGTGAACAAATTGAGGGGATATACTTATGTTAGGTGTTTAACGTTAATTTTGAATCAAAATTACAAGAGCGGACTTGAAACACAACGAAAAAAATTGTTAAAATAAAGATTTACCTTTTAATTTTGTTTTTATCTTTTCAAAGCTACAGATTTCCTGTTAAGTAGGTAATAATTTGCATACTATTGTACTTAATAACCTTGTTTTGGTTAAGTGCATCAAAACCGTGCTGCTCTTCAGACATTTAAGGGCTCACATACGTAGGGAATATATTTGTGGTTTTGTTGCCTTTCCTTTGTAACGTTCGTTTCAGTAACTAATCTCTAAAACCCGCTTGGTTCGTTGCGTTTTTTTGTGGAAGTAATAAGTGACATTTGTGGCATGTTAATTGCAGCTCTGACACGCAACTTCCAGAGGGAAAAAAATGCTCAAATGGTCGAAATGCTTTTATATTTTAAAAATTTCCAACGGAGACTTTTTTCAGCGACATGATTTGCGGAAATATATTATATATATCTTTTAATAATAACTATGAGTCTTGATAGCCCCGATGATAACACAGGGATATTAAAACATGGCTTTAAGACAACAAAATCTCAGTCAATGATAACAGAATTGCAAAACGATAGAAGTTTGTTTTTACTCAACAGACATAACATATTCAAATTGTTGAGTAAAAAAAATATTAGTGCAATATTTCTTGTTGAAAATGACTTTGAAACCGGAATTTAAGACCGGACGTCAAATTCTGACGATTTTCCCGCGTTGTTCTCAAGTGGAGATACAATTTTCCTATCTGACAGTAGTTTTATTAAAATGAAAAGATTGTGTTGATAGGAATTTCGTATTAATATGCAAAACACCCCCTAGGCTTGTCAATCTGTCACTTTAGACGGAGGTCTCGACAAGAGAGTGGGCCTATGTCGTGTATTGATTTTTGCGGTTTTCGTAGATTGTCAGATCTTTAATCTGTCCATTAAAACACACTCATTATTGAACATTATAGAGGATTAAAATCTTATTTAATTTTTATGGGATGACTGGTGTTGGGTCGTGTAATTTTTGCAAGCTGCGGCGCATCGCTGATAGATTGCGTTGCTTTAGTCCAAAATCTCCCGCTAATTTTATTTTCAATAGATTTACATGGTATGCAAATTCTAAGAGTTAAAACACAATGACAAAACCATGTTTATATTACTTTTATATTAAAAACGTTTTATACTATACACAAAACACATTATAGGATTATCACGTTCAACCCAAACTTACCGTTTGCTATGGTAATTCAATATTTTACAGTAAATTCTCATTAAGTGAATTCAGCTCAGATTAAAGTACCGTGAAATTCCGAAAATAAGCCCCGGGGCTTATATTTTTCAAAGGCCCTTTTCGAGGGGCTTATTTTTGGAGGGGCTTATATTCGGAGGGGCTTATCTACGGAGGGAAATTTGCGTTTCAAAATCGATTGGACTAGCCTTATAGTTTAAAGTAAATTTGCTTTTTTTGTTGTTTTACTTTGTATTTGAGGGCAATTTTCCAAGTACAAGCCCCCGGGGGCTTATATTTGGAGGGGCGATTTAACGGGGTTTTTTACGTTACCGGTTTGGGGGGGCTTATACATGGAGGGGCTTATTTTCGGAATTTTACGGTATGTTAGTCGAGTTTTGATATTCTCTTTCAATACTTAACTTACATTTGTTGTACAAAACTCACCCCAGGACGAGTTAAAACCTATATTTACACAAATGATTAAACAACACGGAAATGTTGTTTTATCTCCTTTCCGTCTGTTTCTTGAAGACAGTAAAGTTATGTACTTAAATAATGGAAATGTCCAGACTTGCAATATTTGGATGATAAGCTTAAGACAAAAACTTTCGGATGATGTAGTCCGGACGCTTTCCTCTTTTTCTGAACAATTCGAACCTCGCAATCCTTGACGATACAAAGTGGGAATAAAGTTCAATTTATTGAACTCATGCAGTGCTATTTAGACAATTGAGCCTAACGGCGAAACAAACAGTACGATATACAGAACAAAATTTTTATGAAGTCACCAGTGCCGATTTTTATGTTTAATCTTTCATTGCTTTATTATTTCTCAAATAATAGTTATGTTAATTCAAAGAGTCATTTGTTTATTCAGTCATGCTGCTAAGACTTTTCCCGACAGTCCTAGGTCACTTCTGTTGATAAAAACCTCAAATCACAAAAATTTGCACCTGTGCAAAATATTATACACTCTGGGCTCGAAGTGAACTGGTCAAGGTATGTTGGATCAGAAATGGGTGGTGTTGACCGGTCAAATTCGTCATATTGTCGAACCCATTACTTTTTTCTTGTGTCCAGAATTGCAATCAACTCGGACCTTGAGTACTTCATATTAGACACATTTTTTTGTAATTTCTGTATGAATTGAGGCAAGTGGACACTTTGTGATGTCTAAAGTAAAGAGCACAAGCCCCTGTCCACTCGTATCCCCATATTTTTTATAGAAAACGGGGATTTTTTTCTCCGTTGTTAAAAATAAAATACGTGCCCACACGTATTTTCGCCCCTCCAACGACCATTAGGGAGTTTACTCAACAACAACGGCGACGGCTACAAAAATTCCGTCTCGTTTAATTCGTCAAATAATGGCAAATTTCTTTGGACTTGAATTCTAAAGGACTGCATCAAAATTCAGGAAAATCAAACAAAAGTTGTTGTCGTTTGTTCCCGTCCTCGACGAAACTGGTGAAATTAGGCAGTTTGACGTTGTAGTCGTGCAACAACGGCAGAGAAATGTACAAAAAAGCGTGATGCACGTGCAAAGTTGTTGTTTTGCTTGTCTTTTTTGCCGTTCTAGTTGCCGTCGTCGCTTAAACTCCTTATTTCTTTTTTCGGGCGGACAGTTCATAAATTCACTCTTGTTTCAACCTCGCTACAACGGCCACTTCTCTACAATGGCCACTGTCTTACAACGGCCACTTTCTTCTGTCCCCAAGGTGGCCGTTGTGGAGACGTTCAACTGTAGCATCCCTTACAGCGCATGCGTGTAAATGCTAGTAGTATATGATATGAGGTGTGACATCATCGTTTTCGAAAACCTTCGTTTTCGTCTGTTCACACGTAAAGGACAAGCTGGCGTTTTCAAAAATCTCCACTCAAGAGACTGTTATTGAAAAGCTGCGTTTAGCTAGCATACCTGGACAAAACTACTGCTGATGGAAATGATACAACTAAAGACAAAAAAGAAGAAACTAAATAAAGTTAAACATTTCTCAATTTCACGTCTCAACATTTCTTCCTTGGTTTGTATGGTGCAAGCCCTGCAGTCTCACCCGGTCATGATCCGTTTGTTTGTAGAAGAAAGTTTTGTATTGTATCATTGTACCATAGTGCTAGTGGTATTTCCATACGTCACTCTGTTGATAAAAAAGAATTACTTTTGCCTTAAACCTCTTTTCCGTTGGTTAAATGTTCGACCGTTTTCGTACGTTATCACTCTTGTCTTCTAACTCTGACTTCAGGTCGTTCGTAATGTAGTATTCTGGTCTGCCTACAGCTGTACTTCACGTCGCGATTTTCTGTACGTTAGGTCGTTAGTCGTACATATACTTTGTTTGTCTAGGTATGTATTCTAACTGGCTTTCAAGTGTGTTTGCGAGCCAGTACTTGCTGATGATATCACAAATGCTAATCTGTCCATGAACGTCGAGCCAGTACTTGCTGATGATATCACAAATGCTAATCTGTCCATGAACGTTCAAGATAGTACTTTAACAACAATTGTCACTGAAGCCGGCTCTATTTTTTTTTTTAATACTTAAAGGCCAATGCTGAAAGATTATGCTATGTCGACTTTCATTTTCCCTTTATTCTCATTTAAAGACGTGATCCGGTCCATTCGTTTTTAGAATTTATATTCTCTGATGATCAGCTATAACTTGTAGCAATTTTATCGGGCTTAAAAATACCGCCAAGCAATTGACAGTTGATCTGCGCGTTTTTTATGCGGTGGCCTAAAACACAGTGGCTAATGTTACATTTTGTCGAAAACATACTTCGAGCAATTACTGATATTAAGTTCATTGCTGTTCTTTTTTTGGAAAAAAGAAGAGTAAACTTTGCACTCTTCTTTGCTATGATTGGTAACTTACTAAGATTACTGAAAGCGGGGTCAATATTGAACTTTATAATAATTTTACATGTCATTCTCTAACTTTTAAACCAAACGTTTAAGATCACGAAAACCTTAGTGAAATGGATTAAAGGAATAAAACACCTGCTAGTTAATTTCTTCCCATCCTTTACTTGTTTTCAATTTCTTATTTAAATATAAAAGTTGCTGACTTATGGACTGAACAAATCGTCCTTTAAAGAATAACGTTTTACGTATAAGTAAGGTGCAGCACCTGGTTTTTATAGATCTGTCGCTCAAGCCTCAGACAAATTTCCATTGATCGCAAGTGGATATCCTTTCGTTTATGCAAATACTGCTGTTGATGAAAATTACGATCAATGAATTCGGATGGAATCACATAGGACAAATTTTCGTACGTTTTCTCACGCATGGACTGAACTTTAAGAACTTCAATATTAGACAGGGATATGTTTAATTTAATGGACGACTGACAAGCAATGAAAGCAACGATAGATAGCCAAGAAAGGAGGCCGTCTAATTTCAGTGCTTTGTCATTTGAAACTTCAGTGGCAAAGGGAAAAGGTACAGTGTAACTTGCGTGCAGTGACAATTTTCTCAGTCACTGTTTTCTGTTGTTGACTTAATGTATTTTACATTGAGAATCTGTAAAGGTTATAGTGACAAATTCGTAAAATATTTCAGGGCACGAGTCCTCTAGTTATGAGCTTTAGTATGCCTTGCGGGTCAAACTCTAAAATCGTAGTGAAAGGTTCTGCAATTCTCAATATATTATGCTTAAAATTCAACCCACTTTTTAAATGTGATTTTCATGTTATAAAATTAATCGATGTGGTTGGTCCGTGTAGCGAGCATTTGCTTAGCGACTTCTTTGCCTACCGGAGTATAAATTAATAGGCCTTAGCGATGGAACACTAAGCTTTATATTATATTGTCGGTGCTTCGTAATCGCAGCTTGTTTGAAGATTTGGTTTGTGAAGAAGCAAACAAACAAAAGTGTTATTTGAATTTCAGCAATTTTTGTGAACAGGTACAGACGAACTGACCTGTGCGGAAAGGAATTTGATTGGCTGCAGCAAACGTTGGAAAATTTTGGCAGATTAGGATGATTTTGCGTTCTAGTCTGTGGGCAGGCATTCCGTTTCGGGGATGGGAAGGTGCTAAAAATCACAAGGAGACAGCGACGGAAAAATGGAAGAGGGAGATTGGGGGATTTTGGGAGAGCCCTCACCGCCTCCCCTCTCCCCAGTTCCTCCTTGGAGGAGGCCTGTTCAAAGGCTATTGCGTACCAGCAACGTCTGCTAGAACATGCCTGAAAAGTTAACCTTTTTTAAATTAATGCAAAAGAGATTTGAGATAATACAAATGGATTCTTCATAGAAAAGGGATCTGAAGTAAAAGTTAAAAGGATACTGTTGCAGCAATTCGTGACACACGTTTCTTAAAGTTATCTGCGCGCATTTTTAATGGCACATGCCACACCAAAAAAAGGGATAGTGCACTGCGCCATTTTTGTTTTGTTTTGCGTAGTTGAATTCATTTGTTCATTTTCTTTTGTTCTTTCTCCTAACGACAAATAGACGAGAGAGAGGAAATTCACAAGAAGACATTTCGAAAATGGATCAACTCCAAACTAGCAAGGGTGAGACAAATCCGTCATTGACTGTTTCAAAGCCTGATTATAGGCAATAAATATCAGGATTTTCTTATTAGCTGACTTTAAAGTATCGGGGTTTGCACCGAATTATGACATGGGGTGTGCTAAACGGTTTTGTCCCACTGTCCTGAAGACACAATAATTAAGAGATCTGTTAACTTAGGACATCTATGTAAATTTTGTAGGTACCGAATCCTCCCTACCAATTCTATGAAGTGCCAGTGAGTCCCGTAAATACGGGTCCAATGGGTAAAGACTATGTAATGTGCGTAATGAACCTTGCACAAGAGTATATGATTTTAGTATGCGCTGACGTTAAATGCTTCGTAGTGCCACCCTTATACACCCTCGAACACTTTTGTATTTTATTGTATTTACCGAGTTCGGCCTGAATAAGGACCGTATACCATTCATTTCGCTCAGTGCAGGTCAGAATATAATTCAGTGTCGTAATGCCGGCCTAATTTTTAGTTTTGGGCTACAAAAGGAGCCAGTGTATGTAAAACTCTTGTTCTTTTTAAACTTTCCACAGGCTGTACCTCCTTTAGAAATAGAAGATCTCATAGAGGAGGTGCGAGATGGTCACGTGCTACTCGCACTGCTAGAAGTTCTTCTCGGCACAACACTGGTAAGTCGTTTTTTTTGTGATGTCCGTCAATCTTTCCTAGAACAGCACCATATATAACGCAAAATTAAATCCCAAGTTTAACGAACGATATTATTTACTCTAGTAGTAGTAAAATATATTTAAAAGAACTTCGATATAACAAAACCTGGTCATAGCGAACACGTTTTACCAGTCCCGGAACCCTTCGTTATATTGAGGTTCCACTATGACCCTAATGTTCTCACTCCTTAAGGTTTTTTTGGATGCACGGTTGAAGTATTATGCTTCTCCGATTGGCGTGATTATCAATTCTATTTGGATAGATTCACAGGATTGTATTCGCCACTTCAGAGACGAGAGGAAGACTGGACCGAGTTAACTTTTTCAAAGAATTCTGGTCAGTGTTGTTAGCGACAGGGAAAACTTAGCCAAAAGGCAGCTTTTTGAGCAAAGCATGCCAACCGGAAGTGACGTTTTTTATCATTTTAAAGCACCTTGACGCTACCAAATTTGTGTTTCTTAGTGTCTTTACTATTATAGAGACGATCTGTCCAAACAAATTGCGCAAAGCCAGCGTCCAAAATTAAAAGACCACTTCCGGCCAACGTGTGCCGCTCAAAAACGTCTTTGCTTAAGCTCACTGACGCGTCCCCCAGTCACGATCCCAGAAGCAATTGCGGGATGCGCTTTGGCTCCTTTTCCCTTCTCGTTTCTAAGGTGGCGAATTTCATCGTAAGTTCTTAGCGTCATTCCTTTATTGTTTGCAAAAATTTCAACTTAAATAAAACCTTGTCGTTCGACAATCTGTTGGATCTAATGTGAGTATTCGATGATTATTATTTTTTTATCAGAAAAGAGAGAAAGGTCGAATGAGGGTCCACAAACTCAATAATGTAACTACAGCACTGAAGTTACTAGAACAAAACAGGGTAAGTATTAAAATTAAGGAACCTCCCCGTTACTAAATTTTTTGCATCATTTTACTCCCGAAAGAAAGGTTCATGTGACAATTAGAATCAAAGTGAGATCCCGGGAAACTTATAACCCACCCCTCCCTAAACCCCAAATTTTGGCCTTAGTTAGTGTTATCTTTGTGTTAGGGTTGGGTTGGGTGGGTGGGCAGCAGATTCCCACAGTCTTATACCGATCCATGTAGACATGTACCAACCATTCAAACTCGTGGAGGGGAAACTGCTTCGCTGCAGTGCAAACGAACACACGACAGTAAAGTGTTACGAAAATGCTTCTTCTCGGGAATAGTTTCCGTTTTCTTTTCGTAAATTATTATGGATTTGAAACCGATTTGGAGATTGGCATTTGAACTGACTGGTACCCACGAGTTACGATACCACGCCCATTTTTAAAGCAGGCCGCATTTTTGCTTTTTTCCCGTTCGAGTCCGGCTTATTTGAAGATTTTGCCCAATTTCATCCAGGTAAAACTTGTGGGGATCAGTAATTACGACATCGTGGACGGCAAAAGCACCCCCATCCTTGGATTAATGTGGAGCATTATTCTACGATTTCAGGTAAGAACTAGTACATGCACGGAAGTTTGATCTCACTAAGATAGCGAAAATTGTATTTAATGTGTTTTAAATTTTCATTCTACGATACGTATCTTGGAGTGACTCGGAAATTGTTAAGGCTGAGGGAAGCCTTTAGATTGATAACTTTGCTTTTTGTTCTGGCACTACCCCAGCGCCATATATGAACTCGTACTTTGAAGCTCACCTGTTTGTTAACCGCTGACCAGGTTCAAGGTGTGATGGAAGAGACTGGTTCAGACAGCAGTGTCAAAGATTTTCAAGTCGAGAAAAAACTGCTTGCTTGGTGTCAGAACGCTCTGGATGGGTAAGAAAATGAATATTGTTGGAAACCGTGCAAATAGGACATTTCTGAGTTTCCACAAGCCTCTGTTTCAAAGCGAGGCTTATACAAAGCTTCTGATATGAAAATTATCTTTTTAATTCTCATGCAAATAAAACTCACTTGCACAAGAAAGGTTTTGCACTTAGCCTCGTTTTAAAAGTTAGAGTTTTTATGATAACGACAAGTGAAAGTATAGAGCTGATTCCGTTTGCTTCAATCCTTAATCCTTGGCAATCGCAACACATGCGGCCCAAGCTCAACTTGCCATTAAAAGCATTTACCGAAAGGAGGTCTCTTGTTGTGGCGGTTTGAATTACGAATGTTTGTAATGGAAACAGAGGGGGGAAAGCTCGCTTGAAACTTCAAGGATATTTTGAACTTAATCATTAATTATTTGAGGCAGCTGGGCCGACTAGCCATCACCACAATAGTATATTTTAAGCGTTGCTTTGAAAACAAAAAAACAAAAAAAACATACATGCAGATGTAAGTTGGTCGCTGTCCTTGTATAATAGACAGTGACACTACTAGTTTTCACATCCCTGACTCCTCACATTTTAAAGCGCGTTTTCCTTAACTATCTATTCTGAGTGCAGTCGCCTTTAAACTATTTCCAGATATGACGAAGTTAAACTCAAGGACTTCACGTCGAGCTGGAGAGACGGGTTGGCCTTCAACGCCATCATCCACACTCACAAGTGAGTTGTAGAGAACAAATATTAGGTGCGGTTAACCATTTTAACCCCGGGGAAATTGCTGTTGCAGATGGGAAAGCAACCTTTTGTGCGTGACCGGATTTCGCAAGGTGACATTTTCTTGGGGAAATTTCCATGTATACGTCAAAAAGAACAAAAAACGTGCAATGGAGGAACTTGATCGCGGCTCATGGCAATTTTTTTTGTATACAGTAGTGGTTGCCTTACCGTGAATGAACTTCCCGGCAGTAGTTGATTTCACAAAACAGACGGACCTGTGTTTACTCCGGCCCAAGGTTTTCTGTCTACGCAGCTTTGAATTTTTCGAAACGAAATGCTTTACTATTTAATAAAATCTCGAGGAAAACAAATATCAATTCAAGAGACTGCAGTTGCAGCCCAAAGCGTTTATATTTGCTCATCATTATTCCAGAGACTACACTCTAATTTTCTTGTTTGGGAAATCTCTATCGTAGGCCTGAATTGTTTCGATATGAAGACATTTTGCAAAATGACAACCATACCAACCTTGAGCACGCCTTTACTGTGGCCAATAAGGAGTTTTCAGTGCCTACGCTGCTCGATCCTTCAGGTGAGGCATAGTTCTTCTTTTATAATGTCATTTCTCTTATCTTTCGACAGGATTCTGTCATTATTCTATGGCATTCAGTTTTTGTACTTTTTTGTGTTAACATCGATTGCATGAATATCTAAGTAACATCAAATAGCAACTCATGAACGTGTATGACAAATGCGAGAATGACTTTTTGCTAATTTATGAGGAAACAATCTTTTAAATGTTTGAAGAGGTTTCTCGATTTATCACTGACCATTCCGTGAACGCTTGTGTTAGTAAAATAGCAATAAGGATCGCATTTTAAGACCCTTTTCTTGGTAGGGTTTTTTTGTCTTTTGTCTGTTTTGAATTACTACTGAACAAGCCTGAGAAATCGAGACCTTAGAGTTTGGTTAAGAAGTAATTGGCTTTCTTCATGGGCTGGGAGAAAAGATTTTTTTTCAAATGACGCTATTAAAACCTTCAAGTCTTTGTCACCAAACCACCAGCTTCTGTTTTCCTCATATAAAAATAAAAAAAAGAAAAGAAACACTAAAAATAGTCTTTTGTAAACTGCGTTTTTTTTTTCGGTTAACTAAATTACCAACGGTGGCCTTTTTTTAGTTATTCATCCACAGCGCCTAAGACGAACTTTAAGTAAAAAACAGCCATTTTTTGAGCCAAATAAAAAACATTCACGTGCCACGTACGACTACGTACGTTAATGCCAAAGAACTGCTGTTTCAAAGTTTCACTTAGATTGTCGCAACTCTTGTTTTCTGCCAAAGTCCATCTCACAGCTTAGAACTTATCTATGTGAACATTGTTCTGGTGATGCTTTTCATCAGTTGTGCCGCCGGATACGAACTCGTGCTAATCAGGTTCGATCGTCCAGTGTGTGTACATTTCAATTAAGGGATGTATTTCAAGAAGTCTAATTTGCTTCACGCCATTACTCATTAGCAGGTCAAAGCTTAGCCCGTTTGCTCTCAACTAAAATTTCGATTCATCCACATTTGATTCTTCAAATCAATCTTGAAAGAAAAAGAAAAGCTCCTCAGTCTAAGAAAACACATTTTGAAGATACCATCCTGGCGATAATTTCCGCCTCCTTATGCAAATGCTCTTCCTCTAGAATGAGTACCAAAAGCATACCGGCATACAGATTTCCTAAGTATTCAAATACCGCGTGTTTGAAGATAAACAATGAACAGTGACATTCTTCAAAAAAATGTCAGTGTTTCTTGAGGCTTTTTAATTTGTGTTAGATGGTCTTCGACAGATAGGCTAGCCTCTGTAAACAAGAAATAAAAAAGGCAAATTAAGGGATACTTAGAACCTGAACGTCGTGTTTTTTTCTATCTGGTATCCAATAAATCAAGGGAGACACTTTAGAAATAAGTTAACAATGATCGTAATGATAAAGCAAGGGCCAACAAGAATCACCGACATTACTTAGTCATCAACTACCTCTACTACTTAGAGTTTTTGTTTCACACGAGAAATTAAAAATGCCAAATCTTTATAATGTGCATTGCCGCGTATGTTAACTTTTCTGGAGTCAAATATTGTCTAATTAAACAAGTTGCCGTAGACTTAAAAGATCACTGTGTTTTTACAACAGCAATGTTGTGTTTTTTAATACTGTGTCTAGTGGACAACGTGAATTTGTTTATAACGAGCCTGAATTCAGTCAATTCTTAGCAAGCGTTGTTGAACGATTGCCTTCATTATTTTCCGCTACGTGTAATTCTCCACTTCGCAAACTCTAGGGAGAATGGGTACAAGCTTTGGGTACAATCTCTGGGAGCATTTGGGTGGACAAGCGTTAGTTATGATTGGTCGATAGTATTCAAGGCAACTATTAATCAATCATACGTAACGCTTGTCCACCAAAACGATCCCAGAACTCGTTGCGCCGAAAGCTTCTTGTACCCATTCCCCTTATAGTTTCTGGAGTGGGGAATACGAGCATTGCAGCAGGAAAAACTGTATTTCAAGAATTATTCAGGAAATAACCCTTAAGATACAAAGTGCAACTGTTTTATATGAGTTAGCGAGGGAGGCACGTAAAAAACTTCATAGAGTGAGTTCTATTATTTCATTTTTTTTAAATTGATATGGTAGTTTTCTTTTAAAACAAGATATTGATGTGGACCACCCGGACAAGAAGCTGATCATTATGTATCTGACGAGTTTGTATCACGGGCTGAGGGAATACACACCACGCGGAGGAAGAAAAAGAAGAAAACTGGACGTGAGTTTTCTTTGTTTGTGAAGTATACCACGCGTAGAAAATCATTTGAACCAAATCAGAAGAGAAAGAAACACACCATCTACCCGGTGCAACTGAAAGGCGGGAAAACGCGCTTGAGCAAGGTTTTTTTTCAGCTTTGATTGGCTGAGGGGGGTAGGGGTCTTTTTCTTGAAGGAGATTGGCGTGAGTCGTTTAGCCAATCACGATAGCGATTGTGGTGCATTTTGGTACCAAAGCAGTCATTTTAGTTGTCGTTGTGTTTGTTATTATGCTTGTTTCCTTTTTCCCTTTTTTGGTTTCTTTGTAGTGTTGTTCTTTGGTTTCAATGTAGGTCTAAGGGCACGTGAAGCATTTTAATCCTAAAACACTTTAAAAAATTGTTGCTAAGATATTGGCAAAGATGAGTGAATTTTTTTGTTGTTTACATTTTCAGGATCTAGGTGATCTTGAAGCATATCGTGCAGCGCTGAAGGAAATTAACGATTACATTGCACGAGTAGAACGAGAGGTTTCCACGAAACTTGAAACCACGAGTCGCTTTCAAAATCCACAAGAGGAATACAAGATTTCAAAGGTACAATTTCAGCTAGCAGCCTTCTTCGCATTAGTAACAGCGAATTGTAAGAAACGCGAAAAAGTCATAATTGGAAAACGCGAATTCATTATAAGTGTCGTTTTTGCTGCCGTCGCCGTGGTCGATGCTAAAGCGCCTGATGGAAGCGGAAAACGTTGAAGAGCGCAGAAGTTAGAATTGATATTATAAGGGAGGTTTGGGCAGATAAATTTTGTCAAATTTCCCAAAAGGGTGGGACTGCCAAAAACCCTAGTTAGATTTCTGTCTGCCATGGAATATAAGCTGCACTACAGCTTATTTTTTTTGTGAAATTTGTCATTTGTATGCTTTTGCACTTTAGGGCCTCGATGATGACATTTGTAATCACCGTGAAGACGTTGCTGATGTAATCGAGAAAGGAGAAGCGGTAGTAAAAAGCGGCAAAGCTGACGAGATTCAATCCACAGAGATCAATAATGAAATTCTCGTCCTTCATGATCGGTGGGAAAAACTGGAAATACTCTCCCAGAGGTTACATAAACGGTAAATAAGAGGCCTTTAATATCTGTTACTTCGTGACAGTGTAAAAACGGAGAAAAACGTTTGGAATTACGTGAGTGCGTGCTCCATTTTTCTGGGAAACCGCACATAGAAGTAGGTGTAAATGCAATCTCAAGCCAACTTGAGATTGTTTACGTTTTCAAAGCCAAGAAAAGCAGCAAATTGTTTGAAAACATACTGTGAATCAGTGAAGGTATTAGCCGCATTCCTAAACCTGAAGCTAACTGCACGGGTGGTCAGTTCTTTATTTTTTTAAGATAGCTAACAATATTTTGTAGTATTTTCAATACTTCTACTTTGAAAGATCAACGCTACAGCGCTTTTCCAGTTGATTCTAGAATAAAGTTGCCAAATAAATGCCCAATGATTAGTGAACAAGCTATGTTATTTTTTGTAAATTCCAAATTAACGTAGCAGCGCCATAGCCTGTAAAAAGCACCGTTAATTTCATGTGCTTATAACTCAACAATCTGTTTGTTGAATTCCATTTTTCAAAATTTTTTTGATTATTTCTATCTGGGAGAACCGCCTTAAAATATCGAAATTTTGAGTGGATCTGTTCCTGCTAGATGGAAATTGTAATCGTTGTAAAAAATATATGTACCAGTTGCATTTCAGGAATGAAATATAGAGGGTTATGTACCAAACTTTATGTTTTTAACGCTTGTACCGGCTTATATCATTAGATGCCGCGGGGCAGTTGTTTCTCCAAGGGAACAGCAGATTGATACTTACATCATATGGATCAAAGGTATAAGAAGTGAGATGGCCACTCGAGGATACAGTGATGACCCAGCGCGGATCAAGAATGAAATCATAGAGCACGAGGTGTGGAGTTTGTTGTAATAGATTAGCTTTGTTTTTTCACTGATTGTGCTTTACTGGGACTGTCCGTCTGTCCGATTCACTGACTGACTGACTGACCGAATGACTGAAAAACTGGGTCTCTAGCGATTGAGTAATGAAATACATCCTTAACAGCTCTCTTAAGGACTGACTGATTGAATGTTTGCTAACTCGGCGACCAGTCGTCTGGGCCAACCCAATGACTGAACAACTGGCTGACCAACTTTCCAACTAGCTAACCAACTGAACGGATGACAGACCATTAAATTGACTGGATGATTGGCTGAATTATCCACTAACTGACTGCCTGCTGACCGATTGACTTACTGACCTACCGACCCATAGGCTGACTAAGTGTTTGGCTGATTGACTGAGCAACTGGCTGAGTGATTGCCTACCTGACAGGTTGGTTGGCTAGGTGACTGATTCACTGATTTACCGCCTTACTGGCTTACCAAATGATTATCCGACTGAATGAGCGACTGGCTGGCTGGCTGATCGACTAAAAGACATAAGTGAGCTTAAGCAAAGACGACGGCGACGGCAACGAGGACAGCAAAAAGGCAATGGGGTTAGATTAGGTGAAACAACAACTCTGCACGTGATCACGCTTTTTTGTACATTTCGTTGTCGTCGTTGCACGTTGACTTCGTGAAACTTCCTTATTTAACGTTTTATGGAGGACGGGAACACGAGACAACGATTTTCTTTTTCTTTTGTGAAGTTAGATATAGTCCTCTAGAATAATCGCCAACCTATGACAAACTGGAAGAGTTGGAATAAGAGCGATGAAATTTGAAACAGCGCGAATCCTACTTTTGGTGAGGTTTTGGCTTACGTTGCCGTCGTCGTTGCCTAAGGTCCCTATTCTGACTTACTGGTTGTCAGGACTTAAACAAGACGTAAAATACTGAATGACGTTTTGCAGGTCTCCAAAACAAAAATAGAACGAAAACAACCCGAGATTGAACAAGTTTTGGAAGAGGTGAAGGACTTGTGCCAACAACCTTTTATCGATGACGAAGACCGTGCTGACCTTGAACGAAAGTCGGATGATCTGCGCAAGAACTGGCAGGAGGCGCAAAGTGAAGCGGCGAACAAGGGAGCAGAGTAAGCTATTGTATATGTCGTGGTTTATTTTTAGCTTTGGTTTAAAACGACTAGTTTCTCCCATATTTCGGGGTATTGTAATGCTTACTTACATTTAGTAATAATAATCCTTTATTTACCCTCGGCAGTATTTTTGGCACTGATGCTGGTGGGGCCGAGCAATTATCTGAAACAAATAATTTACATCAAACATAACACAATAAAAAACCCCAAATAGCTGGAGGCAAACTAGCTGGTCATTTACAAGAGCGGCCAAGGATTGATCTCGGGACCATCGAGAACAAATCAAGCTAGCGGTCAGTGAGGGACTTAAACATCGGGTCTCCGAATTGAATGTTCAGCGCTCTAACCACCTGGCCATGCTGCCTCTTGTATAATAATGAGTTTGAACAAAGGAAAACTAGATTTTAAACAAGAACAAAATTTAACCGCAACACGTACCACGACAAGGCGCATTCTCTTTGAAATTCGCGCCGTGTGTTTGTATCTCAGCTCAGGTGTCATGGATTGTTTTGTCAGAGGTAGTTTACACTGGCGTTGTTTTTGTTACACTTGAGCCTAGGCTAATACAATTTTTTAATTTATTTGTTTAGTTCGTCGCATGTGAAGATCAACGTTTGTCCCAGAGACGATGTTCAGACGTTCTATCCGTCTGAACATTGGGTCTGAAGCTGAGGAAACGTGTTGGACGATCCAAACTCATTCAGACGAACTTAACTGAGCCAGACGTCGACCGTTTCATGAACTTAACTCACTAAGTTTGGTTCGTCTCATGAAAAGTTCGACGTTTGGCCTAGGCCTCAGTTATTCTTCAATTTCTGTTTGGCTCCTTAGTGGAACAAGTAAAAATAACGTAATTTTGTCCTTTTAGGCTCCAGGACAAGTTGGAAGACTCATCCTTCACCCTCCCGTCCCCAACTGCGGAAAATATGGACACGGAAGTGCTTGTCAAAGTCGAGGAGGACAATTTACAGTCCGCTCCGTCTGACTTAGGCGCTGATGTAATTGAAGTAAGCGTTTGCAGTTGTGGATTTGATCCTAGCAGTTATGTGATCGACCTAAGTAGCTGTTTTGATAAGCTCAAAAGCTTTCAGTCAGTAAATGTAAAATGTCTCTTTATATTTCTCAGCCAACTGTTGAAGATGTTGTTGAAACGAAACCAAACCGCGTTCATTACTTGATTGAATTTGAAGATGGCCCTGGGGTCGATCAAACGGACAGGTAACGGTTTTTTTTTATGAGATTACTAGGCACTGATGGTCACGCAAACATGATCTGGTTGCCTATGCACAGCTTCTTCACACAGTGTTTATTCGCACAAGGCTCTTAAGCAGTTGTTGATTCACATTTAAAAGGATTTAATTATGAATAGTTTGAGCGATTTCCGTTTGACCTTAAAATGATTACACACGACCAAAACCAAAACAATAAACGAAAAAAATAATATTAATAATTTGATTGGTTCATCGAACAGACACAAACGCGCGCTTCTTTTGGTTGGCTTAGCAAATATGCAGCGTATTCCCGGCGAAGTTTGTTGTTGGTTCTCCCGGGGAAAAACCTCCCGGAGCAAAGGAGAACTCCGGTTTTCCCCTCTCCCCAAAAACAAACATTTCCAGACTCCAATTCGACCAGGAATCAGGTGGACGAAGAACCACTTCGTGGATGTGCTACCTCCAAATCATCATCATTATTATTATTATTATTATTATTATTGTTATTATTATTATTGTTGTTGTTGTTTTCTAAAAGTAACTTTCCATATCTTAGGGGATAGAAACTGGGCTGCCGATTGGATACTCAAACGATGCTTTTTCCTGTATTTGGGTTTGCTATGACAGGAAAACGATGAGACCATATTTTGATCTTATCGTCTGCTAGCTGAGAAAACAAATAACGGACACCTAAGGAAATCATCTTTTAAGCTCAAACGAAAATCGCTCTAACGACAGCACTTAAAAGTGTATGCAATATTCTCCACAAGGAGAGACGAAGATGATTTTTTATGAAGGCGAGTGGGTGGACCAAGTCACGAAAATTCACTCAAAGTAGGTGGTTCTGCAGCAGTCACGTTAAACTGTACAGGGCTAGGTCACGCAATTCAAAGAGTCACGCATAGGTTAATTAAGCCGCGTCACGTAATGCGTCACAAAAAATCCAAGGTTATGCAGAGTTCGGTTGTCAGGTCACTTAAAGTAGCGCAAACTTTGGCGGACCAGCTCACACTAAAGTGGTGGGAACATACATGTCATGATGTTACTTCTTTAACTATTTAGTTACCGAAATGAGGCAACTGAATTTGCGGAACTTGTTTTAGTGTTGATAAAGACACAGAGAAAGAAGCAAAGCTTGCAGAATTAAGGGAGAAAAAGAATGCCATCTTAGACGTGTTACAAAAGTGTTCAGAGAAATTGGAGAATTTGAGGTCCATAGGAGCACCGAACTACTTGCAAGAGGTTAAGAAGCAACAGGATATTGTCACGGTAAACAAATAAATAATGTAGTTCCGCTTAGATTCCTATTCCCTTGTTCCTAATCATATTGTATACCTCCGGTTGCGGAAAAGTCACGGTTGTTTAATCATTAGTTTGTGTTGTTTTCCCTCCAGGAGTTAATTCGTAGTTGAGATGCGTGATAGCTTTCACTAGTGTTGGTGTCGGGCTTCGTTTTGGTTGTTAATCGCCAGTAGAGGGAGGATTGAACAATGATCTTGCTTATGCTTGGCGTGATTTTCACTGGACTGTGAACCTTCCATTAAACTTTTGCAACAGTAAAATTAAAAGAGTTCATGATGAACTACAGACCAGATGTGACAAAGCAGGACTATTGTCAGTGGCTTAATTGTGTTGCTACACGGAGTTGAATTACAATGCAGCATTAAATTAAACCCTTTTGGGGCGTTTCAGCAAGTCAGACCAAGCGAAAAGAAGAAAAATAAACAAACAAACCAGCCAACCTCAAGACTATCGAATTGGCCTGGGTTTGAAACTATACCCTATTAAACTGAAACGCGTGCTCAACAAGAACGTTACACGATTTTTGCTTTTTTTTATGCGAGAAACAAAATCGTGAGCAGAAGCAAAGTTCTTCTCGCTTAGTGAGTCCATATGCCTCAGACGTCATTAACTTTTTTTTATGTGATTAAAATTTATTTACTCCAGGAGTGTGAATCTGATTTGAAAGCGGGCGAGCCACTTATGCAGGACGCCATTTTGTATGGCCGAGAGTTGACTCAGGATGATCTGTTTGACGCAGACGAGAAGGAGAACATAACACGTGACATGGCGCAGCTGCAAGAACATTATGACGAGCTTCGGAACTTTGTTGATGATGAACAAGAGGGGTTTGTGATGTTATTTTCTTTGCCGTCAGTCAGGTCAAGGTGGGAGCCTTGAATGATCTTAATATTATCTTTATACTAACTAAGTTTGTAGAAATATGTCAAATGCATTTAAACGTTTTTGTAAGGATGTCACACCCTGACATGTGGGTGTGCAAAAATGAGGCACAACCAACGTAGAACTCCGACAAAAAGACCCTTAGTAGTCCCTTCTAACAAATGCCTCTTATACCAGGTATTCGGCGAACGAATGCCGTGGCAAAAAGACCTCTCTGGCAGGGAACCCGGGGTAGCATGTTCCAATTTTCTTTTTAATGGCCTGCACTCGGAAGAGCTTACAAACGGATGGGTTTATCATTTTGGTTTTACGATTGAGTCGGTAATGTTTGAGAAACTGTTCTCAAACTCAAATTTCAAAGGAAGGTTAGTTTGAATTTCGACAAGAATTGCCGATCATTTGACAAGCGGCTTCAAATTTAATAGTCATTCATCCATTTTTAAACAGATACCGTAACATCTGTCTAAAACTATAGTCCGCTGCGCCTAGTTCTTTTGTTTTATTCTTGGTGTTTCAATATGGGACGAAACACTGCGTCTCGTGTTTGAATACTCGAAACATTCCTTCGGGTGTATTCATGCGTCTGTTCTTCCATTAACTATTCTAGAAAAAGCTTCCCGTCAAAATTTAGACCCATTTTTAGTAATGGGATCAGCTGATAATAATAGTAAAGTAGAGAACTTGAGAGGGCTTTTTTTCCTGCTTTGACGTTGGTGGTAATACTTTCTTTTCATGAAAAGCAATGGCTGTGGTAAGGTGTGAATTCTAAATTATATATTCAGTGATTATTTTGGTAAAGTGCTTTCTTATTTATTAATTTGGTTTTGATATATATCATTGTTATGTGGCTACTTTAGCGCATGGATAAGCACTGTACATGAAAGCACCAATAAAAACTGTTTGCCGCCATTATTCCACTAGCGGACGCCATTGTAATAATTGTGACGTCATATACCGCAGCTAGTACTGTAATGCTTACCTTTATTGCAGTATTCAACGCGAGTCAAGATGGCATGAGCCTACCCTTAGTTTTTCTGCAAGTTTTATTGTCCGTGTAAAAAGGTTTTTCTGATGGTTTGTGGATTTTATCTGATAACAAGTTACAACAAAATTGCCTTGTCATCATGTAAATTTATTTGCAGAAAACCTGTCTCACGCAATTAACACGAGCAAGTTTTGATGAGCTTTGCTTTTCTCCTTGTCGAGGAAAACCTGCTGATGTAAATGAGGCTTAAAATCTCAATATTTCCGTCGACTCCTTTTCTTTCATTTTTCTAAGGGTGGATTTCCACTGTCGCGTAATTTTTACGTGCGTACGCGCGTAAAATTCATGTGTGTAAATGTGCGAAAGGCCGCGCTTAAACGTAAGAGCTGAGGGAGGTTCAACTATTGCGTTTCAGTATGCACGACTTTTCATACATTTCCTTGATTTTATTTACGCGCCTGGGGACGTAAAAATTACGCGAAAGTGAAAATCCAACTTGTTAGCTCTCTTTCGTGTTGCTTATGCCATTTTCCTTTTTTTCTTTTAATTTTGAAGTCTGATTGAACTGAAAAAAGAGTTGGAAAAACGAAGTAAGATACGAAATTGGGAAACTGAAAGAGACGACTTGAACGAGAAACTTGACAGTTGTCAGGATAAGCTGCGCATTGTGCGGGACAACGAATCAGGAGAAACCAAGGTTGATGATGATCTTATGGCTGCGGCAAAGGTGAGATACTTGTTTAACACTTTCTACTGTATCAGCGAAATACAAGCCCTAAACAGTCTCCTGGCTGCCCGCAGTATTTTTATTCATGACATCTAGATAAGTTGTGTGGAATCGCCCTGGGAAAAGACGAAAGGAATTCCCCTATTTAGACTAAAAGGGGATGTGCCATAAACAGGGTATGGTTTGCGAAATCCTGAGTCTTACACAGGGTATACAATTTCACTATTTAGCTTTTTAAACAGGGTATTTTGTTAGACCATCGCGGTTCGCGGTCTTTACACTTGGCCCAAACAGTTTTATCAAAAAATCTTATTCTGTCACTTTATTCTGTATAAGAACTGAAATAGACGAACTAAAAATAAATTGAATAAGAACCTTAAAATGATATTTTTTCTCTCAGGATAGTGAAAAGAATTGTTTTTATCTTAATCATCTTAAATACCCCTCCCCAAACTTCCCATTAGATTCCCCCGGAATAATGTTATCCGCTGGATAAATTTCTATCCATTGGATAACTAAGCAGTCGTTTTCCTAATACAGTGGAACTTCGATTTAACGAACCTCTACATAACGAAGACCTCGGTATAACGAACGATATTCCTTGCTCCATTAATAGTAAAAATAACGGAAAAGAACCTCGATATAACGAAAACCTCGTTATAGCGAACATATTTTGCCAGTCCCTTGGCCCTTCATTAGATCGAGGTTACACTGTAAGTATCGCTGGATTGTGATTTATCCGGTGGATAGCGGCGTCCAGCGTTTGAACATCCGGGACCAGGTAAACTGGTTTTGTCCATAGCATAAAGACAATGTTTCTTTTTTCTTGTCAAAATTGTACACATGACTCGCCTTTTTGTGTTGTGTCTGTGGATAGTTGACAGCTATAAATTTTTTCCCCAGGCCTGCTATAAGGAAGTCATTTCCCTTGAACCGGAAGTAAAGGAAGTTTCCGATGCCGGAAATGATCTGATACAAAAGGAAGGCCTCCATGGTGATCCAAAAGAGGACATTGTGAAAGACATTCGTGATATTGAAGACAGATACGAACATCTAAAGAAGAGCAGCGATGAGGAAGTAAAAAGGTAAAAAGGGTTCCCTTCAGAATTACAGTCTAGGAGGAATGCTCGGGGTCGACATGTAGTCGTATGTTTAGTGTTTCGTCTGCTGTTATCGTTGCTCTTGTTCATTGTTGAACGGGTAAAAAACAAACAACAATAACAACAATAACAACAACAACAAAACCCATTGTGTAGGGGTTGGGGAGCAAAGTCGGCGTTATGCTTAACCCTTTAAGTTCCCGTATCAGCATGCAAATTCTCTCGACGGATCTCTATACATATTCTACAGAATAAGTTGGGAGGATTTGATAAAATGTCGCAGCATTTTTCTTTTGGTGATCATTGTATTAATTCTCATAACCTCTTCTCTTAATTGCGTATTGATGATGTTTGGAGAAAACTGATGTTTGTCATTCTTGGGACTTAAAACGTTAGGGAAGTAACCAAAGGTCAGAATTAGCCTTTCAGGCCGGTCGTTTAAAAGAAGTAATCATCTTCTCGAGGTATTCGCTGAAACCTATCACTGTCGTACGCACCGTGTGCTAAATTAGGAACAGACAGGAGGAAATGCGTTTACCATTGGACAGGTCTGATCTTCCATTTCTGGCAAATGGTCAGCACCCATAGAGCTTCACTCAAGAAACTCTATTTAATCACAATCAGTGAGGAAGACCTCCTTATTTCTCCTTATTCTTACTGTGGACCTTTTCCACAGATAATTTAAAAAACATGTCTGACCTATGACACGTTTGATCTCGGACACCTCTCTCACACACAAGTGAGTATTCAAAAACCAGTGATGTCGAAAGGGTAGTTGCTCTCGCACCAGAGGATTATTTGGAAAAAAGGTCTTTAAATAGAGGATGTATAATGTACGAGGAAAATTAATCTGTTTGAAATATTTATATACCTGGGTACTTTAGGCTTGAGGAACTGTTGTCTGAGGAGTCTGACAGAAATGCAAAGCTTGATAAGTGGCAAAAAATCGTAGAGGAAACATCGTCTTTAATTAAGGATAGCAGATCAAGACTTGATGAGATTAAATCCAAGGATCCCCACACCACCCCAGAAATTCAAGAACAGTTAGACGAAATACAGGTAAGATACCAAATAGAAATAATGCCTTCCTCAGTAATTTATTGTTTTCTTTCTCCTTATTAATTCTGAAGGCCATATGTCTCTGGAAAAGATGTTAAGACAAATAAAGAATTCTATGGGCCAGCGGACTCTCCTCCTATCTTCTTAAATTTAATAGATCGTAGACTTGAATTTTCTGGTCACAATTGAAGGCAAAACAGTGAATTCGGATCAAGGCCTCCAGCTTGGAAACCATTTTATGTCAAAAAAATCAAAGATAGAGCACCTTACCATTGTAAATCCATTAGGGTGATGCAGTACCTCCAATAATGAAACGGCAAAAGAACGGGAAAGACTCATTATACAGATAAGTGATAGTACGCTCATTGTAGGGTAGTAGTTTTTTTCTCGCTGTTAAGTAGGCTGCCATTAACGCCATCAAAAATATAAATTAAAGGCTGTTATCTAAAACCCCACAAAGAAGTAATTCCCGCAGCCATGAGGCGAGAAGTGACAAACACAGGAGATACTGTGGACGTAATGATCACACGAGTCTTCATATTTAAGAGTTACTATGACTATGACTATAGTTGTTTTATCTAACCTAAGAGGATAAAGTTTTTGGTGTTGCCGAAACTGTTGTCGTCATTTAACGTTCATTCATCCGTAACTATCGGCGCGCCACTGGCGTAAAACCTTGCGTCTTAGCTTACAGCTAACGTCCGACCATAGCTATCAATTTCCTTGGAACAGAAGACCACAAAATTCACACGATCATGAGCAAGACGATTTTTCAGTCAGAGACACAGGCGGCTTGGAAGAATTAATCCGAATACTCCCCGTAATAGTCAAACTTATGACCTGGTTGCTAGTCCTGATTCTCTACCACTGAGCTACAGGAGACTGATACGAGCTGAGGCCACTAACCTAGGTTCATGTGACTAACATCCTGCATACTGCTAGGAATAGAATGTCAATATGTGCCGGCTTATACGCAATGATAGAAAAGTGATGGTGAATTTTAAGCCCGTTGAATGCACGAGAAAGATGTCAGACATTGACACAAGCGGCTTCGAAGGAAAAAATCTGAGTACTCCTAATAGGAGTTACGACCCTCAGTTACGGTGAATGACCGTTAAGGAAAGAAACTCTAGTCAAAATCAATACGCTCATTCAATCCTGGGCATAAAGGTCCGCAACACTCCATTCATGCGACGTTTGTGACCTCATTTGTTGGTTTTCGCCATCCTTAGAAACTCATTAACGATTTGGCTTCCTCATTCCCTGAAGTACAATCTGGTTATGATTATGGTAACGACTTGCTGAAGGACAGAAAGATAAGCGAGCAGAACAAGGATAAAATTGAGAAAGATATGGACACCATCGGCCCAGACTTTCAGCTTTTGCAGCAAGACATAAACGATGAACAAGAAAGGTAGGAGTTTTTAGGTTTCTGATAGAGAGTTTTAGCATCCAAGAGGAGAGGGGCAATAAAACCACCAATATTACATTGAGTTTGCGTTTTTTAAGCAACACAGCCATAATTCTAATTCGGTAGACAATTGGTCAAAAGTAGCGCACATTTTCTTGAGTTGAACTTTTACCGAAATTTCGATCAAGTGCAAAAAGAGAAGCGGACAATTGTTGTCTGTCAGCGTTCTCCGTGAAGCACCACGTGGTAGTTGCGCCGAGTGCGGCAACTACAGTCTTCCCTAAATAATTCTTACCTAAATTGACGATCACACAAGAGATTTTCCTTTACTTACATTCAATTTTTTTTCTTTATTGCCGCTCTAGGTTGAGTGCGTTGTTATCAGATGTATCTGCAGAGGACGAAAAGAAATTAGAGAAGATGAAAAAGTGGAAGGAGTGGAGGGATAAACTGAATTCCAAGTACAAGAAGACGCGCGGGAAGTTCAACAAAGTCAAAGGCCAAGGAATTCCTAAACAACCAAAGAAAGTACAAGAGCAGCTTCAACTCACTCGCGTAAGGATCTTCTACATTGCGCTTTTAATTGTACTTTGTACTCCTTATTAAACTCTTACTACGTGGACCGACATACTTTGTGCGAGTTTATGCACCAAATAACTTCAATCTATGAATATGAATTAGTGCATTTTTGAGGTTTCTGCAGTGTCCAATGTACGTAGTGGTGTGTGTGTGTGGGGGGGGGGGGATATTGGTTAGAGAAGTGTTACATTATTGTTGTGATACACTGAAAACGTAGCTGCTTCTAAGGGTTGTACCTCTAGTGCAAGAAACTAATGTTGGCCAGGAAAAGGGCGTAGTCGCCTGCTCTCATTCGGTATAGTTACTGAAACATTGTATTCGTTTGCACGTTCATTTTCGCTTAGTTTTTAAGTGAATCGGCAGGGATGCACGGCGGATAAATAATAATAGTAGAACATTGTTACCTTTGTTCAAACGTTTAAGTGAAATGGTCGTGTTTCTTTTAGGATTGCTCGTCTGACATAGCGGAATCAGTGCCTGAACTTCAGGAAGCTTTCAATTACGCCAATGTACTGATACATGATAAAGATGTTGAGATTACGGACAGGGAGGCGATAAAAAAGGATGTGAAAGAGATCGGAGAAGGATTCAAGAGCTTAAAACTGGAAATAAACGACTTTGAGAACGAGTAAGTTCTGAACATGTTGTTGGAACGGTGCAGCGTTCAACCACTCCTTAGAGCCGTTGTTAACTTGACTTGTGATTAAGGATCTACCACCTTCACAGACATCCTGGTCTTCGTTGCATACAATCTCGTTCCCACAGAGATAAGAGTAAGAGAGAAACCTAGGAACGAAGTTGCCTTGCATTTTGTGTCTTAATCCCCTTTTTGTTCCGCTTACTTTACATTCAGTCCAAGATGTTAAATTTTATTACTCGATAAATGCGACTATGGAGCTGCATTCGTGAACACTTCCTAGCGTAAAATATGTCCTAAGTATCGTTTACCAATCATATATTGTTTATCAGAAATTTCTTAAAATATTTCCTGAACTTAGATGGTTGGTTTCGGGAATCCATATGCTGTATTTTGGGCAAGTAAAACTGAAATGAATCTTCCATCTGGCAGGTATTTTCCGTGTTCAACCCTTAATCCTTTAATTTTATCAACAAACCTGTTTTGTTTTCACTTTATTCTCTTCTAGGCTAGATAATCTGAATCTTAAACAGGAAGAAGATAAAACAGAGAAAATTCAAAGATGGGAAATCTGGATCATTCGAATTAGAGAGCTGCTGGATAAGTGCAAAGAAAAGATGAAAGATCTGAAATCGAAGGGTGAACCACAGAATAACAAAGACGTCAAGGAACAAATCGTCCTGGCCGAGGTAAGAACAGTATACGTTTGTATGGTTGTTTGATCACGGTAAACAAGCGAGAAAAATTGAATGATGAAAATGAATCTGATGCATTGAATTTGTGGCTTCGCTACCTCCCTTTCATTCGGAAGAGCACTGGACCTCCGAGGGGATGGTCGCAGGTTCGATCCCCGCAACCGAACCAATCCTTGGGGTCTAATGATTCAAGGAAATGAAGGAATTTCCCTGCAAATCATCAGACCTTTACGAAGAAATGGCGGTTCTAGTTCTAGTACGAGACTTAAAAACAGTGTCCACGATTAACACTATCAGGCTACGTACATTGACACTTAAATACAGCAGGATTTTTGTTAAATTAATTATAATTGTGTAATTTTTGCTGTAGGAGTGCAAAGTGGAGCTCCAATCAGCGAAACCCGTTATTCAGGAAGGACTTGATTATGGACGACAACTTCTGAACGATGATGTCATGGATGATAATAAAAAGGCCGACATCAAAAAGGACGTGGATGAAGTTGAATATGACTTAGCTAAAATGGAGAAAGATCAAGCAGACCAGCAGGGCAGGTAACAGTCATACTGCAGTCAATGACAGTTAGACAACCACTCAGTCAGTCAGTCAGTCAGTCCTTGAGTCAGCCAGTCAGTCAGCCAGAAAGTCAGTCAGTCTGTCTGTCAGTCAGTCCAACAGTCAGTCAGTCAGTGAGTCATTCAGTCGCAATGATAACTATTTAAAGCCGTTGTAATTTACGCCCTTTAGTCAGACATTCAATTTGCCCAATTTTGTCCAATTTTCCCAGCAAAAGGAAGACGTGACCAAATCCGATTACTAGTGTCTCAAACCCCATTTTCCCAGTACACAAATAGTCAAATCCCAGTTCACATTTTACCGCTCCTGGGCCCTCTATTACTGATTGATACGTTTTCAGCTTTGTTGCTGAAAGAAATTGTAGCAGTCTGTTACCTGGACTTTTCCTACAAGACTCAAGACTGCATGTTTGATTGTTACAATTTGTAGACTGGAATTTCTTGTCGCGCAGTACGATTCCGACAAGAAAAACAAGTTGGAGAAGTGGGAAACATGGAAAGTAAAGGTCAGATCAATCCTCGCTTTCAACCAAACCCGTCTGAACGACCTCAAGACGGAAGGACCCTCTGCTGATCACAGTAAAGTGGAAGAACAAGTAATAAAGGCCAAGGTATCTGCCAACAATTTGGAATTTTGAAAGTACATATTGGGTAACTTGATGTATATTACTAAGATTTTTTCAGAGAAACGGCACGTGGCACGCTTACTGCATCATACATTATTCACCGACTTGTGTGTCAGTGTCACATTACACATGATTTGACCTTGGTAAAACACTCCTGCTCGTGTGTTGACTTCTCTTAAAACATTTAGAGAAAGTTGTGCAAAGATCTGATCAGCAATAACTCTGTGTGAATGGGAATATAGATAAATAAATAAAGGAAAATATCACGGTCTACCTCGGAAAAGAAAAGTTTCGACTTCCAAACTGGAATCACCAGGCTGGAATGATCTACAACTGAGCTATGGGAAAATCGAGTGGTGAGCAACGTCTGTTCGCTATTCTGTTAGTTCGTGGCTTCGATTACCATCGGAAACCCGGAATTTTTCTTTTAGGAGTTAGACCTTGATATTATTATATGTTTCTGCGAAAGGGTGATGAAAATAAGCTGAATCTTGTGCTCGTTAATCCTTTCTCAGGATTGTCAGGACAGTCTGCAAAATTCGGAACCGGAAATAAACTTTGCTCTGGAATATGGTGGGCGGTTGGTCGATGATGACATCACAGATCCAAAAGACAAGACAAAGATCAACGAAGAAGTAGAAGAGATGGGAAAGGCTTTGAATGATCTCAAAGAAGACGCTGCTAAAGAAAGGAAAAGGTATTATGCGCAAGTGGTATCACCTTTTGGAACTATGAAAAGGAGTATTGTTCATTCTTTGAGTTCTCTTACTGAAGAGCTGTGTGTCCAGGTCAGGAATTCTCTGATCAAGTTCAATAAGTGAAGAGAAAACCTCTTATGGTGGTTTACTAACTCCATACATCCATGCAGTGTACGAGTGAAAACCCTTTCAGGTTTTCAGTACTTTCCGGTAAATGTGATAAACTATTTACTATCAATTTAACGTCATGGAAAGCTTCATCCAACGCGGAGTTTTATAGGATGGGTTAATTCGTCTCCTAAAAATCTGTTCTTTCTCCCAGTAATCCATCATTTTTGGGTTACAGTCGAACCTCCATGTGGAACCACCTCCCATGAGGAGCGACCACTCATCCAAAACACCAAGACTTTCTCAGTCAAAGCCTTACAGTTGGAAGCTCTAGTAAACGACCACCTCCTGTAAGCGACCGCGACCACTTTTTTTGGCCTGAAAGTTTAATGATTTTCTAGTGTTTTTAACCTCTTGTAAGCGTCCACTTGAGGCATTCTCTGATCTCTATGTTCGCTGTGTGCACTTTGCTACCTATAATATACAAAGAACTTGCGTAACAACATGGACCTACACATGCGTAACTTGGAAATTTTATGCAATAATTTATCTTTCACAAAGTACATGTGCCCGAACCTCTTCTTGGAAGAGACCTCCTGTGGTGCGATTTTAGTAAGCGACCACTTCCCGAAAGCGACAACTAAGTCTTTGCATTTTGGTTGGTCGCTTACGGCAGGTTCGACTTTATTTATGCCGAAGAAACTGAACTTACACTTAGGCAAGTGACTCAGTGCTCATTGAAGATAGGGCTCTCTGGTTTAACTTTTACAATTATTTGTAAGAGACCCTTCCACGCCTGATTTAAATTGGCAGAAAACCGTGGAAGGTATGAATTTAATTGAACACTTTGGTCTGTTGAACAGGCTGGAAGAGCTACTTGAAAGTCAAAGAGAAGAAGAGAAAAATCAAAAGTTGCAGAAGTGGGAGGATTGGAAGGCTCACATAAAATATTCCTTTGGAAATTGTGAAGATAAGTTAGCAGATCTCAAATCAAAAGGAGACCCTAAAGACAAAAAGGACATCGAAGAGCAAATAGCCTTGAACAAAGTAAGATCTTGGTCTTTTATAATAATATATTGTGTCTGTATTACTTTGGTATATTCTTCCTTAATAGAATGACTGATATGGTAGTTCTCAAAGTCATCATTAATTCCTCAAGGTACTGTTAGGTTTTAAAACTTGCGAACTTGACCTTTCGCTGAGGATCTTACTAAACCGGGGAACGGCGGGGAGCGGGAAACGAGGACAGAAAACGGGAAAATGAAAAAAATGGGAACGCAGAGAATTGGAAATGAAGTTACTGATTGGGCTAGGGTTTACTGATAGGGCTTGGGTTCAAGTTAGGTTTTGTTCCCATTTTTCATTTCCCGTTCCCCGCCCTCGTTCCTCGTTGTAGTAACATCCCGTCTGCTAGTTATTGCGTCGCATCTCATCATTTTAACAACCAATACAATTTTCAACATAAATAAAAGCCCTGATTGATAAAAGTCCTCACTGGTCGCAGAAAACAAGAACACAACATTGTTTATCATTATTTCCATTATTAATTTTTACGGTTACGGTAGCAAACCAATTGGCTTTTTGGGTTAAGACAGCAGCTTCATGAGGCACTTGCAATAACTAAGATTTGCGGTTAGATACTTAATGCTGATATTCAACGAGTTGCTCAGTATTTCTTTACATTTATACGTGGTATAAAAAGACATAAAAGAACCGATCTGTAAAGGGTATCGACCGATCCGCAGTCCACTCTTCTGTCTCGTGAATGGTGTTTACCAGGGTAAGATCAAAATAATTTTTACTAAACCTGGCTAAAACTTTATGTATGGATACGTGTGAACGGGGGCCATAATCTAATTGCTAGATTGCTTTGATATCAGGTTTTGGCTCCGACGACAAATTTGATGACAAGCTCTTTGTTGTTTTTTACAGGAGTGTAAGGATCAGCTTCTGCAGTCCAGGCCTGAGATAAATGACGGTCTTGCGTTTGGGTGGTTGATTTTAGAAGACGACAACGTCGATGACAGTAGCAAAGCAAATGTTAAGCAGGACTTAAATCAGCTGGAAGAAGATTTGTCGAGACTTGACGACGCTATTGCTGACAACGATCGCAGGTGAGCGTGCCATATTTGACTTGTTACCTTTTACTTATTACTGATTCCAAATTCAAGAACAAATTAAGTATATTTTGAAAAGTGTGTCGAAAGTTGTGTTGCACACCGTAAATCCTCTATTAAGCCCCCCCTCTCTAATTACCCCCCCTTTCGGGGGAAGAAAGTTAATAAGCCCCCCTCTCTTTTAAGCCCCCCTCCCCCTTATCATTCTTCACTAATAAATGATAGAATGTATTAATCAATAACGACAGTAAAACTTGGTATGGACTGATCCTGGTTGGTTTATTCACCAACTGGAAGTTGAGCTAGTTGTTTTTGATCCTCGGCTGCATGACCTCCAACTTCTTGTACTTGGGCTTTTCCATTTTTTATTCTAGGTCTTAATGGAGAACCGATCCCACCGTGAAATAAATAAGCCCCCCGGGGGGCTTAATAGAGGATTTACGGTATTTTCGCATTGAGCTTTTGAACAAGTCTTTACGATAGCCAGTTCTTCTCATAATCTCACTTTTATGATCGCACGTTTGTGTTTTTCTTCGTGCAAGGCGTTGTGCACGTTTCTCGCTTCAGCGAAGTTCGAAAAAACAACTGATGAGACAAATGGAATGGGACAATCATAAGAACCCTAAAAATTCGTTTACAATTGTGACTCTGCAATGGGCCATATTAGAATTGACCTTCCGTGTATTTTAATTTGTTTTGCACCATTAAAATTGCCAGCGAAAGGTGAATTAGCGTTGTTTCAAACCTCATCACTCTTGTTCCAACTCTTTTTATTTTTGAAATGTTGGCGATTTTTTCAGGATTTGAATTCTAAAGGAATGTATCTAAATTCCCCCCCAAAAAAGAAAATCGTTGTCTTGTGATCACGTCCTCCATAAAACTTGAAATTAGGCATTTTCATGCCGTAGTCGTGCAGTGATGTCAAAGAAATGTACAAAAAGCGTAATGCACGTGCAAAGTTTTTGTTTTGCTAATCTTCGCCGTTCTCGTTGATGTTACCATGGGCTATGGAAACATGGGTTTCGACTAAAGAAAAAGGTTCATTTTTTATTTAATTACTAGAATCACGCTTTGTTTTGCTTTGATCCGCATTCATAAAAACTTGGTAACCGAACGTTTTCTTCGAATCCTGGGGCGCGGTCCGCCAATGAAAGTGACCGTTGTGGAAAGGTGGGCATCTACTACACGTAGATGTCAAATGATATGCCGATGCTGTTGTTTGATGTGTTTCATTACATCTTTTTGTTTTCTTTCAGGTTGCAAGAACGTTTAGAAGCCTTGGACGACGAATCAACAGAACTTATGGAGGATTGGCGTGAAAAATGCAGCATCTTAAAGTCGGGCATGGACGCTGCTGATAAGAAAATTGCGGAAGGAAAGAAGGCGGAGAGCCACGATGAGATAGAAAACAGCTACAAAATGCTTAAAGTAATGCTTTGTTTTATCTCGAGGAAATTACTGTAATTTTTAAAAGATACAAGAAACAAAATAGGTTAAGGGTGTTGTAAAACGGGCAGCAAAAACGTGCAACTTGTTTAGCGATACTGCTGTAAAATGAGTTGAATAGCGATGTTGCGCGTTTTACCACCCACGAATCAAACCTGTCTTGGAACAAATCAGGGTGTTGCAGGTTGCGAAACGTTTTTGCAGAAAATATAGAGTAGTTCCTCTTTTTGCACCAAAATGTGTGTATGTTGTGCGTTTTACTGGCCCAAAGCAAACTTGTTTTGCAGCAAGTGACGTAAATCCCGAGTATGGCGTAATTTTATCCAATCAGACAACCTGATTTTTTGCAAGACATGTTTGAACGTGGTTGGTAAAAGACGCAACTCAACTCTTCAACTTGTTTTTCAGCAATGGTGAAAAACAAATTGCAGATTTTTGTTGCCTAGTTTACCGTACCTTAACTTAGCTTAGCTTACAATGTCGCGTAATTTTTCCATGCGATCGCGCGTAAAATTTACTTAAATAAAATAGAGGTAATATATGAAAGGCCATGCGTAAACGTAAAAGTTGACCGATGTTTAACTTTTGCGCGTCACCTTCTTTAACAGGGGCGTAGCCAGCTTTTCGACCATTTGTAGGCGTGGCTACTAGTCTGACCGCACTAACACTTTGACCTCTTAAGCTTTTTAGCTCACCTCAACAACCCATAATTTATTACAAGCGATAGAGTGATCAAACCAAACATTCGTAGGCCCGAGCCTACAGGTTTATGGGCTGGTTACGCCTCTGCTTATTTTGCTTACGTGCGTAAAATTTACGTGACAGTGGAAATCCACCTTAGTTAGTGGTCGTAGCGTTTGTTGTTTACCAATAGGTTTTTAAGTATAGCAAACGTTCTTGGTACTGCTAGTCAAATGATGGTATCAACGGAACCTTCTTTTGCGATCTTTACTTTCTTTAATTGTCTTTGCTAAATCTTCCCTTTACTTTTTTCACAGTTCAAACGTTTGCCTGGGTTTCCGTTCGTGGTACTAAATGTGATCTGTTATATTTCAGGAGTTATCCAAAGGCCTTGCTTTGATGGAACCGGAAATGACCAGCACTGTGGATTACGGCAAACAGCTTGCATTGAATGAGAGTCTCAGCAGCGAGAATCGCAAAGAAGTGTCTGAAGATGCAAAATATTTGGAAGAAAGATGGAGAGCTCTTATGAAGTCTACAGACGAGGAGTATGCTAGGCGAGTTGTTTACAGTAAATAGTAAAGTAGCAGCTCCTCGTAAGGTGTCTCCTGATTGGTCTCATTGTTTATCAGTATTTCCATTATCATTCACGGTTACAGCAGGAAAACAATTGGCTTTTTTAGCTGCTCTAAGATATGTGGTTAGTTACTTAATGCAGATATTATATTCAGTATTTCGTTACATTTATACGTTGTATAAAAGAACTGATCAGTAAGGGGTTTCCAATCATTGGATCGACCGATCTGCGGTCCACGCTTATGTCTCGTGAATGGTTGTTTAAAGAACGCCCATAATAATGCAAGCAATCCACACAACTTAACTAGTGTAAAGGAATGGTCATTTCAATGGAAGCTTTTCAGCAGTGATTACTTGTGACCTATTTGCAGCTAGTATACATGTATATGTTGTGGTTCAATTTTATCCTTGGTTAAAATTTTATTTTCGTCTGTCTTATGGGTATGGCAATGTATGATAATGGTTTAAAAACAAAGGAAAATATAATTTAAACCAAGGATGAAATTGAACCGCAACGTATACATGTACAAGAAGGTCCTAATTATGCTGGTTATTCTCTCTCCCAGGGCTTTTGACCCCTCTCAGTTTCTAACGGCAAAACCCTGAAGACGAGGTTGATGGCTGGTACATGTATTAACTGATAGCTTAATGTCTTTGTAGAATCGGAGTCCAGCTTGGCGAGGCTCAAGCTAAACAAAGCCACTTAGCTATCTGGCATGAACGATGTGATGAGCTTCAAGAGTGGGTAACAGACAGGTATACAAGGCTCCGCTCCCGTCCCACCTCCCCTGAGGCCTCCTTTGGCGGAATAAAAAGGCAACAAAGCGTTATTGAGGTACGCCCATAGAACATACTCAAAACGTTATCCGATTCCTTCGGGTCATCAGTCTGCACTTCAAGGTGTCTAGCCTTAGGTTGTTTATGTTTACTTACGCTAGAAAACTTGGTTGCTTACCATTTACGCAAGCCACCGGGTGGAAATCTTGTGCGTAAATATATAACTACAAAATTTGACTTGTTGGTAGAATGAGCCTCTACAAAGTATAGTGAACAGACTAAAACGAGATAATCTTGATTCGCCTGAAATAAAAACCAGTTCCGAAGCTTCCCAAACGGAATGGCGCGAACCGTTTGATTTTCCAACCAACATTTCCGGTTTTCTCATTTATGGTAGACTAATACCCAGTCGCTATTTATGTGTTTTGGGGGTGAGAGAAGATTGGGGGTTAGGTTGAGGCGCGCGCGGGGTGTCATGGAAAGGGACATGACACCCCGCGCGCGCCTCAACCTAACCCCCAATCTTCTCTCACCCCAAAAACACATAAATAGCGACTGGGTACGAGTATGCTTTTATGGTAAGAAATAGAGAATACTTCATGGAAAGTGCTGGCGTACGGTATTTACGCACGAGTTGTTGACGTATCAGAAATCGAACGAGTGAGCGCAGCGAACGAGTAAGATTTCTGATACAAAAACAACGAGTGCGTAAATACCGTACAAAGCACTTTCCATGTGGTATTGTGTTTATTATATACATACTGAGTCATTCATCATTTTGCGGGCCTTTTTATTTTAAATCTTTCAAAAATGCTAAAATTTGCCGCTACACACTTACCGCAAAATGACAACGAAAACGAAGTATCAGCTTTTTAGTAAAAACGTTTGTTAAAAACATAAATGACGGTGAGGATATGAGGTTTAATCCAAGAACTATAAGTAATCTTAACTGTTTGTTCTCAATGCACAATTGAAAATGAGTGAATTTAAGTAAAATGGCCGGTTTCAATATAAGCTTAAGCTTAAATGAAAGGCAAAGTAGCTCCGACAAAAAGCACAACAAAAGCTTACGTCTCGTTCTGTTTATCCCTTTCCGCTGTTGTTTCACCGGCTCTCTACCGTATTTTTTACCGACAGTGAAACAAACGAAACTATTCCACTCCATTTCCGAAATGTTTTTCTTTTTTTAGCGAGAAAACTCCTTGAGTAAAACTTTTCTCGTTCATAAAAAGCGGCGCACAAGCTGCAAAAAGGCGGGAATTTTGGCGCGAAACTCCTACACCTCTGTGGCTTCTGATTGGACGTATCATTTTTCTCACACGTGAAAAAACATCGTTCGCGATTCTGATTGGACGTATCGTTTTTTTCACGTGTGAAAACCATCGTTCGCTCCTCTGATTGGCTATAACTAATTTGCGTACGAAAATTTACGACATAGCTTTTTGGTGAGTATTTCTCAGTACGTATATAATAACCTCTTTTGTCACATTGTCTCTCTGTTCAACCAGTTTGCGTTACGTCGACGTAATACTGTTTACAAGAAGGCGCTTATGATAGACTAGTTTCAAATTCTGTCGATTTTCTAAAATGAACTTTGCTCTTTTAGGATTTAGTAAAGGACTTAGTTTCCAAACAAGGTGAAGTGAACGAGATCATTGACGAGGGAAATCAAATTATCGAGGACAAAAGTCTACTTGAAGGGGAAAGGAGGATTGCCCATGAAAAGATGATCGCGCTGCATAATGACTGGAACAAGCTGGCCACGTTAACATCAGGCAAACAACAAAGGTAAACAACAGTAATATACATTAGAAAAGTATTGGGAAACAAGCCCACTGAATCACCGAGTGAATTTACCGCTTTTGGTCAAAACCTTAGGACCACGGACTCAAAACAAGCGAACACAAAATTAACAGCACAGAAATGTTATGTTTATTATTTTCTCTTCAATTTATTCATCCTCATCCTCATCCTCATTATTCTTTTTTATTAAGTAATTAATTAATATTAAAGTGCAAGTGACAAACGGGCAGATGGGTGATGGAGGACCATAAGGCAGGCAGCCTTCTCTTAATTGTTAATATATAAACTATAGTATTTTTGTGGACTTTGTCTTTCCTTTTCTTTTTATTTCTTTTTTGTAAACGATAACAGTTACCTGTAATGAATTGTAAATGTAATGTATTGTGATTGTTTGTGTGTGCGAAATAAAATTTAAAAGTAATTAATTAATTTATTTATCGCAAACGCTCCCACACTATTGCGCAGACCCAGAGCGAAAATCTATCTGATAAAAAAGAAACTTATCTACAGACATCCCCTTTAAACCTAAGAATCAATATCTTGTGATAACAGTGCTTGAAACACGTCTCCTTTCAGCGTGCAAGTATTGCTTTTGGAGAAGGAACAACAGCATCTAGACAAGACCCAAAACTGGAGAAGAAAAATAGATCCCCTGATGATGTGGATCTCATCCGCAGAGACCAGACTCAACACTCACTTTGAGATTGCACCAGATCTGGATACCGTCAAGAAACAAAAAAGAGAATTAGAGGTACACTTTTCCCATTCTTTTCTAACCGGCTTTTTTTTTCTAAATCTAAATCTAAATATCGTTATGTCGGCAAAATCGTTTGGGACATCACGCCAACTCTAACTCACAGGTTATGCTGTTTTTTGTAGGAGAAGACATTCCAAAAACCTAAAATTCTAAAAATTAATAAGAGTCGTGCTGGAAAACATTCGACTGGTATTAAAATGACTTACAAATCGCCAGAATAATTAAAACGGTTAATAAAGACATTTTTAGAAATTCACTTTAATAGGAGAAAACGAATGTATTTTATGTAACTTCTTTTTGTGTGCATGCTCAAACTATCGAACCTTGTGGCTGTACTTTTGACAATGCGGTTTGAAATGAAAACACTTTTAAACTCGATTTTCACCTCACTCTGCTAAAATAATGGAAAGCCACCGTTTCGGTAATGAAAAGGTGTCCGCATTTTCCAGGTACGTTTGTGTAGAATACATTAAAAAAAATCCAACGGTGTACAGAAAGCGTTGCTTCGATATAACATACAGAAATGAAATCCCGTTCTCTCCTGCTCCACTTTGAAACGCATTTTTATCGCCAATCTTTCGACCGTGCAGATAGCTTGAACCGATTTCATTTTCCCTTTAAGGTTAGAAAAATCAGGATTTCACTATGTTAGCAGAAACACCAGCTTGTGATGATTTGATTATTTTTTTCTATATAATAATAGGACTTTAATGATGATATGCTGTCTCATCAACGCGAGGTAAGCGATACTCTGGTGTACGGCGACAAGTTGCTCAAAGATTCCGAACTTCCTGAAGACGACAGGACCGCGATTCAGAAGGAAGTCCTGGATCTGAGTCACCGCTGGGAGAATCTTGAGGAACTTGTGTCGTGGAAAACAGACAGGTAAATTAATTTACAAGTGGTAATCATGTCATCGTCATCATATGACGTCACGGTACAGTAGCTGTATGTATTTTTTAATTAGTTCAGACGTTGCAGTTCGATTTATTGTATTTTAAGCTCTTTGCGAGCAGTATTTGAGACAATAAGTGCGGTCAAAAAATGTTTCTAAAATATATAGTTCTTAAAAGACTTTCTCATAGAGTATCCAGTGTATCAGGCTTAAATTTTTAGACCTACCTAGTAATTAAGTTTTTGTCTTCCTTTATCCAGGTTCTGTTTTTCTCTGTCTGGGCCCTGTTGTTCGAAGGCCGATTAACTCTTAACCCTGTGTTAAATTTAACATGGGTGTCTTTAAGCATTTTCTCGGATAATTTTCTCTGTTATTTTTAAGAGATCCAATAATCAACTTGTTGACAAAATTTACTTTTTAAGCTTCCATATCTGAATTTAAATTTTGCATTAACCCTGGGTTATCTTAACCGCAGCTTTGAACCACTCGGCCCTAAATGTTGACTGAAAAAAGTAGTTTCTTGGCGTTGCAGACGAGTGCTAATATCACTACCGAATGACACAAAACAAAGATTGAAAAGACACTAAACAATACAAAAGCGAGCCAACAATGGTTTCTGCACCACCAAGAAACATTCCAGAATTGTGATTCGCGTTTTAAATGGTCATTAATTCCGCGTTGATCTCAGCAGGCCACAACAAATGAGCCTGTTATATGTAAGCCTGTGGACAGCGGTCTTTATATGTATGTCTCACTAAAAGCTAAAACTCTACTTGAGCAGTGCTACGCTTTCTGGAGTAGAATAAAGGTGTTTAGGAACAAAACTGTTATTGCAATAAACCATAATTATCTTTTTAACTTCGGTCATCAGAATTGAAGACACAATAGTGAAGCTTAAGATTCAACAGGAAGACAAACTTCAGAAGTGGCACGAAGACCTGGGTGACATCAATGGATGGGTGATGAAAACTAGAGTCAAAGTCGACGCACAGGTCACACTTGCCTCTGATGTGGATGGTGCTTTGGAACAAATTGATGATTTTCAGGTAAGTGGTTCGACTAATATTGATTTTCTGGTTAGTGAAATGTTTTAAAGGAAAGTAACAACTATGTTGTTATGTAGATAACGGTGATCGCCATGGTAGGATGTAATAAGGAGATTAAGCATCGCTTTTACGGCAAACGGCGAACGTTAGATTCAAGTTGAGAAATTTTCAAAATGAGATATGAGCAGATAAAAACAGTTAATCTCTAATGTATAACAAATAAAAAAATGATTTTAGTATGAAATTTATTCGCAAAACAAGTGATAAAATCTGGCATTTTCTTACCCACACGATACCTTTCACGCTGATCTGGTACCGCAATTACCCCTAGCTCCCCTTCTCAACCCCGGTCGATTTTGTTCAGTCGGGGACAGAAACGATCCAGCCCGACCTCAACATTGTTTTTTGGAAGTAAAGGGTGAGTATTTGTAATTAGCAGTGCTTCCGAAAACTTGAAACTAGACATGGCAACGTCCATTTTTCTTAATCTTTTCTCCAGATTGTAGATGAGAGAGAATATGTCTGATACCTGAATACGAGACACCTAAACAATCTTTCTGTCTATAGTCTAGTGTTTCTTATTGCAAACCTATCCTAATGGTTTTTAAAAGTTGAGCTGTAAAGATATATGACCAAACTAGCCCATTTTTCTTTGTGTAGGAGGTGATCAAAGACGCGCCTGTATACCAAGAGAAAGTCACCCACCTTAACGAGTTCAGCGACAACCTTGTAACAGATCCCTGCCTTGGTGAGGAAGAACGGAAAGTTGTGCGCCACGAGACTGTGGACTGTAACAAAAAATGGAACGAACTCGTTAACATTGCCAACGCAAAACAGGCCAGGTAAGTTAGTTCTAGCATGCGGGTATCTAACAGCTAGTTTATCTTTTTGGCAGAGACTTTTTGGATTCTTTTTAGTTGTTGCCTTCTTCATCGTAGCCTGGCGTGTCCGCTCTAGGGAAGGGCTAGCCCACAAAGGTAATTAAGGCGGATAGCTTCAGGTTTGAGAGAAGTCCTCTGTGGTTTGTAAATAAACTTTTTCAACAACATTGATATAACCGAATTTTATTTGTGTTTCACTCCTCCTCCTTCGTCCGAACCAACGTTTATCTTTAAAACTTTCATTCAATGAATTATTGTGAAGTGAACATGTGATGACTGTAAAGAGAATTCGAAGGGACAGACTGCAAAGTATTGTTGTTGGAAATACGTGTATGACGTAACTGCCTAAATGTGTGTAATTCCACATTTAGTTTCGACTTTATTAAATCCTATACCAACTGTAGGTCTTTTTTAGGAGTAGTCACCAACATTGTGAGCACAGAAACTGACTAAGCGTATTAGTAAGGAAAAAATCACTGTACTTAACGACCTAAATGCACTTGTCAAATAGTAAATGAATAAAAACACACATATGCAGTTAAACTGGTAGAACGAATTATCGCTGTTTCCTTTAGGATGGAAGAAAACCTGGACAAATTAGAGCGCCTGGAACAAGATGCTCTGGAGCGTTGGAGAATCCGTTCAGAGAGAGCAGGACTGGCACTAGATAAGCTGGAGGGTCAGATAGCGGTTATTGATGACCCAATAGGAGAAACCCTGGAGACCATTAGAAGGCAGGAGGACGCCTTTGAAGTATGTAAATTCCACAGGATGTAAAGGGAAATACGCCTTTTTAAACTGTAACACTGGGAAAGCTTTTTTGACACCACTGGGAAAGCGTTGTATTGTGCCTACTCAAATACAGGGTCCTCCCCCGCTAACTGTCTGTTTAAGAAGGGAAATCTTCCCCTTCAGGCAGGACCTCTTCGGTTTGGAGCAACTTGAAAGAATTATTGTTTAACACTTCCCTGATAGCCAAGACAGAGCCTAGGTCTAAAACGGGTTCTATAAAGTGAGAGGAAGTCTCTCCTTTGCATTAAAAACGCAATATTACACCGCTTAGTGAAGCGAACACATGTTGTTTCTTCTATATCTCTAGATCTTTTCTAGTGAGGTGGAGTTAAACACGTCCCATATGCTTGATACGTTTGCCTTGGGCGAACAAGTCAAGAAAGATCCAAAAGTGACGCTGAAAAAGAAAGAGGAGGTGAATGAACACTACAATTCACTGGCAGCTCGCTGGGACCGAATAAAGGACTTTATTGCCTTGAGAAACGAAAGGTATGCAACACCCAAGTTTCTTGGAATTTATTTGTCAAGAGGTTTCATCGATTATGCTTCAAACGATTTGTGGGGGTATGACTGTGCGACATAGTACCTAAGTGTTGAGAACTGACCTTATTTGAGACTAAATTACAGGGTTTTCCTTACCTATTTGAAACCAGATCGTAAATTGATACACTATTTCAGGACGTGACCTTTAACATCATTGGCTGCCTAGTCAGACCTATTTTTAAAGTAATGGTTAGATACTTTGCATAATGAGTTTCAAGCTCAACAGCAAGCCCACTCTGATGAATGATCTGTATAAGGTGTACTAGACGTTTGAGGTTCTTTTCTTTACTTTTGAAATAAAACAATTTTTCATTGAGCACCCTTAACTCACATGGTGTACCCTACTACAGTGCTAAGAAGCCTGTAGTGTATGAGCTCCCGGCTTCTATATAGGCTTCCTTGTCATTACAACTTTGAACATTTGTAAAATAATTTAGTTAGAATAGTGTTCATCATCTTTAATATATTATAAATTTCTTGTATATTGTTGATGTATTCTTATATGGTAATGAAGGAATGAATGAATGAAAAAAATGGCGAAAAATAAGCCTGTCTAACCCTTGCTACTTTGGCGGGAAAGGCCGTTAAACAGCAAGGAGAAACATTTTAAACGTTCACAGTAATATGTCCCGTTTTTCCTTTCTCAAGAATCGAGGAAGCTTCCAAGAGGCTTCAGCGCGAAAGGCGAAACAAGCTTCATGACTGGGAAGAACGGCTCGCTTCCGTTGACAGTTTTCTGCGTAAAGCAGAGAGAGAAACCGAGAGACTTGAACCTGTTGGCGACGACTTGGAGACTGTCAGAAGACAAAATGAGGAATTTGAGGTGAGTATTGTCTTTAAAAATGCCTCAGAAGTTTCAAAGAAATAGCCCACGTTCGAGATATGAAAATTCTAACACGACTCCGAAGCTTTGGGGTCAGAATTGCAAATTTTTCGCGACTCCATTGTCTCGCAATTCTCTTCGTGGGCTATTGTAAACAGAGAGTATTACAAGCAGTTCAGACATTGAGAATAGGGAGTGTTCGTAACCACAACGGATGACGCCAGCGAAAACTTCAAAAATATAATTTTGTCGCCTTCTTGCAAACTTCATGGCGATTGTTCTCACCCGTATTACTTTTTACGTGTAGGGAATTTCACTGGGGTTAAATTATTAGAGACCACATTCAAGATAGATAAAGGCCGAAAGAGGAATTCCTTATCCTTGTTATAAAACCTTTTGTTTTTTTAAGTTCTCGTTGTCGTTGTCCTTGTCGTCGTGCCTGCGTAACCTCCCTGATTATCAAAGACGTGGTGACTTTCATTGATATAACTGTTTTGTTTACCTTTTAGCATTCCATGAGCCTCCTATTAGGACCACAGAAACGAGTCTACGATTTCGGAAAATTCACTGACGACTTGATAGTCGATCCTGTAATTGACGAGCAAAACAAGCGTTCCATGGCGAGCGACAAAGACAATCGTCTTGAGCGATGGGCAAGGGTCGCAGACAAGATAAACAAACACCGTAACAAGTAATTACGCTTTTATTGCTGGTTTGCAGGTGACTCCGATCCATGACGGCCATGTTGCTTGACAAGCATAAAGGCGTTTCCCTCCGTTGGGAACTAAAGGCTGGATCCTTTTCATTTTGTTCTATCCTCATTGATTTACGTTTTAATCGACCAAAATAGTAAGGCAATGAAAACTCAACGACTGTCATCTTTGCACTACGTCAAAAACACAAGTTGGCTGAATTCTTTTCCGTGACATTAACAGTTAAAATAGTGGGAATAAAATAGGACCATGCATTACATCACAATCTACCTTACAGCAATAGGCAGTATTTACCAACGTTTCTACCTGGTATAATTCCATTACCCCCTTGTTTTTACTTTTAGACTGCAGGACAAGCTGTCGGTGTTGGAACAGAGTGAAGACGAGGTGTCAAAGTGGTATGATGACCTGGCCGCAATCAACGAAGAAGTCGAAAAAGTTGAAAGTATCTGCCAACAGGAAATCTCGCCTGATATGGAAACACTTGAAAGACAAAGAAAAGAAGCTAAGGTAGACTTTATTAATGTGGCTGATCGTATTCGAAGAGCACAGACTGCCAATAATTCTTGTTGCTGGAATCATCTGGATCTTTTAACTGTTCATCATTAGGATACCCAAAATGTACATGTCTATATATTTATATTGGAATAAATTATGGCACCAGAATGTTATAAAAGATCTGTATTAACAAAGGATGTTGTGCCGTGGTGTATGAGTTTTGTTTGTTTGTTTTTTTCAGTTGCGCACACTCCGCCCACACTTCGAAATGCCGTAGCTCAGACTCTTATCTGAGGGCTTTCTTTAAATGGCCATGGGCTCAATGTCGTCCCTTTTTTTCTTCAGGTCGTTTTTATTGTAGTTTTTATCGGTGTATTGACGCATGAAATGATCTCAATGACTTCCCCCATGTTCTTTTTCATTTTTCAAAGCAACTTAAAGAAGACGTTAGAAGGATTGATCCTCAGGTGGATGAATTTCTAAAGGACTCAGAAACTTTACTCGATGAACATGAGCTGTCAGACCAAGACCACAGGACAATTGAGCTGGAGTCAGAATCACTGCGAGATCGATGGAGTAAAGTGAAAGAGGACGCAAAGTCAAGGGAATCAAGGTTTGTAGATGGGCTTTTTAAGCTGCCTCTTTCTGAAAATGGATTTATGCACACAACCTTTTTAGAGAGCGTATGCTTCAGTTCGTAAACTTAGTTTCTTTCAAAGGGGATTCAAGTTTGGCCTCCAGATTAGCAGGTCGTCGTTCGTTAAAGAAGAGTCAATTGATCAAATCGTTCCAGTCCAAGAAGGAGTAAAGAATATTCGTGGAACACATGCCTTGTTGCGCTCTTGCAAGAAGGACAAAGTAATTCTCATAACTACGGAGGGCTTTCTTTGATTGCCAAAACCAATGGAATATTTTACAAAGTTCGTAACTGATGCGAGCGCTAGACCTGACCCCAGTTGTTGAAACGTTGGATAGCGCTATCCACCGGATAAATCACTATCCAGCATGAGCGTATTAGGAAAACCAACTGTGCTATCCAGTGGATAGAGATTTATCCAGTGGATAGCGTTATCCAAACCGTCTTCTGATCTCCTGCAGAGTCGAAGAAGAGCATCTGCGTACACAAAAACGTCAGAAAGACTTGTCAGACGAGTGGAAGAACTCTTGTAATTCAACTCTCAAGTGGATTGCCGACACGTCTGCGCGTGTTGATGCTCAGGATACTGCTGCCCCTGATCTCGATCATGCGAAGGCTCAAAGACAAGAAATCGAGGTTGGCAAAATAAATTTCTTTCTGCCGTACCACTTTTCCCTTGGTCGCTCTTAAGAGGTCCGGCTGTTTCCCACGCTGTACAAAGATAACAGCATAAAATAACATATAAATATTATTAGAGCGTATCCTAGCATTCCTTCACCAAGATCATCAATACAAATGCATATAATCTTCTTTCGTAATTTCGTTGGACCATCCAAGAATTCATTCATTGATAAAAATTATTTATTGCATTGTTAATTTGTTGGCAATTTTAATTGCCTCCAGTTTTATTTAGTGTACAGATGTAGTTTAAGATTGAAAAAGGATGGGTTTCTGATTTATAACACGCTTTTTGCTTCTTTTTAGGATATAACGAAGGAAATTAAACTGTATGATAGACAAATGGATAAGCTCGATCAACTTGGGGACAAGATTACACGTAATCCAAGCGTGAGTGATCAAGAAAAGAGCTTGATTAAAGACGAAAAGGAATCGGTCATTGCGCAATGGCAAGAACTTCTATCGAAAACAGCAGATGCAAAGAATAGGTGAATACAATGTAAAACAATAGCGTTTCTTTATGCCCTTTTCCAAAGGTCTACGTTATTTCAGAGATTTCATTGGAGCACTGACATCTGCTCTTTTTACGTTATATACGAGTACATTGTATCTTATTAACGTACCTATTTAATTATTATTATTATTATTATTATTATTATTATTGTTGTTGTTGTTGTTTATTGTCATTATCAAGCTGTTACATTCTATTTAGCCAAATATTAGAGTTGTCAAGTGTGGTTTCGTTTTATTAACCATCCCTCTGCAACTGATTTGTTCGGGTATGTTTTTTTAATTTTCCTTCTTTGCGAGAAGTGTTTTGTGATATTAATTTTATCGGTATTCAATAAATCAAAAAAGTAAATAGATGAGCTTTCCAGTTATGTTTTGATTGCGTGAAAACAATTATTACAAACTGAATCATTGGATAATGCAATGCTGAAAATTAAAAACAAGCTGAAAATTGGTTGCTTTTACAAATAAAGTCGGGAAGAATTCGCCATGTTTTGTGAGCGTTTTTAAGAAAACAATTATTCCACACGCTTTCGTTGGATATGAGATGATTATAGCCACCCGTCTCGTTGGCGCTACAACCGTTTCGTTGGACGTCAAGCTGGACTTTTTGCATCACTCTCAAATCTTTAAAACGCGAAACTCGTGGAATATTTGTTAATATGAGGCCTCACTTCGGTTGACTCTGTAGGTCCCTACCATCTTTCGTTACACCAGCCTAGAACACGCAGATCGCCCAGTTACACCAGCCTAGACACGCAGATCGCCCAGTTCGAGAAAGAGCAGCGAGACAAACTCAGGGTGTGGTCCCAGAAGGCTGAGTCTCTTGACGTTTGGCTTGTTAAGAACGAGGCCACTGTGCAGTCTTACGAACCAATAGGATACGACATAAGCTACGTTAGGGAACAAAAAGAGGACGCGGAGGTTTGTATAAACAAAATAATACTGGTTTATTAAGGGCGAAGGTGTGATAAATGGTGGAAAACTTATCGTTGTTTAGGAAGGTGGTCTATTAAAACCATTTTAACGACAACCGGCGAATGCAAACTAATTCCGGTGGGAATTATTTTATTTGGTTCTTATTTGGTCCAAACGGGTATGTGCCGCTGAGCTGGATATTATTGTCAGGCTCTTCAGTCTTCAGGCATACCGTTGATATTTAAGCCCCAAGATCCAGATACCAATTCTCCAGACTGATCTCCATACATTTCTTTTAAGAAAAGTTGAGAGGATTTGGTTTAAAATCAAAGCGTTGTCCCTTTGGTAATCAATTTAGTAATTCTCATAACCTTTACTCTTGATGATCTGCTGATGTTGTTAGGAGAAATTTGATGTTGGTCACTCTTGGGACCTATAGGGTTAAAAGGGTTAGCGAAATGAAGGATTTTGTCTTAAACAGGTCAGGGTTTGAAGGCCTCGGCGGCACACCCCTACCCGGGACTACATGTTATTCCGGCTTCGACGGCTTCGTGAGAGTTGGAAATACGTCGTCTGCGAACCGGAACCTAGATCAGTCGTAGTTTATTTTAGAAAAGTTTACCTAACAATTTCAATTTCCCGTTCCAATTTTATCTGCTGTGTTTCGCAGGCCATGATCACAGACTTACTGCACGAACAGCCAAGGTTTAATGACATGATAAAGTTTGGTAACCAGCTCACAACTGATCCTTGTGTAGGATTGGAGGAACGGATGAGAGTACAGAAGGAAATGCAGTCCTTGCACCTGAGATGGGAAGGCTTGTATACTTCCACTACTTCCAGACACGATAGGTAAATATATTCATTAAATTTTTACGTACGGGACGATCATTCTTATTAAATGAATGAATTACTGTTCAACGTAGTAGGGTAGCAACAGACCTCATTTTTTTGTTTATTTTCACATTTTTTGTTGCCTAAACCTTAAAGAAGACCATGTGACTAATCTCAAGGGAGTGTTCTCTTTAAAACTTGACATGTGTTTTATATTTTCAAAAAGACCAAGGATTCTAGAAATATCACGTGATCTACAGTGAATACCAAAAATAAAAATAGTACCTAAGGTCTCTGTACGTAACTGCGAAAGTGGAACCAAAAAATTTACGAGCCTCAACAGGATTCGAACCCATGATATATGCTGTACGAGTGCGGTGCTCCAGGCAACTGAGCTATGAATTTCTGTTGCTGGAAGCAGGTAAACTGGGTGTTCTAAAAGGAATGAATGCTGTCTAATATTTGTCTTTCGCAAGGAACTAATAAAATTTTGGAGTTGCGGTTATTTTCTTGTAGCATGTAACAATCCACTCATTATTTTTAAATTTCCTGCAGGATTCAAGAGAGGCTGAGAATATTAGAAGAAGAACAAAGAAAACTGGATGAAGAGCAGAAGAGATTAGAAGAAGAAGAAATACAAAGACGACTGGAAGAAGAAAGAAAGCGACTTGAGGAAGAAAAGCGAAAGAAAAAGGAGGAGGAAGAGAGAAAGAGAAGGGAGGAAGAGGCGAGGCTTCGAAGAGAATTAGAAGAAAGACAAAAGAGAGAAGAGGAGGAAAGACTGCGCAGAGAAGAAGCAGAAAAGAGACGTTTGGCTGAGTTGGAGAGAAAGCGAAGGGAAGAAGAAGAACGGAAAAAAAAGGAGGAGGAGGAGAGAATGCGCAAAGAGGAAGAAGAGAGGAAGAAGCGAGCGGAGGAAGAGAGAAAGCGAAGGGAACAGGATGAACGCAGGAAAAGAGAAGAGGAAAGAAGAAGGAAAGAGGAAGAGGAACGTAGGAAGAGAGAAGAAGAAGCTAGAAAGCGGAGAGAAGAAGACGAAAGAAGACGAAAAGAGGAAGAGGAACGCTGGGAAAGGGAGGAAGCAGAGAGAAAGAGGAGAGAAGAGGAGAAGAGAAAGCAGCGTGAGGAGGAGGAAAAAAAGAGAAAGGAAAGAGAAAGGAAACGAAAAGAAGAAGAAGAGCGCAAAAGAAAGGAAGCTGAGGAGAAAAAGAAACTCGAAGAGGAGGAAAAGGTTGGTTTGTTACAAAATGAAAACAATGAGTTGTTACTGTGACAGCAACTTCGCCTAGTCCAATAGCGAGGAAAAATTAAAAGAATTCTCGTACCTTAAGGAAAAAATAATATAAAGCATTTTTACTGCTCCTTGGTCAATGTACAGCATTCTCTTTTCAAATGGCCTTGGTCTTGAAAAAATGCAACTTCATTGAAAGAGGTATACACTAAAACTTGGACAAATTCTCTTGCAGTTAAAAGCTGTTACCTATATCACGCCTGAACCACGTGTTCAACTGGTGGAGCAGGAACCAAGGCTGTTTAGTAGTCCAGTGGTGGATGAGGTTATTGCAACAGTGGATGAAGATGTTGTCGAGGCAGGGGTAGACCCAGGATTTCTACAAGAAAAGCTGGACGACTGGAATAAAGAGGCTCAAGACATCGACCTGTACGTTGAAGTTATAAGTTACATTTCATTGATTTAGAGGAGGCCAATCTCTTTTCTTTTAAACGTTAAAATTCTGCCCTCTCGAAAGCCAAACGTTAATTTATCAAGTCCAGCTTCATCTAAGATTTGATATAACAGGTAATATCCGGTGATTCCGGGTTCAAGTCTGCTCCTGACGGTCTCTGTGCTGCCGGGTTCAACTGTATCATTTATTTTTTCGACCGCACTGGCATTCTTGTTATAAATACTACGGAATTACCTTAGTATACTGTTAGCACCCCCAAAAAAAATCGTTTTTTTATATGAATTTTCAAATAGCTAGCGTGACCATTCCGCGCGCCTCGTTTGGTTAAATATCGTTGTTTTTTTTCGAGGTGCTAAAAGTTTAGTGTTTTCAGTAGTACTATCGAAGGCAAAAAAGGAATGTTATTATTGTCATTAGTAGAAATCGGGTGGAAGAAATATAATTGGAACTTTGGAATGAATTTTTGCTTATATATCAGGTGGCTAACGGACCAAGAGGATAAACTTCCGGAATCAGACAATGAAGACACTATAGATTCCTTGAAGGCAAAGGAAGACAAGATTAAGGTGAGTCCGCGTCCTGCCGGTGAGGAAAACCAGATCTTATACGTAGTTTGAAATTCGTCTAGATCGAGAACCACTGTTTCCTGTCTTGAACACCAAATACTCTCAGAATCCAATGCATTTTCCGAAATACTTTTCGGTGTCTCCCCTTATCCTCATTAAAAGTGGATTCTGGTGGTAGGTGCTAAATTCGTCTAAGATCTTCTAATTGCGTGTCTAAGATTGTACGTGCATTCCTGGGTCGAGAAAACTATTCACTTCGATGATAAATTCACACAGTATTTTTCCATAACCGATTTTACATAGTGAAAGCTGTATTAGGTCGAGTCCGTTATCTGCTCAATACTCGTTTGTTTTCCAGAAAGTATGGATAGAGGAATGTGGGACTTACTGAATTACACCTTTATATAGGTTCTGCTAAAAAAGGGGTTAAGACGTCTGGGTTGAGGAAATCGGTTCCAAAGTTCGACTATTGTGATCAGATGTGAAAACAAGTATTTGAGCCTTAGTCGTGTACCGGACACAGATGACGTAAAACAAAAGAACAAAGCAGATTTTTCCCTGAACTGAAAACGAAGAGGTCCTTTGTTGTACGTCATCTGTGTCCGGTACACGAAGTTTTGACCGCATTTTAACAGTAGTTCAAAGAAGGCTTATCTTTGACACATACCCTTGTTTATTAAACTAAATTCTAGAGCCTGGAAAGGGATCTTCCAGTTTACGACAGAAGATACCATGATCTGGAGAAAGGCTTCGAAGAAATTATGAACGATAATGGGTACACTGAAGATCAACAGGAAGTGATTGGCGAGAAGATGGATGACTTGAGAGTTCGATGGCGGTCTCTGAACAACAAAAAAGACACCAAGAAAAATAAGTAAAGAAAAAGAGCGGTTTTTTTTTTCATTCTGTCAGTAAGATTAGAGAATTCCTTGATCATTTACAATGAGTACAAAATTGAGTGCATAAAACAGATCGTATTTTGATACTGTTTCAGCAATATTAGTTTTTGGTGAGGCTGTAATATAGAGAAAAATTGAGTTTCCAAACAAATGTGATTCAGTTATCTTCCACTTCAGGACAAGGAAATTTTCTTATCGGTTCTTACGCGGGCTTAAGGGTTGGCCTTGCTGGCCATAGCAACCGTTACCGCGAATTGCCAGCAAGCCAGCTCGTCCTGTTGTGACCAACACACCGCCACCTACGACGCGGTCGTCCAGTGTCGTCGTCGTTCGTAGACACTCTGATGAAGGACGCTGGGGTGGCATCTACGAGCAAACTTCTCAGCCCGCATGAACAATAGAGCGGACTGGGCGGCCAGGCGATTAACTCAGCTGAGGCCGCCTGAATGATAATGATAAGGAAGGGTTAAGGTTTGGTAAAGTTGTGTGTAATTTACAAGCAAGATATTAGTCCCTAGTTCGCTGCTCTGTTGAAGTGAAGATTGCCACGGACTCTTTGCTTCTGGGAAATGTGAAAAGTCTGACTGAAAACTTCATCTCTATGCCATATTTAAAAGTTCAGATGTATACAGTTAGTTTGTTGTGGCACATAAAGCAAATAGTGCTATACACAACAGTGTTTTCGTTAGTCTACTCTAAGTCTAGTGTATCGTTAGCCAGAATTTTTATATTTCATTTTCACCTCTTTTGCTTACCAGTTGCGTTGAGATACGGTTGCTTTATTTTGCCTTAGATTGAAAGACAGGATCTGGGATGAAGAACAAAAGAAAGCTGGCGAACTCGCAGGATGCCGTGTCAACCTGCAGGCAGTAAAGAACTGGATCGCTCTTCGAGACAAAGAACTGGATTCCATGGAGCCTATTGGAAATGATCTACAAACGTTGACACGTCAAAAGGAAGATATGAAGGTACATCCGATCATTATACGTTTCTGGGAAACTGCCCACCTACCCCTCCCCTAAGTCAACATTAACAGTTACTTCTTACTTAGGGCCAAATGCTGGTTTCGGGGAGGGATAGGTGGACAGTTTCCCAGCAACGTAATTTGTGTGCCCTATGATAATCCAAATTAGTAGCTAACAATCATACGTTTTTAAGCCACTCACTCCTCGAACTTTTGCCGAAGCTACTCGAGCCGTTTTCTGGGTACTACTTTGCCAAGAAGAGCCAAATAGCATCGTTTACAAGTCAAACGCTACGGGTTATTTGGTCCGTGAAGTCAAATGTTTTACTTTTCGCTTTCTCCCCTTCACGCTTTGGCTGTTGTTCCCTCGTTTTTTCCTTTAGATGGGCTTTCACTAGGCTTCATTTCGGTGCGGGGAAAGGTATTTGGGAAGAGTTTTAGAATCGTAGGATCAATGAGAGAAAGTGCAGGAAGGTAGTTTTATTATGCGCTTTTCTCCTGCCTGTTTGACTGAATCCTGCTCATTTGGGTATTTATTTCCCTATGCACAAGTTGGGTGTCAGAGTTTTCTATGACGGTTAAAATTGATGACGTCACAAGAGACTTTGGTTCCGCGCGGGCGGTTACGGGCGGTCCAGGAGCAGTGGGTTGATCAAAGCCAGATCGAAACGCGCGTGATCGAATTGCGTTCTACAACAGTACATTATTTGAACTACCATTTTCTACAACTGATTAATGCACGGTTATAGAGTCTACTAATTATGTGAACCTCAATCAACTCACGTTTGCGCCAGTGTATAATAAGCATGAATAAAACTTAAACTTAATGGTTTTGATCTTTACCACAGCAATTATCCCAACGTCTCAACGACTATGAACCGAGGTTTACAGAAGCAATCGACTCAGCATATAAATTATGTAAAGATCCTGCGTTCTCTAGAGAGCAAAATAAAGCCCTCCGAAATGATGCAGAAGACTGCGAAAAAAAGTGGGACGACGTTGTAGAAAAGCTTAAAGACAGAATGGACGGGTAAAACTGTTTTTGTTGTTGATGTTGTTGTTACTGTTGTTGTTGTATCAATGTAGTAATTCTTAGTCGTTGAATTGCCAAAGAACAAAGTAGATCGTGATTGAACCCTTTGCCACAAAACGGCCCGTTCGCTTTCTGCCTCTCATTTTGCTTCATTTTTTACTAAACGTACTTGTTTGAGTTAATAGGGACCTTAGCATCCAAGGACAGCGGTGACGGTGGCGAAACCTTTCGCGTTCTTCCGATCTTCATCGCAAGTATTTCAACTCTATTATTTTGTCAAATATAGGCAAACTCTCCTGGATTTGAATTTCATAAAACCGTGTCCAAGCTGAGAAAATTTCGTGGTCGCTTACGTCCTCCATAAACCGTGAAATGAGACTTTTTCACGCCCTTGTCGTGCAGTGACGGGAAAGAAATGTAAAAAGAGGGTGATGCACTTGCAGAGTTGTTGTTTTGCTTTTTTATTGTTCTCGTTGCCCTCGCCTTCGTCGGATCTCGAGGTCCCTAATAGGGCATTAGGAACCTTGTAAAGGTCCCACCTTTGTGGTACTTTTAAGGGGGCCTTACGTTTCCTGTTTTTGCTGATAGCATTGTGAAAAAGATTCCAAAGCTTCAAAAGAATCAACAGGAGGTGCTGGAAGAGTGGAAAGACAATTCTGCTCGGTTTGAGAAATCTCTGAGGAAGACAGAAGAGAAGCTCAAGGAACAAACCGCAACTGGGAGAGAGGTAAGCGATCATTTTTTCCTCGGGTCTTGTTTTTCTTGTTCGCTGGTTGTTTTAATTTCGTCAGTTCGATGTCGCGATTGATTTCATCAGGTGCATTGATGAAGGTCGCTGTCCTTTCACCGTTGGAGTCGGGTAAGATCGTCGAGATCGCTAGCTTGGTTTCAAATGTACCAAGGAGGTGGGCGTCGGGGTTTATAGCGGTGGGGATGGGGAGGAGGCGAGAAAAATGTCCTTTTGATTCGCCCCACCCTTTACGTAGATTTTATACTCATCTTTAAGCTACGCACGGTACATTTTAAGCCAAGATGGCTGATCGTCAGGGTAGGCGCTCGTTCCCGACGGTCTTACGGAAAAGTAGAGGACTATGAACAGTCTAGCTTCATAAGCGATTTGTTTTCTGAGATAGAATGCACGCACTACAAGCATCGGAGGCCTAATGGATTCTTTGTCAAAAAAAAATCATTATATATGACAATAATTCGTTATTCTTTTCTGAGATCTAATCATGATTGACGTTGTCCTTGAATTCTTACAGCTTGGTTACGAAAAGTGGTCACCAGAGAGGAGATCGCCCGAGCTAGAAAGAAGAAAAAGAGAGGGTGATAATGAATGGAAACCAGCTGTAGACGAGTTTAATGACAGACTTAAAAGGTAACAACTTATTTTACTGATGCATTTGGGTTGGACGACAACCTCATTCCCAGGGTTCTCCACCACCGTTCTTTGCGAGTGGGAAAGAACCTAGGATGAGGCTGAAGGGGACAGTTTTTATGCCTAAGAGTGTGGTTTAGAAGATTCGGTTAGTTAGATACTGATACAAGTGTTCTTTCATGGAATTTTGTTTTGCTTCTCTACTGTAACCAGGCATCTTCCCCTTAATGATAATCAAACTTGATTTCAAATATATCAAGACATATTTATATGAGCGACATTTGACTTTTATTCCAGTCAGTCTCCGCGTCATTATTGTGGGAGCTCAAGTTCTTTTATTAGCTTTACCATGCTTATAAGGCCGAGAAACGGTCTCCATGCATTAAAGTAAATCCCAGTAAGAACTATTTCTGATCGTTATTTGAAGACCATTGAGGCCCATGGTGCTCTGCTGCGCGGGCAAGCTCCGCTATTAAGCCTGCTATTAGTGCCCAACAGTTCAAAAGTTTTCTACAAGCCGCTCTCTACAAGACCAGGCTAAGTTTCTATCGGGCCGCCATACTGTTGCACCAGCCTGTAGCACACTCTTATTGCGCACACCCTTTCTTCCCTCCTATAATTCTTTTTTTGTCCGGTTTTAGTATTTTTGTCTGATAGTTTTAGACATTGTAGGGGTTGAAAGTCCGAATTGGAGCTCTTGCCCTGTTTTCATCTCCTGACAGCGTAAACTATACTAAATCAAGACCTTTATGTTCTTGAAGAAATTCATCAGGCTAGTGAAGTTAATGTCTATTTAAATCTTCTCAAAACATAGCCAAAGTCTTAAAGTCTTAATGATGCTGACAGTTTCGATGACTGTCAGCCATCTTTATCAAAACTTGGAATCGTCAATTATGTTTATGTTCTCTTGACTAAACTAAACCGATGCAACGTAAGCAATTTTTTACCCCCAATCATTATCTGATTATCTTTCCAAGCCGAGTATCTTTGATAAAATTAATATCTTCCTTTTTCAGTGTCAGAGAAAGGCTTCAAGATATCCAGAGGGAAAAGAAAAATCGAAAGTGGTCGATACTTGAAGCCTTGAAGGACGTTATGAACTCGATAACCTCTAGGTTTCGCGGAAGTTCCAAATCGGGAGTCAGCCTTGACAAATTGGTGGATCTCATAGAAGACCACGAGGTAATGATAAATACGCTTGAGATTACGCCAATATGGCGGATGTGACGCTACGTGACGTGAAAACGCTCTATATTGATTTTCATCATTATTGTTATTTTAAAGGATATTATGACGGATACTTCCTCTAAACAAAAAGATGCTGACGAGGTGTTTTCCACGGGTGCAAGTTCTCTGGATAGTGGAGTATTAACCAATGATCAAGCCATCGACTTACAAGAGCGCATGTCTGACCTGAATCGACGATGGAATGTACTAAATATTGACGTCATCCAGCGTGAAAAAAGGTTAGATTTCTAACATATAAATGTCTGGTACAGTTCGAATCTTGTTCAAGTCTGAATCAGTTAATGTCAGGGTTTCTTTTCGCAACTGCTTAAGTTGCGTACATAACTGGGCGTCGGTTAAATCTTTTTCCAGTTTCCCACCGTTCAAATATATGATGAAATTTCTTATACTCTATTGGACAACTAACAATCTTCTCCTCGAAGATATATAAATAAATAAAATTAAACAATAACACCTTTTTTTTCTAAAATGAGTTTATCAATACAGTTCATTTTGTATCAGCGACTGAAGTGCGAGACGAATTTTCTCAGAAAGCCGTGTTTGAAGGGTAACATTCACAGCAGATTCTATTGATGCGCAACAGAAGAATCGTAAATCCAACCAAAAAGAAGAATGCAATGATGAATGACAGGTGTAATGTGAACATTAAAATTGTGCCATCGGGGCCTCTAAAATGCCAGCAAGTCCGTACAAGCGAGAGACTACTAACGGGAGTCTATTTCGGTCAGTCCTCTATAATTTCTTTTTGCTGGAAATTTATTCGCATGCTGCACGTATTATCGGGTAATCCCGGCGTTATAGCGAGGTGTCCCAAATTCGAAAGTTCAGTAGTGTATTGTAAATCCCATATTCTCACTGGCTAACTCTGTCGTTATCTATTAGCCCATATATGAAGTCTGGGTTTAATGCCAATGAATACAGTTAGGAGTTAAAGATTTGAAGGCTTCGTTGCACATCTGCAAATAAACAAGTCTTGTGATCGTCTCCTTATAGTTAAAGCATCTCTTAAACAACAACAAAAGCCTTTTGGTACACAGTACGTAAAATGTAGAGTGGGTTTAGCTTTATTCTGTTCTTTGGGCAATGGCAAATAACGGTTTCCCCCATATTTCAAAAATCTAATGTTGTGGAATTTACGGAATGTTTTTAGTCCTGCTGTCTGTAGTCTGTTCACCCAACCTAAACAACCTTATCGTGCTTTGGTAAACATCACAGCTAGAATAAACATTTACAATAATAATCTTAAACGCGCCATTGATTAACATTTGCGTGTGAATAATTTCATAAGAAACAATAATACCTGCATACCCGTGTTGCCAACAAATTTCGCATCGAGAAAAAAGTTATTGATCACCAGCATGGAAGACGATGATGATGATGTAGAGCTATCCCTTGCTCGAGCTTCTTTTTCAGTGGAGCAAATACAACGGAGGTACATTTGTATACGTGTACACACTCCTTTAGTAATCATGTCTGTCTTTGTATATATGCACCCGAAGGTCAGTGGTATTCTGCCACTAACGGAGCACTGATTCAGAACTGGTGTTAAAACCGCGAATTTTACACAATTTACTAGGCAGTCTCTTTCATTTTCTCCTGGTTCAGATGATCAATTTTAAATTCTGGGCTCCACCTTGCCAGATAGAGAGCAGTTACCACCATTGTGCCAAGACTTGTTAAATATTTTGGTCACGCTTCACAAATTTTAAAATCCACTATAAGATTTGTAACGGGATCAATTGTTCGAAATTGTACTTTAACGGTGGAAGCAAAGTCTTCTTCCATTACTTGCTCTTCAAAGTCAGCAATTCAGCCGGATGAGCTTGGAAGCGAGTGTACATTCGTTGATAAATTCGTGGAGTATGTCATTTAGGTCCAGAAACCGTCAAATTGTAGTACTGAGTGAGGTCAAGAATTATCGCGAATTTACAATTGTCATTTGGTATTAAAAGCGCGTTGAATCGGATTGTTTACCACAATACCGATTTAGAGTCTATTAGCCGTCTAGTTGTTGTCTCTGTGTAGTCCTTATTTATGCTCTTAATCTGCACACGAGGGGAAAAAGGTAACCGTGAACTTAGGCTTAGGGGTAGTTAGAAGGCTAACGTCAGATCTCAGATTAAGAAACTTGCAGGTTAGGATAAAAGCAGGATAAAAAGTGTTTACAATATTATGGATGGATTTGTGTAGATTTAGTGAACCTGTAACCACTTGTAAAGGGCCAACTTACTTCGCAAGGTTGAAATTGTCGTTTGCAGGCTCCATATCTCTCTAAGGGCCTGTTTACATGTAGGTGAGGTAACATACGGCGGGTCACCCCACCTATCATGCAAACGTGATCAAATTAAAATAAGAGATTATATGGAGAGGCGGGTTACCCCACCTAAGCGGGTTACCTCACCCGCCTGGGGTCCCCCACTTCCATGTAAACAGGCCCTTTAATTCGCGAACAACACCTCTGAGTCAAGTATTCTTCTTTCGTTGTTATTTCACTTACGGACTCAAGTGTAAGAACCGTCGTGTGCATAGCTGAATGGTCACATGATAAGACGTTTCCCAAGCTCTTTCCCTGAAAGTTAGTGATAAAACGCCGGTTCACCATAAGCCTTGGAAAAGTACTCCAAGATATCAGCACTTCACCAGTCAGAGAGGTGGCATCTGAGTAAAGATTACTGAAAAATAGAAACATTGTTTGAGTACAGCATAATCTTTGACTCAGTATATAGAGTTTTGGCGATGTTTGCCTCCAGTCTGTATTTTTCGGTAAGTCATATTGTATGTAAAAGTTTAATTTTACCCTTGCAGGCTAGAGAAGTTCGCCGAAGACATCGAAAACGAGTATAAACAATTCGACAGCTGGCGTGAGCGGTGTGATAACATGAACCAGTGGCTCAGCGAGTCCGAGAAACTCATCAAAAGCGAAGAAAAGATTGGAACGGACATAGAAGTTATTAAAGAACAGATCACGGACAATCAGGTGAGAACTTAGGTATTTTTTTAGTTACTTGGAAGGTTGTATTCATTAGGTATCTTATGATACTCAAGAATTATTCGAGATCAAAATTTCAATTCTCATTTGTTGCCCCTATTCATTTCCAACAGAAGTATTTGGGAGAAGTTGATAAAATATCGAGCAAATCCATCTTGTGTGATCATGTCCGTAATTCTTATGACCACTCTGTTTTACAAAGCATTGATATTACAAGGAGAAATTAGGTGCTAATCACTCTTAGGGCTTAAAGAGTTAAATGCACCTCTTTTCATGTGCTCGAATGGCGGTATGGACACCAAAGCTTTCTTCGTAGTTACTCTTGTGTATGTCTACAGGCCTAAAATGGTATTTTTGAACTTTTGATGGAGGTTTGTTTTCCTTTTTCATGTATTTTAATATGTTGTCGGGGAAGCAATGCTACAATGAAAAAAATGTTTTAGGGAAGTGGCCTATTTGGCGGCAACTTTTTCAAAAGTCCGACCAGAGAGATATTTTAAAATTTCGTTTTTATTTTTACGTAGAAACATTGTTTATTTACTAAATTATTTCTATTTAATTACTTCCTAGTGTTGTTTATATTGATGATTCTATAAATGGTGCGATAACTGTAAAGATTTTGCTCACGAAATAAACGTAGATGTTTTGTTTCTTATGTCCGCACGTTTCTTTCTTCTTCAGCTCTTTCTTAATGAAGTAAAGCAGTACGAACCTAAAGTAGAGGCTATGCTCAAAGACAGCCAGGATCTCGTCGAGAGCAGTAAACTTGATAAAACGGACATCGACGGAGTTGATAAGACTAAGAATGCACTCAGCGCCAGATGGAAGGATGTCGATGATCATCTGAACGATCGACAGCGAAAGTAAGTGGGGTAGCTGTGTAGTTACTACATCCTGGGAGACCCAGGGGCGGTTAGTCGTGGTCAAAGTTTACTGTAAGATCTCGTCTCGATCCTACAGTAAACTTTGACCACGAACATTTTATCGACCCGACTAACCGCCTCTGGGTCTCCGAGGATGTAGTTACTAATGCCGCGAGTTCGGACCCAAGACGCCTTCTTTGGGCGGATTCATTCATACAGCATACACGTATAGTTGGCGCCCATTTTTGGGCTTTAAAAAACCGGGGGGGAAATGCGATCGCTATACGCGTTTGCTGCACATGAATTTAAAAAAATTGGGGCAAGACGGACTCACAAATTAAATTGTCGGTCAACAATCGCAAGGCGCCCGCACGATCTGTCACTGTAACCGTTTGTAATTTTATTTAAAATGTTGAGATTTACTCTATCATAGTAAAGTGATGGATCATATACAGCTATTTCGAGAAAGGTTGTCGGAAAAAGTGCACGCGACGATCCCGAAAGGCATCCTGGGTGGTTTTAAGTTCATTGTTCTTTAAAGAAATTTGCTGAAAGAACAGGTACGAAAGGCCTTGGAAATGTGTTTGCGAGTGCTAAAGGAAAGCAACAAAAGTAGGTTCGACAGGTACAGTTGTCAGAAACAGTGTATTGATCATATCCCATATATATTACCTTTCGGGATTGCCGCGTGCACACGTTTCCGACAACCTTTCTAGATATAGCTGTATCTTTGTATAGATTGATGCTAATCAAATACGTGTGGTACGATGTCGTCCTTTTGCATCAAAACTGACAGTTTGAGTTTCAGTATTATTTGAGTTAACCACTGTCCAGTCGACGGTTAAATCGAAGTGCTTCAAAATGGCTCCATTATTCTGCTTGTAAGTCTACGAAGCTTTGTAATACCCGTTATAATTTTACGAAATAAAATTTCCTTTACTATTTTTGTAATGAATATTTGAAGACAAGATTGCCCTGAATGTTCTTGTTAATGTTGTGTATTGTTTTGCAGGCTAGAAGCAGCTCTTTTGAACATACTCAAGAAAGACACTGAAGGAAAGCTTGGTGGGTGGAGAGAGCAGTCCACGGCACTTGGTCTGCTCATCACTGAGGCTTCAAAGAAAGTAAATAAGGATGTGGACGAAACTGACTACGGGGAAATCCAGTCTAGTGCTTTGCGGATACAGGTAAAATAAACACAATACTTTCCACTCAAAACTGGACAACCGTTCAAACCCCGTTGAAGTCCTGAATTTTTTTCAGGCTTCTTTACGCAATTGCATAAATTGCGTTCCCTGCGACGATCATTTCTTCATTTTCTTTTTTTTTTTCATTTTTTTCGTTGTGGAATAGTTGCCACAAGCCTCTTATTCAAAGCGAGGCGAAGTGTGAAGCCATTGATATGAAAATGTCATTTTATTCTCATTCAAACAATACTCATTTTCACAAAGTTATGCACTTAGCCTCGGTTCGGAAGTGAGAGTCTTTGGAACTCGGAAATGACCTATGTGCGGTTTTCTTATAATCTTACTTTTCTTATTAAAGCTTAAACCTTTGCCCTTTGGTTACTGCTTTGGCTGTTTTCGTTCCATGTGTTGCGATATTTTCCTCCCTTTGATGGCAGCTTTGTCCACTGTCGTTCCATATGTTACGATGCATATTTTCCTCCCTTTGATGGCAGCTTTGTCCGCTGTCGTTCCATGTGTTGGGATGTATATTTTCCTTCCTGGGCCCATGTAGCTTCCAGTCTAAATTTTGGCAGCTTTATTACATCCAATTAGCTAGATAACTATGCTTTCATTATTGTAAATTTTGTTTTTAGCGATATCCATGCTAATTAGGTTTTTTTCGGTGCTGGCTGGCGGTCGCCAAATGGTTGAGATAAAAAAATATGCAGAGATTCTGTGTTCACAGACAGATACATTGAAGGAAAAGACTCCTGCGAAATACGCTGAACAAGAGAAAAATTACTTGCTCTTTGAGAAACGTTTAGTGTAGTGTTGCATTTTATGGAACTATGCGGGAAGATTTTTTATACAGTGAGTGGCAACCTGAAATTCTTTTTTTAAACCTTTGCAGCAAGTTGAAGCCTCTATCAACGAAGACTTAAGTAGAGAACTGGTTGAAGTGACAGAAGCAGGCCGTGACATAATAGAGAAGAAAGAATTACAGCCTGATGACGCAGATGAAGTTAACGAAACGCTTAGCGCACTCAATCGACAAATGGCTGACTTAGAGAGAGACACCAGGGAGAGAAAAGACAGGTAATAAGTTGTGGAATTGTTCTGAAAGTATTCTGACTGAACAATTAATTATTGGACAAGGTTGAGCAAAATATCGTGAATTGTTATTTCAAGTGTGGTCTGTGCGATGCAGACGATGCCTGTTTCTCTTACAACAAGGTGTGGAGGAACACAAGCGATCAACAATTGGAAACAAACCACGTAAAGATGAGCATGAAAGGATCCGGAGACCATTACATGCAGTATCAAAATCTTTTAAAAGTGTCAGAGCAAACTCGACTGCTTGATCTTCGAAATACTTTTTATTCGCGAACTAAAACCAAAAGTGAACAAGCGATGTGACTCGTGCTCGAACCTTGCGAGGTTATTTATTTAGTTATTTCACTATTAAATATCTCTTACCATTTTAGCGTTCCTGTTATCATTAACGCTGTGATTTTCTTGTATGGTTTCTTTATAAATATTTTAAAGTTTTTTAGTCAGTATCTCATTGGTCCTTTCACATTTTGCACATGCTAACTTTTTACTTCTGAACTTGAATATGACTGTCCGACGATTGAAACGTCTTTCTTTTTTAACGTAAATTTTTGTAGTGAAATCCGAAAACGTTTTAATATTGGATTCACCTAAAGAAACTCACCTCGGTAATGAAACTTTGTATTATTAGAATGAAGGAATCCTCTCTGAAATACTTTGGTCGTTCACTTGCTGAATGTGAACATGCTGCTGAGAAACTCGAAGATGCTGCCACAAATTTCACTGACGTTGGGGTTGACATTAACGAAGTTGGAAAACAACTTGCAGATTTGCAGGTAATACAGAAAAAAAAATTTTCAATTAGCAAGCCTGTCATCAAAGGTCCCTCATTTCCTTTACCGAAGCAAATAAACAGCGAAAGCAGCACGCTGGCTATCCACATCTTGTAACCCTTCTAGGGAACGCGCCCATCCTTTTTTGTTTTTGTTTGAAACGTGCAGTTTTTGATACGTGTTGGCCCTTCGTTCACAACGATCAAAAACGCGAGTTATTGAAAACCCCCTTGAAGGTAGTGGTCAATCATGAACGTATTTTAGTTTGAACGGACATAAACGAACTGCTTAAAGTAAGCCTACCATACACAGGAAGAAATAACGTGTTTCCGTTTTTTGTAAACTCGACGGAATCAGAGAAATATATATTTCTTTGATTAAGCGCCCACGCTCTCAACCCAGCAAAAAAGCCCCTTTGTTCCCCTCCCACTTTCCAAGTAATAAATGAATATGGCGGTGTCGTTCTCTGTTTGTTATTAATATTATACTCTTTTCTTGTCTGATAACACCCGTACCACATTACATGTCTACGACACATTAACCCTTTAAGCCCCAAATATCCACTTAGAAATTCTGGATCATTATACGTTTCTGGGAAGTTGCCCACCTACCCCTCTCCCAAGCCAACATTAACACATACCTCTCACTTAGGGCAAAATGTTGGCTTAGGGGAGGGGTAGGTGGGCAGTTTCCCAGAGACGCATTGATGATGTTGGTCCCTCTTAGGACTTAGATTGGACTCTGTGGGATTTAAAGTTAAGAACCGCTGCACTGCTGATTGATCAGCGTGCTTTCCTTTTTAAAGGACGAGGAATTAATAGGAGTACCTTTATGATGAGATATTGTCTTTAATTTTAAGGAATTTGAAAATGATTTGGTGAAAGAAGAAGCAAAATTTAGTGACATAAAAGAACAGTTTGAAGATGCAAAGGAAACAAGTTTGCTTAGGGAAGAAGACAAGGCTAGAATACAGCGCAGGATTGCAGCTCTCGATGATAAGTGGGCAGAACTGAACAAACTTCATGATGACAACCGTCGGAGGTAAGAGTTTGTCTTGAGCAATACCTCTTCCTTTTTTTAAGGAGGTTTGCACTTATTTTTTAAGGTCTCGCCCCCTCTTGTTTGATGCTTCACAACTTTGGTTGCAGTGCATGTACGGAAAAGCCACAAAGTGAAACAAGTATCTAACATTGAACTTAATTTAAGATTATGCTTCGTTGACATCGCCGCTTCATAGCAACAGAATAACGATGACATGAAATGTACAAATTGGGAATTTTCTCGAAATCCAACTATGATCTGTTAAAATCCTCTAGTGTGCTAACAGTTTAGACCGCTGTCTTTACCTTGGCTGTCCATAAACGCTATTAACATAGATTTATTAAGAGACAAAAAAGTATATTGCTTGGTTTAATTAACAGTTTTCTTGTTTCATCCTCATTGTCACGCATTCTACACACACAAAAAGAGAAAAGAGAAATTATGCCCCGGATAAAATTAATTAAAACATTTACGCTTTCTAAAAAATGACGTTTTTTCCAGATTAACGCAAGCGCTGATAGTTTTTCATGAAGAATTGATGGAAGAGATCTATGACTGGATAAACGATACTGAGAAACAGGCGGAATCCATAGCAGTAAATGAGGATAACATCAACTCAGTAATGGAGGAGTATAGAAGACATACGGTAATACCAATGTTTTACTGAATATCTGCGTTCCTCGGAGTTGTACTTAGCTTAGCTTACAGTCAGTAAGCTTAGCTGGTTACAACGACAGAAAACAGAGAAGAGCTACAGTGAACTTTCTGTCTTTGTATACTTTTCTTTATATAGCGAAGATCCTTTATATACTGTAGTGAAGACTTTCATTGCTTGCAGGTCCTTGACCCTGAGAAAGCAAATTTCCTATGAAAACATGCGTCTGAACCGCTATGTAAACTTGTAGTTGAAAATAAACAGCGTAAACAGCTGATGGATTGCGCGCAGCCGGATGATGATGTACATCTAACTCCTTTGCAACAGTTCCTTCTTATTACCATTTCGATTTATACGGCGGCATTTCAACCAAAACTTTACTTGAGCAACGGTCATTTTTTCTATCTCTTCTTCACTAAAGCTAGCACCAGGAATGTCCTCCAGAGTAAGGTCGACTTGATCGTTCGTCATGTTAGTTATAATTTTGCCGCGAGGGGTATTAAGCCTCACTTCCATGCAACTTCCGGTTTTTTGCTGGAAGCGGAGTATTTTCGTCAGTTCGATTCCTATTAGCGCCAAAGATATTTCCCGCCCCTCTACACCACACCAGAGACAAAATGGCATTTTGCTTTATGTTGACTATCTTGGGCAGTATTATAATTATGATCATGATTATGATTATTTTTATTGTTATCATACTGTTGAAAGCACGTTTATTCCAGAGTGCCGGTCCATCACCAAAGCTCAGTGTCACCCAAAGACACAAGTAATTCGCCAGAGGCCGCTAGTTCTGCTAAGAAAGTATTCAACTGGCCCAATGTTTAGTCTGCTGTAAGCGGCCATGAATAAGAGCAATTCTATGGGCAAACGGCACACTAAACACCTTGCAATGTGTTGCAGATACAATGTAAATTAAACAAAAATTTACTCTTATGATTTGGTTCTTAAACAGGAACTGAAGGAGGATATTGCGTCATTCGAGCCAACCTTTAGGAAAGCAATGTCAATCAGTGATCGGCTTTTGAGTGAAAAACTTGTGGATCCCGAGAGAACCGAGAGTTATGAAACAGAGATAAGTACTCTGGAGAAGAGATGGACACGACTACAAATGAAGACAATGGACAATGGGACGAAGTGAGTGTTTTTAAAAGGGTCGGTCGTATTGGGGGAGGCGGGCTAGTTTCTGGAAAGTTTATTGTATGTTTTAAAAACTTCGTTTTGTGGTGTGAACACGGAAAACATAAAATAGCTCTTCGAACCTGATAATAACTAGGATTTTTGAAAACATGTACCTGAGCTCGGTTGCATAAAGCTACGAGGATGATAAACTGTGGATTTTCTGCCATCGTCAGTACCTTTATTCCCGAAGCCTGGTTTCTACTAGCGCATAAGCATAAGCATAATGGCATATTTGACTCAGTTCTCGATACCAGCTCCCTCAACCCAATGATAAACAAGATGGCAGACGCTTCGTCCGCCATATTGCTTTTGATATGTTGGCATGAGGTCTGGGTCAAAGTGGCCTATTTTTAGTCCACGGCCTTGTGCTTATGCTTGTGCTTATGTCGACCCAGTTTTCACCAGTCAAAGCTACGACATAAGCATAAGCATAAGCACAAGAAGAACGAACTTGTCCGTTTTTCTTGTGCTTATGCTTATGTCGACCCAGTTTTAACTTGCCTACACATGTGCTTGTGCTCATGCTTATGCGCTACTGAAAACCAGGATTGAGGCGTCTTTTGCAAGTATTATGGATACGTCAGTAGACACAGTTTTACAAGTACAGTAAACACGAAATAGAGCACAATAAAAACGTTGGAACACAGAGGAACGAAACCAAAAACCCCCAGTTTCTTTAATCTTTAAATGGTAGAAATGCCTTTGTATAAGTGATAAATATGTTTTACATGAAGGTTTTTCCAAATTTGTCGACACTAATACTCTCTGGTGCTTTGTTGTGTTAAGATTGTCTGGCGTCCTTGGAAGGTACATCACAACGAGGCTAGACGACGCAGAAGTTGCTTTAACCCGTGCTGAGTCCAGCATTGACAAAGATGATGGCGATTATTTGGATCTCGAGGCTGCGAGGAAGGCGCTGGATACTTTTGAGGTCAGTAATGCACACCGCTTCCATTTATCAATGGAAGCCTAAAGAACTGCCGTGACACAGCGACACCATGACACCGTGACGCCGTGTTTACAGCCTAAAAAAAATGGTCCAGATCCATCCCAGGTGCAAATAGTACGGCTGCAACTGTAAAGCATGGTTTTGCAATCTAAACGATCGTAGTGACAGGGAACGAGCCATTTAGGTAGACTGGAGCCAGAGCATGGAAAGTAACGTCAGACGTGAGTTTGACTGGGCTGAACCTTGAACGTTCGAGGTTTATGTGTTACTGGCCACTAAAGTCTGCCCCAGCGATCGCTATTATTCCTATGGATACCCAGGTTGTTTTAGATCGTATACGCTCTCTTTGCTTATTGCTAATTAGTGATCACATGATCTTCCCAGGAGACTTTGTCATTTGTCTTATCGGAAAGGAAAGAGTGAATGCGAGCATATAGCCTGCGAGCAAGCTCTTCATTTCGAGTGTTTAGCAAAGGGAGCCGCGCGTGTTATAGGGGTGGATCTCTCGTGCCGAACGCGCGTGATTTCTCACGATACCCCCCAGATGCAGAGCTTGCTCGCAGGCTTGCGAGAATAAAAAGATTTTGAATTTTGAAAGACTCTGCGCGCCTTGGTTTGTCACCATACGGTCTACAACAACGAAGTGTATAGCTGCTGACTAACTGATTTCTCATTACGTTTCCAGAGACGAAAGGAAGGTGTTCGAGATTCTCAAAAGAATGTCGACGAGATTCTCACTGAGTCACGTGCTATTATGAAAGAGGATTTCTTCAAAGAACACGAACGCGACCATTTCCGAGGAAGAATTGAACTTATCGACAAAAGAAACAAAGAGCTTGACGAGAAAGTAACTCAGGCGGAAAGAAGGTACTTTGTTTTAAAAATTGATATAGATTTCTTTTCATTGAAGCCCCTTGCAAACTTTCTCTCAAATAATCAGGATTGTTCGTTTTAACCAATTCTGTCCTCAGCATAGGTTGAATTCATTTCATTAAGAATGTCTCGTACTTTAAATGTCATTCAGGTCTTATTCACTGAATCTTGTACTATCTGAACCACAAAGAATTTGATAGATGCGTAATTTTTTTCTTTCTTCTTGTTTCCATTTTCTCTTCTTCTTTGTGCGAGTGAATTATCGAGGGAACTTTTTTTGAAGATCGTGAAGTGAGCAAATCGTGAAAATAACCCGCATAAATTTTTAAAACCCGTAAAATTTAGCTTGACCCGGTAAACGTTAAAGGTCTCATTGTAAGGTAAGTTCGGTTTTATTATTTATGTCATTTGTCCTTGTTGATTGATATTGTGTTTCAACAGGTTACTCGACACATATCTTTTGCTACTAAAGCAAAACTTGCAAAGAATGAATGTATGGCTAAATATGGCAGAGTCCCGAATAAAGGCACAAGGCGCGATAGGACCCGGATATGATGACGTAAAGAGACAACTAGAGGACCATCAGGTGAGTAGAGGCGTCTCCACCTTAATTTATTAACAACTTAAACTTAAAACAAGCATGATAGTTTCATTCATAAACTCATAAGATATAGCCTCCTAGCTTCCCCTTGTAGAACCACAGAAACGAGCTGTTCCATGAAATAAGGGAATACTAAATAGACAATAAATATATTTATTATATGGACACGAGTGTTTTACTGGAAAATATACCACTCGTAAAATTCATAACTGAAACAACATCCGGGACTCGAGTGTTTTATTTTCCATAATCTCACACGTTAGTTTATCGATGACGTAATTTCGGTAATTTCCCTCCATTATTTTGTCAATGTCTTTTTGTCTATATAATAGAAAGAACATTACACGGTGGCTTGAAGATATGACTTTTATTTTCTCGTGGCAAAAACAATGTTTTAGTCACTCGATGCGCTCGCTCGTAAAATATTGTTTTGCGACTCGAAAATAAAACTCACATCCTCGCGCCACTGTGTAATATCCTCTATAAATAAGTAAACAAACAAATAGATAATAATTAAATTAAGTGTTTATTTGTCTACCATATTCCTGATCGAACGATGGAATAGGAATTTGAAAATGTTGTTTTTGTGGAGTGGGGAACATCTTGTTCAAAAACAAGTTTATCGGAATTTTTTTCGTCTTCTCGTCGAGGGAGCGAATATTTTTTGTCCAATTTAGGAAACAATAGCCCTTAGACCTTTTTTATATTGTAGATTTTCCAAGAAGAACTTCGCGACCATTCTATGATTACCATGATTCTTGGAGTGGACGTAACACACCCAGCCATTGATGAGAGCACGCATCAACAAGTGAAGACACTTAGCGAACGCTGGAGCAAAGTGTGGAACTGGTCCGAACAGAGAAAAGCGCAACTTCTTAAGGTATTTTACCATTATGAGTTTACGTGGATGTCTAAACGATCCAAAAGGTTTAGAAAATGCATCAGCTCCTTCCATATTAAGAGTCGAGGAGGGCCTCGAGCCGCGACCTTCGAAATATGTTATTGACGTAAAGTTACTTGAGTGATGGCCCCGCAGGAGGAGGTGTGTTAGGGTGGGGGGTGGGTTACTTAACAAAAGGTTTTACGGAGAGGCTTCGCCCGAGGTCCGACCCTTTACCCTTTTATATACCATTCTTGACAGAAAAGGTACCTCTATCGTATACCTTTTATTAACACTGAGATGGTACCCTTTTTACACACTAGTTTACAACGCTGCATCTCCTTCAACTGCTGTAAATGCACCGTCTTTAAAATATGAATAAGTCACTAAACCAGTAAGTCTTGTTGGTTTTATCACAGCTTTTAAATGTGCCTTTTAACCCTTTGGTAGGTCCTTTCCCATAGCGCAATGTACAGATTTCCCTGCACTTTCATATCCTTCAAATGGTTGAATCTCAACCCTTTCATAAACCTGAAACCTCAAGAAGGTACCCCTTTCTCCTTATAGGGCATAATAAGGAGCGCTTATCATTTGTATGGAAAACCCGGAAATTGCGAGGAGAATTCAAATAGAATGGTTCATCCCGGTGGAAATCTTCCGGAAAGAGAAAAGAGAAACAGAAAAATTTACCGGTATTTTGTAAATGGTACAACTCAATCCCGTTACTGTTTTCGGTGCCAAAAAATACCTGTACCATTTGACGGAAATTTTTCACCGAAATTTCTGTACAAATGGTAAGCGCTCAAGGAGTATCCCCCTCCTCCTCGGGGTCATGGCATACTGTTATACCCTATTATACCCTGCGCACTATGTCCCCATGATACATGTCAAACATTTTTGTTTGTTTGTTTGTTTGTTTGTTTGTTTTTATGTTGTGAAGGGTTCTTTTTTGGTGATCTAGGATTGAGTAAAAAATCTGGAAAACTACAAAAATTTCCAGTTAGTAAAATGAGAACTTTAAAGCCGTTTTAACTATCGTCAAATGGTGAATGCTTAAGACGATAATCAACTTTTTTTAATCAATTGTATTTTCGCAGGTTTTGGCGTACTGATGATGTTATCACAGCGTCTTTGTTTTTGTTGTGTTTGTTCAATTTTTGCTGTTTATTTTCTTAACAATGTTTTGTCTGTTAAGGTTTTGAGCAACTGGCAGAGATTCCGCGATGAGCAGTTGTTATTGCTAAACTGGCTGTCAGACGAAGAGAAAACTCTGAAAGACATGGGCAGAACAGATCTCACTAATGAGGAGGAAGTAAAACAAGATTTGGAAAAACTTCACGTAAGAACGTGACTGAGTTTAAAATTATTTGTATCAGTCTTAGTGCTATGACAGACGATAACGCACTTACGAATTTGAACAAGGTTTTTAATCATTCGCCCACGGAGCTGTCCCAGTTGAAGTTATTTAAGCCATTCTATGGATAAGAAAAGTTTATTTCTTGACTGTATTGTGTCAGTGTGTATTTCTCACCACTCCTCAAATTTTTTCATTTCTTTATCAATACTATTATTATTATTATTATTATTATTATTATTATTATTATTATTATCATTATTATTATTATTATCATTAAATTAACTATCTAGGCTAAAAGAGCTAAATACAGTCAACTCTCTCGTAAGCGAACACCCTTAGTGCACGACAAAGTTGTCGCTTGCTGGAAGGTGGTCGCTTACGAGAGGTGGTTGACTACGAATAGCTATATTACATTACGTTTATTCATTGGAAAAATACGACTTCGGGTTGCTTTTTATCACTGATTGACTAGTGTCTTTTGTCTTTTGAAGTCGTCACCTGATGTGAATGTCTGTCTTTCCCCGTTTGAAAAACTAGGTTATACAAAAAGAGTTAGACGAACAAGGAACTCGACTGCAATCCTTGCACCAGGCCGGCTCAGATTTGCTGAAGAACGTTGATGAAAGTGATTCAGCAGCAGCAGAGATAAATACTCAGCTTAAAGACTTTGACGACTGTTGGAATGATATTGCAAAACAAGTCATAAACAGAATACAACTGGTGAGCTACTTTAGATAAATGATCGCGACTTTTGAAAAGGAAGTTCAATCCTTGCTACAGATCTGACGCCATTTTATAGGGCAAGTTTGTTGTCTTTCTTATGGTGTGATATTGTTGTCGTTGTCATTCGCAATGATAGAAATGTGGTGGCCGGATCTCTCATGAGCCTCTTGTAGCTTAGTGGTAGGGCATCTGGACTAGTAACCAGAAGGTCGTATAAATTTCGACTTTAATTGGGAGCACTCTTATTTTTCTTTCGAGCCGTCTTTCTCACTGACTGAACATTCATCTTTCTCATGTTTACACCAGGCTTAAAATTCACCATCAAATTTCTATCATTGGGCATAAGCAGATATCCTGTCCCTAGTAGTGTGCAGAATGTCTGTCACATGAACCTAGTTTAGGGGCCTTAGCTCGTTACGATTCTCCTATAGCTTTGTGGTACAGCTTCTGGACTAGTAACCAGAAGGTCATAGGTTCGACTATTATGAGGGGTACAGTCAACTCCCTTTATAGCGGACACTGTATGGACCTCAAGTTAGTGTCCTCATCAGCGAGAGTCCGTATTAGCGGGAGTTTATTTCAGTCAAACGTCTGTAATTTATTTTTTCCGGGGATTTAGCCGCTGTCCGTTTTATCGGGGTGTCCGCTATAGCGGGGTGTCCGCAAGGCAAGAGTTGACTGTACTCGGATTTTTTTCTTCAGAGCCGCCTTTGTCACTGACTGAAAAATCATCTTTTTGATGTTTTGACGTTTTAGCTGGAAAGTTCCCAGAACAAGTATCAAGAGTTTCATAAGGAAATGGATGCCACAAATGAATGGATGGATGAAACGGAGAAGCTGCTTAAGTCATTTGACATCGGTATGGATCCAGAAGAGGCCTCAAAGTTGCAGGAAAAGACTGAGGTCAGCTACTACTTGTATTTTACTTAGTGTGCATGAACTTATGTTCGTCTTACTTTTGTGGGATCTCATTAAACTGACAAAGTGAGCCTGAGTGTAAAATCTATTGCGCATAACTGCTATGACTCAAGCTAAGTATTCGTCGTAAAACCACGGGGTAAATAACACGCGTTACCAAGAAATTCATGGTGCACATAGAAAATCAGTCAGTGGTAGTTTTTCACGCGTTATTCACTTGGATATTGATCGCGACATTTCGACCGCTTATTGATGGTCCCTCCGAGGGGATGGCCTAGTTTTGCTACAAGGGATTTTTGTGTAGATCGTTGCCTAGTTACAAACCGAAAGGGGCTTATTACGAATGGGTATGTAATGGGATTAGAGAACTTAAGATAGAGACGTACGGGAACTTAAGATGGAGACGTTTTCGGGGCGACGGCGACCGGACTGGCAGAGAAAGCCTGCAACTGAGGCAGCCGTCGCTTCCCGTCAAAAATCGAACATTAAGATCGCAGTGAACTCAGAAGGATGGCTCCTTTAATTAGAAGAATACCGAAGAGGAAAATATGGCTTCACATAAAGAATTACGAGAATAAATATTTGCTATGCAGACAACATGTATCGGATGAAGAGTTTCTCGTTTTGTGGGAAAATTATGAGTCCAAAATTCCCGATTTTCCTCGGGACAGTTACGATCCGTTCACGCTAAAAAACATGCAGGATGCAGCTGAGTGCAAGGCAGAATTTCGTGTTGAAAAAAAAAAAAGATCTCCACAGGCTTGCCGAAGCCTCGCAAATTCCAGGAACATTAGAATGCTACCAAGGAACCGTATTCTTAGTTTGGTTTTGAAATAATTCCCGGGAAATACTTGCATGCAACAACAACAACAACGGCAGCAACTTTATTTCAGTATTCCCACTTTAGTACATGGTATTACCTACTATTCTATATAATTTTCAATGCGTTTCATTTGTACGATATTCTAACGAAAAGAGCGAACTAAAAACACACAATTAAAATATCGGAGTTCATATTTTTTGTCTGGATACTTTTATTTGGCTCGTAGGACAATTTTGTCCATGTCAAGCTCACTTACGGTTGGCTGTTTGCCAAGTTGGATCTTGAACCTGTGACATGAAAACAGAAACATTGAAAGATGTAAGTTTAGATAACAGAGCTTGGAAATCGAGCTTGAAATGTACCTCAAAGAAAACAAGGATAATTTAAGAACGATAATCTGCAAAATTTTGGTTGCTAAACGCAACAAGTCTGATTGAAATGAAAGTTAAATACTCACGTTTTCGCCACAACGCCAAACCGCCCAGTTTCGCGTCGCCGACGGGACCACGACGGCAAGGTGGTGAGCAGGAACATGCGCAATATCCAGCAAATGATGATGTCACGTCCTGTTGAAGTTGCCGTCGCCCCGAAAACGTCTCTATCTTAAGTTCCCTGTTTTCCGGGCGACGGCGACCGGACTGGCAGAGCAATCCTGGAACAGAGGTAGCCGTCGCTTCCCTCCAAAATTCGAACATTAAGATCGCAGTGAACTCAGGAGGACGCCGCCTTGGACTACCGAAGAGGAAAATATGGCTTCACATAAAGAACTAAGAGAATTAATGCTTAATTGCTTGCATGCAACAACAACAACTTTATTTCAGTATAATACTGAAATTTCCCACGTTAGTATGTGGTATTACCAACTATTCTAAACAATTTTCAATACATACGTTTCATTTATACGATACTCTAAAGAAAAAATTGAGCTAAAAACACACAATTAAAATATCAGAGTTCATATTTTTTGTCCGGATACTTCTTCATTTGGCTCGTAGGACAATTTTGTACATGTAAAGCTCACTTACGGTTTGCTGTTTGCCATATTGGATCAGATTGCATCTTGACTCTGTGACATGAAACATAGAAACATTATAAAGATGTAAGTTTAGATAACAGAGCTTGGAAATCGAGCTTGAAATGTGACTCAAAGAAAAGAAGGACAATTTAGGGACGATAATCTGCAAAATTCTGGTTGCTAAATGCAACAAACCTGATTGAAATGAGAGTTAAATACTCACGTTCTCCCCACAACGCCAAACAGACCAGTTTCACGTCGCCGACGGGAGCACGACGGCAATGTGGTGAGCAAGAGCATGCGCAATTTTGCACAAATCATGACGTCATGTCCGGTTGAAGTTGCCGTCGCCCCGAAAACGTCTCCATCTTAAGTTCCCTATTATCAACACAACGACGACAACGTGCCGATGAAGCTTTACAAAACCCTCAAGTTTAATGCTAATGAGGCCAATGATGAGCGAGATACAGCCATTTAAAATTTCCAAGGAAATATCTATGAATTTCTTGGTAAATTTTCACGTTTTTGTATGTCTTTATCTTCATCAATATTTGCCCTATTAACACCAAACTTAGGGAATTTGTAAAGCCTTGTGTGCTCTTTCTGGCTGTGTAAGTCTTGGGTTGATAATTCCATAATATACAGGCTCCTACCGAGTCCTCCTTGGTTTGAAAACCTACAATGAGAATTCCGTCTGAAGGTGTGACTCTAACTTGCGACTGTTACTAATTCTCCGTTCCAGATTAAATGTGAAGAACGTGCCAGATACGCATCTAAAGTTGATCGAATCAATAGACTCGGTAATGATCTTGCTGGTGAAATAGATCAACCCTCGCACGATATCATTCAAGATGAACTTGAGCCCTTCAATGCTCGATGGAGCGATGTCTCAGCCCAGCTGGAGAACTTCAGCGACAAAGGATATCCTCAACCTAAAAACGACTGCTGCTTCGTTAGACTCATGAGAAGAAAATTTGGAGCCTTCCAGTAATCATGATAGTTTTTAGAAAATGGAGAATATTCTAATTAACAATAAGTAAAATATTTCTTAGACTTCTTAATCTCCACGCTCCTAGAGAATAATGCGTACACATTATGTAGCTTCTGTTAATGTAATCTAGCAATACAGCCATAAGTAACCTAGCTTGCCATTTCTATCAACACATCAATGGTGCCCCTCTAGAAAAAAGTTATTTATATTTGTAAAGTAATCCATGTTGAACCATAAGGATGGGCTGATATCAACACCAGTCGTGAATTGTCGAAAGCTATCGATGCAGCAAACATTTAGAATTGCCTTAATGGGTCGACTAGGCCTGCATTCCACGTTTTTGCCAGATTCTCACGAGTCCATCTCAGTTTCTAAACGTATACAGTCAACGGTCTACGTTTGTATGGCAGTCCATACGAGAGCAATAACATTCGTTTGTAAATTGTTCTACTGCTAACGCGGTCTGCAATAAGATCATTTTACGGTCGTTAACGCCTTTATAGAAGCCGTAAATTCGTGCGTAAACTTCAAAGCCTTGTACGAACTAAGCTCTTAATATTTTGTGGCAATAAAAACGCGATTTGAACCATAAACGCGTTATCAGCCCCCATGTATCAGCCATCCTCTATGAAGCAACACACTGTCTGTATTACAATGTACTAGGTAAAATTACGCAAGCACTGTCATGCATCCTCGTTGGCGCAACGTCTTGTTGATGAATACAAGTTACTATCCGTGACAATCATTATGATAATAATCGAGATTTTGTGCGTGCTTAGCCTTCCCCTCCCCCAGGACATTTTACCCGCTATTGTATAGGTATGGAGAAAAGGGACCGTTTTTTAATTCATATTTAACGTTTATAACGTATTTAAAGTTGAAAAACTGTATTTTTTATCAGTTTTAATGTTATTGTTAAATTAGCTTTTTTAGTCAGGTACATTTTCTAAACTTGTACTGATTTCGCAAATCACTATTTTAACTTTAGAAAGCCGTAATAAAGAATAGTAATTTTCAATATTGATGAAGCTGTCTTTATGTCTGGGTTCTCTATAATTAAACTCCTCTCCAGTTGGACGTCAAATTGAGGAAACTTTTTTGTGATTCTGTCAATCAGTTTGAAACACTGTTCACCTCAAGAATTAGCTCCAACGAGTTAGGTGGGGAGGGGGGATTAGGTAAGGACTAAACGCTAAAGATTATGGAAAACATGCGCGGCCTTTGTAATATATAGATTTAGCCAGGGCTAAACACGAAGTTCCCGACAATATTTATAGTTTGCTCAAACAAAATGTAAAATCGTGTAATGCGAAGCGGCGAAGGCAACGAAAACGGTGAAAAAACAAAAATAGGTCTAATTAGCAAAAAAGCAACTTTGCTCGTGCAGCACACTTTCTTTGTACATTTCTTTGCCGTTGTTTTGCACGACTACAACGTGAAACTTCCAGAAGCTTCCTGGTTACACGTTTTTTGGAGGAAATGTCGTACGTTTTCTTGTTCACTTTTTTTCCACTGTCGCTCATTTTCACCCAGGTAGCCGCTAGCATTTCTCATTTTCTCACCGCCGCTACAAAATTTCATGTTGTTCCTCCCACAAAAAATGTCTCCATTGTTTTTTCTATCTCGCTCTAGCTCTTTTTCTCGTTGAGCTTCGCTGGCCTGTCGCCTTGCTTTCTCTTTTTCTCTGTCTTTCTCTTTCTCTATTTTCCAAATTTGTGGATATGACAATTAATCTAAACTTAATACTTTAGACAACAGGATACAGAAACAATTTCCGCTTTCCGTTTTCGTCTTTGTTGACTCTTTAGTTGTCTCTGCTTCACAAAACGCGGGCGGCCATACGCTTTCCCGACAAAATAAACTGACATTTGGCACAGGCTTACATGAAGTGGGTGGGTAAGGTCGGCGTACGAACGCTACGTCATAACCAAATTTTCTTCCTTTCAGAGGTTACCACTTTATCTTAGCAATGGGGCTCCGCCACGCGCGCTTCGCGCGGGAGTTCCGCTATGAGGTTGCCAAAAGGTAGTAAAAAGCGGGGACCCCCTTAATCCGCTCTTTTTTTGCGTAAGGATCTCATGAACTTGCGCAGGTTTACATTAACCCCCATGACTTTATGACCTTTTGTCTGTATCTCAAGAATAAAATGTTAATTTTAGATGGTTTAACCGGTTTGACAGCTTTTTAGGTCAGTGAATGGCTTGGTTTTGATTGATTGACAAAAACTTAGAAACGCATTCGCTGGTTGATTCATTTTAAGGAAAGAATAAGCGCCAACTTACGTATCACCTAAAATCACTGAACCACAACGGCATTATGCCAATTCCATTTATTGGTCGTTTTTTACCCAAGAGGTGTAAAACTCGGCTCGTAAAAACAGAGCACATCAAAGTAGAAGTCCTTATTGACCTTCTTTACCGCGCCATGTTATTTTGCTTCTTACCTCGATTTCACTAATAAAAACTGACTTTACCAAGTCGCCTTTGAAAGAGTTGGGCATAACAAATAAATAAATAGATATCGTTTATTCCACTCTCTTGCAGATAACTCAATTAACAAGCGGTTATGACTAACAATAATGCTACATTAAAGCTATGTATTAATTATACTACACTTAAAAAATACTTAAAATGATAATCACGACGGATACTTAAACGACGAATATTTAAAAGTAAAAAAGTTCTCTGATCTCTTAGTTCTCGTGATTTTATTAAATGGTCGAAAAGAACCAGGTCTAAGGTCAGCATAAGGATTAGTTCTTTGTACAGCAGTGGACACCAAGCACGATAATGGGTGGTCACAGGTGTCTGTCATCTCAGCCATAAATTTATGACATAGGAGCTCGTGTCTGCAGGAAAGTGTAGTTTCTTTGGCTAGCGGCATTCCTTGGCTGTACGAACTTTTAGGATATATGATTTTGAGTGCCCTTTTTTGCACGGACTCTATTCTATCTGACAGATAGTCAGGGATATCTTGCCACACCTGCACCAGCATATTCTAAAATCGGTCCAACACTACTTCTAAATACTTTCAACATGTCTTGTTCTTGCAAGCCATCTCGCTTTAATAGTCTGAGAGCGTAAAGTTTCTTTGATGCCTTAGCGGTAATGTAGTCAACAGGGCAGTTCCATTTCAAGTTCTCATTAATGATTACTCCAAGTAATTGCTATGATGAAATCCTTCATACTATTTGGTTTCCTATATACAGGGGTCTCGCATACTGTGTTCTGTGCAACAATTATGTATATCTCTAACAGCAAAATCCAACAGGCTACTTGAGTTACGTGGTATTACCTCAAAAACGGTCATGTCATCAACATACTTCAATCTTGAGTGCCAATCACCAAGTAGTCCATTAATCATTATAGCAAACAGGGTAGTTCCGAGTTTAGTTCCCTGTGGGACACCACCATAGGTGTGGCGCCATGGAGACAGGGAACTACCGACTCGCACCGCCTGGGTTCGGTCGGTAAGAAGGGCTCTTATCCAGACAAACAGAGTCTGATAGACATTCAAGAAACATAGTTCTTGAAGGATAATGTTGTGAGCGATTACATCAAACCCTTTTGAGAAGCTGGCAAAAAATATGCGAGTATAGCAGTTTCCTATGTCAACTGCCTCGTGTATTGCTTGGAGTGAATAAATCAGTGCTTGTAGTTGAGTGTCCTTTCGGAGCATATTGTCTTGGGTCGACGTCGCATTTCACCTGTTTGAGTAACCTTCTAGGGGTGAAACCTTTCAAGACTTTAGCTAAGCAGCTGGTTAACGCTGTAGGTCTGAGGTCTGACTTGATATCTTGAGGGGGAGAGATCTTTGGAACTGGTGTAATAATTGACCTTTTCAAGGAGTCAGGTAGGAACCCTTCCTGCAAATGATTGTTTATAGATATCCTTTATAATAGGGGAAAACTCAAGGGCGAATTCTTTGAGTAGCTTGTGAGGAATGCCGTCTGGTCTTATTGTTTTATTTGTGGCCAACTTAGATAGATCAGACAAAATCTCTTTCTCCGGTAGGAGATTCAACTGGAAGTAAGGGGTCAAAGTGCTCCGTTATGCTAACAAAAAAGGTCATTGATGTTGGATGATAGGTCAGCGGTGTCTGAAATGTCTTCGTTAAGGAATTGATGTACCATGCTGGTTTGCTGGGTGCGTCCTGACCAGTTAGCGACTTGATTTATTGCCACCATTTTTAAGTGTTGCTTTGAGCAAAGTCGTTGATTTTACCGTTGTAATAAAGGGATTTTGCAAGTTTGATATCACGTTGGACCTTGCTCCTCCAAAATTTGTAGACAAGAGATTCCTTCCCGTGCCTAATAAACGCAGACTGACGTTTCCAGATTAATAGCTTGATGTTACTCGTAATCCACGGCTTGTACTTAAATATGCGTTTCTTAACATATTTCCAAGGAAAATAAGTGCCCATGGTGGAGTTAAGTTCTTGTCATAAGATCTCGATTTTTTGTGCACAGGACGGAGCACAGAAAATCTCCGACCAGTCTTTCCCTGTCATCCAGCTGCCAAAGTCTCTCCAGTTACTAGCTCAGCACTGCCTAATTCTGATCCTACGGGATAGAATCCTGTTTGGGCGGAGATGTTACCGTTGGGCGAGCTGAGTATGATCTATATCTGAATGATTATTCAGATCGGCCTCTGCGATAACACCCTCCGAGATCTGGATTTCAATTTAAAAAAAAAATTAAATAATCTAAAAAAATCCATACTTCGAAAGGATTCATTAGATTAAATCCAAATCGGAATTCATGGCAAGTGGTTTTTCTGCGAAACCGATATAAGGCCAATGAACCATACTCTCACCGCTTCCTGTGAGAATTAGCCCAGTTGTTAACTAAGATTCCACCAATGAAACACACCCTTCGATAATAGGCAGGATGCTTTTGCAAATTATGTATATTTCATCAATGATGCTTCCTAATTTGAATCAGGTGATTAACACGAGACTGTCTGCAGGTTAAACTCAGCGGCCGCGCCTTAGGGTTATTTCGCTCGGCATCATCTGCGCTACAAAATACCAAGCACACTTTTTCTGGCAAATAGCTCTTTGCAAGAGTGAGGATGTATTCACTGTTTCTTTTCGGTGAGTTACAACATGTTTATTCATGCTTTCTTTGAAAATTTCTGGCGTCTGTTACCTAAAATTTGAACTTTTTCACTTTGAGAGTTTTAGGGCACAGCGCCAACGAGATGTTTTTATAGTTCCTCCTTGCTCTTCCGCCCTTCGCAGAGTTTCAATATGAGCAGCTGTACGCTTTGGCGAAGAGAATGTTTCCAGGAAATTGCAAATTTTGAAAGATTATCTTCCATCTCGAAACCTGATGTGGATAGTCATTCTAATTCCACTTCAGTTTAGTGCGATTTGCTTTACATGCATCCCTTAAGTGAAATAATTCAATTGTGATAGAACAAATATTCTATTGTTGTTTTAGTATGTTTGTTTTGCTAAACCAGGTGCTAGTCTGCGACGTCTCATCCACTCAATATTTCCAAGTCAGGTTCTTTAGAACAAAGACAGCATTTTCTAGCCAGGCTTCATTTAACTCTTCATCCCAGAGTATACCGAGGTTATCCCTCTGAATTCGATGGGATAGCATTTCTGTTTGAGTTTCTGGGTCCTTACTGACCTTTGACTCATGAACGCTGAGGGATTTCTTAGAATTCTGTTACTAGTTTGGATGCACAACAAGTAATTTAAAAAAAATTAAGAGTAGGAAATGATAAGAAAAAATATCAGTTGGTTAAACTAGAGGAAACTAAAATGTTTGACTGTTTTTCAAATGAGCCAGTACAGAACAGCTCGAAATAAATTTTCGCTTTCGATATCGCATTGACCTCTGTCTTTCTTGGAATCCATAATTTCATGCGTCATTCTACTTAGGCCAAAAACTGATCCAGCAGTCATGGATGTTTTCTGAAAACAGTTTTCAGTTACTGTATTTTACCTTTGGAAATTTACAGTGAAGTAAGTATCCAAGATTAGTATATACACACTCAGTGATCTTGGTAATTCAAGCAATCTTATTGGTTAGCTATCTCGGACTACCGGACTATGACGTTATATTCACCGCGCTAGGCGGTGAATATAAAGCAGAACAAATTCGCTGTCGTGAACGGGCGTCTGGAAAAGCGGGAATCCGGAATCCGGAATAGGAACGGGAATAGGAACAGGAACAGGAACCGGAACCGGAATAGGAACCGGAATGGGAAAAGAAACCTATATAAAAGCAGGGACAACATTTACCTTAATTTAAGCTAATCTGGATTTAATTCCTGTTCAGATTATATACGAAAAATAAGGGAAAAATAGAATAGGAACCGGAATAGGAACGGAAATATAAACAGTGTATAGAATATGAAAAGAAAAAGATATAATCGTGATATAAATAAAAAGCCAGATAAATAATTAAAGAAACAAGAAAACACCCTTGAAATGTTAATCTAATTAACCTTTCTTTATCTTTAGCCTATGACACATTGTGTTTTCGTGTCAAACATAATAGCGAACTTAAGCAACGAGAACGCTGACCGTCGCTTGATGGAACGCTTCTGTCTCACACAACGAATCTGAATTCTTCCTCTTACCTTCCACTGGGCGAATTTGTTGAGTCAGAGCACCTAAAGACAGAAAACATCCACTTCCAGTTTCCATTTTTAATGTCCTGGACGTCAACGTTCTGCTTGCTTATTAAGGTCCCTATTGCACGCGGTTGAGGTAGATGAAGTACTGGCCGCTGAGATGGGTTTTTGGGGGGGGGGGAGGGGGAGGAAGTACATGTTAATACCCTTTTTAAGCTGTGGACTATCTATCTCTGGTTAACTTCCCAATTTAGCACCGTACAATATATCTATGGAGCAAACCTGAGGTGTATGGCAGCCCAATAAACGTCTCCGATGGGTGTCTCGTATACACATGGTCTGACAAATAATATTAACATGTGATAACCACCTTCCTGTGAGAGACAAAAGGAACCTTAAGATCTGACGACGGCAACGCCAGCGAAAACGCCACTGAGAAACTGAATTCGGGTCTTAATTCAAACTATTTCTCATTAATTCCAAATTGCCCAGTCTTTTAAAGGTTGGGAAATGAAGCTGGAGACCGCGTCCGAGCTCAGAAAGACACAATAAAATTTATTGCCTGCCGTTCACGTTCTTAAGAGAACTTAAGATTTGATCATTTACATCATAGTTGTGCATACGCGGTGAAGAATTTGACAGAAAGCGCGATACGATGCACTCGCAAAGCTGTTGCTTTACTTATTTAACTTGCGGCTTTTTCTACCTCCTCGCTGCCGTATTATAAAGAGATTCGGGGGGGAGCATGATACCAGAGTAGTGTTCTTATTTTTTGTATAAATTGAATTCGAATTAAAATAATTTAAAGTAAATGATATCCGTGTTCTTGTATCGGTTCCCCTTCACATTGCTGTTTCTGTTCCGTTGCTGTTTCCGGTTCCGGTTCCGGTTCCTGTTCCCATTCCCGTTCCTATTCCGGATTCCGGTTTCCGGTTTTTCCAGACGCCCGTCGTGAACTGGGTGTGTTGCCAAAGTTTCATAGCAAAGCCTATTTGAAAATACACAAATATCCAAGTGCTGATGACTTTGAAGGCAAGAAAAGACTTCATGGTGTTTAAACAGCGTGATTTATTGTGAAGTGGTTTCCTGTAGCTGACTTTTTGTACGCTCGAAGCTATGTTTACCACTGCAGAGGAAAACGAGGTCGCTTTGTCACTGTTTTGTGATTTCGGGATTTTCTCGCAAGACCAATTTTGCCTATAAATAGAAGTTAATTTATGGAGAAAAGAGGAAGGCAAATATTTTCGAAAATTGTACGTGCCAGCAAGTTAACAAGGCAACGAACATTGGAGATAAACAACGCACACCTTGATCGTAGCCGCTGTTGACAGCATTTGCAAGAAGCGACAAAGAAAACTTTCTCATTCACGGTGAGTTGCCGCAGAAACAAATAAAGCTCTACTTTTCTTCTCAGAATTGGGTAGTAATTTAAATTTTCGGCGTTTTGTTTTAAACCGTTGATGCTAAAGCTTACAAAACTCGATACAAAAGGATTAAAACTATCACTGAACTATCATTTGCCATGTTTGAAGATACTGTGAAGATCTAACTTTTGCGCATCCACTGTTTACAGCTTCGTGTTCACGCATGAATTCACCCGTCAATCAAACTAATCGTTTTTTAATGGTTTCCTTTCTGATTCTGTTGAGATCACTTCGTGTGAATATACTAAAACAATAATTCACCTCGGGCTTACAGTAATATTGTCTCGTCTAGGGGATTATTCAACAATATTAACTTCGCCTTCGGCGAATAATTGTTAAATATACTGAGAATCATGAAGCAAGAAATATAGCGGTCAACCGGAATCAGTCTGGCGTTTTTCTTTCCTCATTCGATGCAATAAACTTATTGTGGCTTCGCAGCGGGCTAATTCTGGTCGCGTACGTGACCAGCCTGGGTTGCCTGTGCCCGAAATCAGCCATATCATTGTTCGCAGTCAATCGATTTTGAAAGAAAACCAAAACAACAGTCGATCATTCGATACAGTGGAATGTACAAAACGTAAAGCACGGGAGAAATCCTATTTCGTATAGAAAGCCACGTTTTGGCAAGCGAAGAGTATGAAGGCAAGTGAAGGTAAAAAATTTCGGTGAATTGAAGCGATACGTTTCTCAGAATATTTCAAGCCATTCCTGGAACTCAACGATAAATAAAGTCGGTGTTTTAGCTAAATTTGTATTCAGCCAGGCTCTGTTATTTTTATTTAATTGATAAATTGCTTTAGTTATTAAGAGCGTTTCTGGAAAGTGTGACAAGGTTTGTTCTCCCTTGATAGTAAAACGTTTTATACCCCTTTATACACGAGGGAAGCAAAGATTGAGAATAATTTGATACGCTCTCGAAGCGTTATGAACCAGTTGAACTAAATAGGAAATTCACTCTTTTACTCACGCCATCGCTCGCGTGCCCTTAACCTTATCGTGGGCAGGTTTCAGACAAATAATGTTCCGACTTTTTTATTCCCACGGACTTTTTCCAATGTAGCTTGATACAAACACTTATTTTGGTTCAAAGTTCAGTTTTTATCGATCGTGTCGTATTGCGCTACATGCACAGTATGTAAACAATCGAAATAAACTGCAACTGATTCAAATTATCTGAAATGCCATGCTTTACTCGCAGCACTTCACTTTCCATTGGAAACTGCTAGTTTCATCGAAGATTTTCTAAAACTCCTCTCCTGGTTGCGAAAGCTGTATAACTTTGGTCAACACTTTTTTGCCGTGTTGACACCTTTCATTTCCCCCGGGTTTCCAAACGGGTCAGGCCTTTTTCGTTTTTGTCTGGCGTTTTTTTTCTCATTCGATGCAATGAACTGTAATTGGAGGCCTAATCCTTCCTGCTTGTGAATGCTGTATAACTTTATAACATGTTTTGCCCGTGTTTACGCCTTTAACTTTCCCGTTCCAAGTGGATCAGGACCACGGTGATAATTTGAGTCATACTGAATTCGGGAGCGATGAAACTTCGTTATTTCAGTTAATCGTGCGGTTGTAGAAGTTTTTAAGAAATTCCTCACAAGCTTGATTTTGTTTTCTCGAGGAAAGATTAGTAAAACTAAAAAAAAAAACAAATACATTTGTAATTTCTTGAAGCTGAATAATGGTTCAGCTTGGGAGATAACTTGACAAATGCTCTCAGTATTACGTTAAAATTCCCGGGATGGGGGATTGATACAGCTATTGATATTTTGTAAGTGTTCCTGAAAAAGATGATAAAATAATAATAACATTACCTAGAAAATATCTGTAGACCAAAATATTTTGTCTGGAACGAAGGAAGTTTTCACTCCGTTTTCAAGGGCGTAAAAGGCCTAAAAAATTTAATTCCTTTAGCTCTGAAATTCAGAATGCCTCTAGTATTGCTTTGTTTAATTCTAAACTTAAGTCATTTTCTTGGTATAAGCACAGGCAGTTAAATTCTCTTAATGCTTGTGTGAAGTTTTTGGCTTTTTTCGCTTTTTTTCTCGTTTATTCTTGCATTAGTTTTTTCTCACCTTTTGGTTTTCGTTTTTGCACGTACACGTTCAGCCTTTTCTCTTTTTATGTCCTGTTTAATTATTATTTTCTATGTTCTACAGAAATTGTGCGTGGTGAGAGCCAATTGTCTTGCCGATGTCAGTATTTTATTTATTAATTAGATAACATGATTTGAAAGGTAGTCTTATTCACCAGCCTTATTGGCTTCCTTGGGCTCCCTTTCATCATGCATGCATCTATTTTTAAAAAAATTATATGCATATTTTATTTGCATGGCAAAAATGCTAATAAAACAATAAAAACAATAAAATGTCACACCCTGCAAACTGTTCTGTGCTGGATACATACAGCCATTTGAACAACTTTGAAAGTACAACCGATTCATTCCACCATTTAAAATAAGCAACATATTTAGTCCTAAAGATTCTGTTTCGGATTCTCTCAAATCACGAGTTCGTACAAGTTTATTTGCGCTGGCTGTGGAGCTCGTTATATTGGTGAAACCAATAGGCAATTTTATTAATGAGTACCTTTTTCGGGACTGGAATTCTCAATTATCATTCAAGCATCTCAACAGTTCTAAGAATTGTAAAGATAAATGTGGAGTCTCTTGCTTTGAAATCAGTCTTGGTACTGCTAGTTCTTATTATCAACTTAACCCTTTAAACCCTAAGATCAAAATTTAAATTCTCATTTGTTTCCCCTATTCATTTCCTACAGAAGTAGTGGGAAGAAGTTGATAAAATATCAATAAAATTCATCTTGTGTGATCTTGTCCATAATTCTCATGACCACTCTGTTTTGACAAGGCATTGATATTACAAGGAGAAATTTGATGCTGATCGCTCTTACGGCTTGAAGGGTTAAGGCTCAAGGACAGCTTTCAAATTGAACATCTGAAACCTGAACTTGACGAGCAAATTGAGCATGTTAGTTTGACATTACTGTTTTCCTTTGTAGTTCGTTTAGTTTTCTTTCATATTATTCGCTGATTCTACTACATTTAGCATTACATTTTAAATTCAGGTTTTACCTACAGTTCGTTTAGTTTTCTTCCATATAATTGTCTAGCTTTAACATGTTTAACGAATTTTGAATTTACAAGCCATTATTGTTTGGATAGTTATACAAGTATACCGATTTAATTGTACGCTACTAGTATTATACCTTGCATGACTGAAGATGATGTTTGAAACATCGAAACATCATTCCACAAACTTAAAAGTGTCCTTGTGTTTTTAAAAATTACAACCAATGTACATGTAAAGCAAACTTAAGTAGTGCCCTTCACAAATTAATGCATCAATATGTTTTAGGTGCAGTTTTGGTAACCACAAGCCAAGGGTTCTCTTTCGAAATGAAAGAGTTGGAGAAGAGTTTCTCCAGACAAGCAGAACCAATTCCAGTAGAGGTCCAGTTCATAAGCCCGGCGGATGAAATCAAGCCAGGAGATACGTCAATACAGTATCTAGCTGCTCTTTGCGGGGGAACTTACTTTGAGGGTCTCATGGCCCATTTTGCAATCAATCTGGCAAACAATCCGTGGAGCATTCAAAACGGAGACTACATTACTGTTGTTGCTAAAGATTCAGCTGGAAATACTTTGGCTTCAAATGTAAATGTAACCACGAAGCAACCCCAGCCGGACTTCAATTTCACCTATCACGCAAAGTAAGTACTAGTCAATTCCAAAGCAATCCAAAACTCCTTTGGGACTTTTTCCTAGCATTAACCGAGGACGGTTTCTTTAATCCCTTTCCCTTCTCAAATGCCGTAACACACAGTGTACATGTTTGTAAGGAGTTTTTGCAGCGCTTATAAACAGGAATGCTTAATATATTTGAGGGGGACTGAAAAAACGAGTTTACAAAGCAGGTAAAGAAAATTATCTATGTTTTTGTAGTGAAATTTCATTTTCCTGCTCTAGCTAGTTAACGGGCATTCACGCGACCACTCGCTGCCTCCCCTTCCCCCCTCCCCTCCATAAAGTAAGGGACGTCACGTGTCATAAAGCATCAACATCATCATCAACACATTTATTTCACAACGCTCAGCACAAACAACAAAAGCTGACTTCCAGGTATGGCGTATGCAAACAAGCATTACAAACAAAATGAGAAGCAGCATGGTGTTCACAAAAGTTACAAAATTTCAGAGAAAAATTAATTAGGTAAAAATGTATACAATATAACTAGTTTTGCAATATAGTTATGTTGGTGGGAGTTTTAAAGAGTAATTAGTATAAGTTTTAAATATACACAAATGCAAATTAATGAATCAGACCGATATTCCAGCCAAAGAAAAAGAGGCAAGTTTGCTTTTAAATTTGGAAAGCGATTGTACTGTTTTTGCCACATAAGAAATATTATTCCAGAGTATTGCACCATTATAGTTGAAAATATGTTTGAGGAAATTAGTGTTTGGCCTTGGAAGTGCTAGATCAGTTTGATGCAAGGTTCCTCAGGTTATAGTTGATGTTCAGTAGTATCGTTGAGTCTTGTAAAGAAAGCTCTCAAATGGGGGGTGAGGGGACAGATTGATCCTGGAGGATTTTGTACATTGGGGCATGTGTGAGCGCCTGGTCACGCCGGTAGGGTGAGGGGGGCGGTGTTGGTGCGGCTTTAAGAATCGTATTTTTTAAAAAATCTGTTTTTAACGACCCATCCCCTAGTTATTCAGATCTAGCAGTCCAGGCCATTCCAGACGTAGTGAGAATTGTCACTTTTAATTGACACTTTTCAGACAGATAGGTTTATTTCGAAATAGTATGCACGAAAGTATTGGGTTTCCTGGAAAACTTTAGAAAAAATGTCAATGTTATTTTTAAAATGAGCGGTCCAACTGGCCGTTTTTGACTTTCAGTTGACGCCCTAAGACTGAGAAAATCATCTCTAGGCAAGAATTAATGGGAGCGACACTTGTACAAAATATGTTTGGGAGTGGTTGCGGAATTGCAGACTAACAATGGCCAGACTTTGCTGACGATGGAGGAGCAGAAAGAAAAACACAAAAGGATAAATCGTTTAACAAAGGAATCATCTATATTTAAAAAGAGAAAGATGAAGGAAAACAAAGCTAAATTCACGAAGCGCTACCAGGAAAGGGCAGAGAAAAACTGCGAGAGAGTGTTCTCCCCGTGTTCTCGATCATAATCTTATGGTGATATTATTGATGCAGATCATTGGCGTTTAGTTAATAGCTACAACCAGTTGCAAAAATACTTGAGACACTGTACCTTATTTGACTTAAATGGCCCTTATGCATGATTACGTCAGACGAGCAAATTTCACCACCAAGCCTCGTCTGCAAGGAAAATTCTTTGCATTTGCACTCTTTTTGCGTGGATATTCTTTTCAAATTTACTGCCTTGGGACATTCTTTTATGCAAAACTTCGCAACTTTACAATTCAAAACGAGGCTTGGTGGAGAAATTTGCTCATTTGACGTAAACATGCATAAGGGCTATTGCGTGCCCGTGATCTTGTGCTTGCGATCAATCTTTCCCTGTCCGGCGACGTTGCTAGCAATACACGACCATCCTCAAAACTGAGTGGAGAACTTTGAAAGGAGAGGATGGGGAAGGTGCGTATTGTATCCCACAGACGTGTGACTAGCAGCGATTTGAAGTAAGAAAGGCTGGTTTTTCTCACGGGGCGGGGTGTCTCAACATTTTTGGTACTGGTTGTAGCTTGAAAAAAGGGATGGTCGATATAAAAAAGTAAAAGTAAATTCACGCAGTGGATGTCGATATCGCGCGGCAACAAGACGGTAAATGCTGAGCATCGGTCCAAAAAAGTATATTAAGGTGTATAGAAACGTCTTGAACTTTAATAGGTAGTTAGACAGCAATGAAATGTTGCTTGATAACGTTTTTTCACGCTGCTCATTGTTCATTTGCCTTATCTCTTACAAGAACTATCCTTTAATCCTAACATCACTCCATGTACAGCTCTAAGCCTTGCTAGTTGTGAGTTTTAATCTCTTTTCTATAAATTCGGGAAACTACTAGAAAAAAGCCGAGTTTTTGAAAAGTTCACAGCTTGGGCATGTTGATGTCGGAAATCTTGAAAAAGTTTCATTCACACTGATTCACGAGAACACCTTTAGCTTAGGAGCTCTTCTGAAGGCGACGTATGCATACGAGACGAAATTTTGCGTTCTAATAAATTTACGATTAGCTCAGGCCAAGTGTATATAGAACAAAACGCTGTGGGAGAGTACATTTGGGCGTCGATGTACTAGGCGTGTGTGAAGTTAATTTTGTGTGTCTTAACTTAGGGATGTGTGAGTAGTGCAGTAGCGTTGTATATTTTAGGGGTTGGTTGAGATGCGTGAAGTGGAAGGCGTGGAGTTATATTGGACGTGAATTGGTAAAGCAACAGCTGTAGTTTGTTAATCAGTGAAACTTGTTTGTCGTGGAAATTAATATGGAGTAACAAAAAGTAATATTTTGGGAGGTAAAAGTGCAGTCAGGTAGTTGTGGAAGAGCTAATTTGTTTATGAATGGATATTGTAGTTACAGTGTGTTGAAATGAAGTGGTGGTTGTGAACAGTCTTATCAATAGTCGAAAACATACTTGTACTTACATTCGAACCCCGCCTGACGGCCACCTCGGTAATACGGTCACCTCGTTATTAAGGCAAATTTTTTTTGGCCGTCTGGCAAAACGGCCATACATTTTCTTGAAAAAAAAAACAAACCTCGTTCGTACGGTCACCTGTTAATACGGCCAAATATTTTTGGCCCATTGATGACCGTATTAACGGGGTTCCGCACTCTGTTTTAAACGTTGTTAGGCTTCCTGTTTTGGATTGTTTTTCGGTTATTTTTGATAATAATATTTTCATGGAGAGAACATGGATAGGGCCAACAGTTCATTTAATGTAGAGAAGGGAGTATGAAGGTGTTGAGGTGGGGGTGGGGGTTGGGGAAGCGGAAATTTGGTGCATGTGCTCGGGGGCTTTGAAAAATCGTTGAGGTCAAGGAGAGGGCGTAAAAACTGGTTATAGAACTAAGGGCCTGATTACATGAGCTGGGCTGGCTCGCTTTGCAGAGATCCCGGCATTATATGACAACCGAGCCAGCCTGGTTAGCTGGGATCCCAGTACTGTGACGCCGGGATCCCGGGTGGAAATTTTCCAAGTAATCACGCTTGCCGGGCGGCCCGGCGAATGAACCAAGCGAGATGTAGGATAGCGGGTGACACGCTGTTCATGCCCATTGCTTCCCCGGCTCATGTGATCAGGCCCTTACTGTGAGTTGTATTGTCACACACTTTGCACGTGAAAGCTTTGGAATTTGCCGCTTTCGTGGTTCGTGCACGAGAGAATACGACCTAATCTAATTAACCCAAGGGTTTTAAAAATAGAACGCGGTTTGCACGTAAAGATGTTGGACTCTTCTCCTTTTACGTGAAGGAATGTAACATGTTGACGAGATTATTTGCTCAAAGAGATTTTAAGAAATCACTTCCTTTCCGAAAATATGCAATGAAATTATGCATCGTTACCCTTAATTATTTCATGCACGAGATCATGGAATTTTGCGTGACATCTTCTTTGGCGCGCGACAACTGAGAGCAAAAATGTTGGCAAACTCTTGGCAATAAGCCAAACCATTCACACCTGTGTGTTGCGAGGACGATTATTTTTCAAAGGGAAAATCAAAAATATTTAATAGTTTTTCACTCAGTCACGACAGGGTACCTTGTTTTTCCAAAAAGTTTGTTTTCTATTGCTGACTTGTTTGCCGTGCGTTATCTGTGGGTCGTATGTAACGAAGATAAATGCTGTGTTGTGACACAGCGCGCGACATTCGCGTCGCTTGGCTTGCTTACTTGGCTTGTTTACTTTCGCACGTATTGCGTGCCTATTGCAAATTTGAATCAAAACAAGCGAACTGGATTACTCTATTTGGGCGACGCACGAATAATATTGTCTGAGCTCTGAGGCTGCGAAACCCAGGGGCCATGTTTTTCACTTAAGATGGACTAGTGGAGTCGAAATTTTAAATAGGCGACTGGGCTCGTATGTGCTATGGGTTCTATTCTGTTCTACGGTGATCAATGACCTGCTTGATGGTGTTATTGCGTTTTGATAATAGTCTTAGTGCCAACTGGTAAAATGTTGCATGTTCTTTTATAGATACAAAGATTTGCTGTTTGAGGTCACGACTGGACCCGCCCCCTCCTTCGTTTTCACACTTTCGTTGTCCTTTGACTTCAATGTATCAACTAAGGACTATGCTATGCCTAGTGAACCACGCTAGCAGATGACTCCTATGGAGTATGCTACGTTTTTAAATTCCAGCAAAGGAGACGATTCAGGTAAATGTTTCGTGCAATTCACCTCCCTTCCCTCTCCGCCGCACCCGCCTCTTCTGTATCATCATCGTCGTCGTTGTCATTGTCATTGTCAATCAAACAATCTGACAGGCGAATTTCTAGTTATTTTGTATCCTTAGATGTTTTCTAAAATCAATCAAAAGAAATAACAAGTTTAAAAATAACACTTTTCTTAATTTTTTTATTCCAAAACATAAAAGAACAAACTGAACCAATTGTTATGTCTAACCAAGTGTTTTGGCGGTCAATGCTCCTCTTATCTCACGTATTTTTTTAAACACTAATCAGGGGTGCCTAGTTCAGCGAGGTTGGTTTATATGGGCCTGATGAAAAAGAAAAAACAACACACAAGACAAATAAAGATGAAAAATGGTACAACTAAGTATAACAAAAGTAACGGAGGCTCAATTAGGCTTGGATCTAAAGTGCCTTTTTAGGCCAAACGAAAACTTATTAATATCATGCTCGCTCCTCAGGTCCAGAGGAAGCGTAATCCAGATCTTGGCTCCGCTGAACCTTAAGGAGCCCTGGTACTTAGTTGTCCTAGCTAGCGGCAGACGGAGCAAATCTCATATGGCGCGTGTTATATGAATGGAAATCGGGCGAGTGGCTAAATTCATCAATTAAATATGCTGAAGCCAGGCCATGAAGGCTCTTAAACACTAGCATGCACTTTAGATAGTCCAAGCCAACCGAATGTGCGAGATATCTGCGAAACTGTATAGCCTTTAATAATACTGGAGTCACGCCTATGCAGCTTGGTCACTTGCTGCTCTTGCTGCAACCTTTCAGTGCTATGGCTTTCCATCGTCACTTTTAATGATACAAAAGCCTCCGCCAAAGCTATTTAGTTGTCCAGTCAACGAATTAAATGTAACAAGGGTTACCCCACCTTGAAACTTTTACGTGGCAAGATCCTACCCTGGCCTTAGAGGGTGTTGCCGGGTCTGGCAGAACGGGCAACACGCCTCGACGGCCACCCCACCTCTCATGTACAAGTGGTCAAATGAAAATGAGAGATTGTTATTTCAACTACACCGTACCTAGTGTCCCCCACCTCCATGTAAACAGTTGGGTCATGCCGCTGCTTCCTACAAGAAAACTTGTTTTGTTTGTTTATTTGCTTGTTGGTTTGTTTGTTTTTGCAGTTCTTCTTGTACCAATCTTCATAACTCACACCAAGAAAACGGTCGTTACCCAACAACTTCAATACCTTCGTCTTGACTACTGCTTTGGACTGGCCCATCACTACAACATCACCATAACCGTGGTCGCTGATGATCAGCAGTCGGGCTTTGCTACTTACGCTTGTAAGAAGACCTATAAACAAGGAAATTGTGACGTGAGGACTCCATATCGTGACATATCTGGTGGACCGGCTAACTTTGTAGAGGTTAGCTTGGATGGTCCACAAGACTATGGTCCCGTGGTTGTGATTGTGCGTGGTGATGGGCGATATAAACTACCCAACAACTACATCCTAACAGCTTCGTCTCCTCACTAAAGATGACCTGACATCAAATTGAAGGAGAGTCTTTTACATTTTTTTTAATGTCGCTTTATTAAAGGTGCTTGTTTATATCAAAAAAGGAATATCCTGGCAACGAAGTATAAGATTTAAGTGCTGAGATCTTTTGTCTTTATTATAGCTGTAGCAGAATAGAACAATTTTGATATATTAAAATTCATAATTGGCTCTGAGGCTCAGGGGGATAAAACAAAAGAATTAGGGCCTGTTTACATGGAGTGGGGGACCCCGGTCTAGTGGGATTGGTTTCTTTTGTTTTCACGCTCTGGGGGACACAAAACAAAAGAAACTTACCCCACTAGACCGGGGTCCCCCACTCCATGTAAACAGAATCTTAATCGTCAGTTTCAGCAATAAATAATACATTTCTTTTGTTTTATTGCCCGAGCCTCGGTGCAAAGTCTGAATTTCAATATATCGAAAGCGTAAGTGTTAGACCGATCGTGTGTGAACATCAATGACGACCCCGAGACCTACGCATATATCTTTATAAGGATAACTAGGAAAGAATTTCGTCCTTAGATGATTCGCTTATGAGGATAATCCTGTTGATGTAAGATCGTCCATGTAAACCACCCTAACGTAAATAAGTTTGGTCTAAGAAATTTAAACAAAAAGCAGTGTTAAGCAATTAAATAAGACTTACTAGACCTTTTTAGCGTGTATGTTTTAGAATCCCAATTCAGACAACATGATGTCCTCAAGGAAATTTACCTTCTCAAACATACATGCATGCATGTGGATAGGACGACGATTAAGAAAACAGTTCTCAGGGATGATATCACACAGTCTGAAATGGGAAACAAAAGATAACTAAAAAGATCTATTAAGTTTATGGTTGATGTTAATTTTGAATCACCTTTTAAATAAACTTCAGGACACATAACATAATGTGTTTCACTGTTGCGTTTATGTGTCGTTGTGTAGCAGATCGCTTGTTACTATACTAAACCAACGAGGATTGAAAATTACCGTTCAGCAAAAAGTACCTTTCTGAAACTGTCAGTGAATTTTTACTGACTTATAAAACAAAACAACAACATTTTGCGTGCTACTTGAAGACTAAGCTTGGCTCCTCGTTTCGTATAGATTTTTAGAATTATGGTTTTTGATTGCACAAAAAGTGCGTTTTCGCTTGTTTTTCACGAGATGTGGTGGCAGTGGGTTGAGCGAGTCAGTCAAAACTACTTGGTTTTGCGCACTTGCTCTGTAACCCATTTCACTGAATCGCTATCATTTCAATTGAAAGACTTCTACTTCTTTCATACGTTCAGTTTTTTAATAATTTAAAGGTCATCTAATTGGCGAAAAAAAAAGGCCGTTGACCCACACAGCAACTTGTTGCGATCCAATATATTTACACTAGCTACTTATTAAATAACTATAATTCCTCAGAATATAAATGTGACCTTTAAATTCCCCAACTTACTTCTAATTTCATATGTTTGAGGACAAAATCTTCCTACTATGTTCTGTGAAAATCCCTTTACCTTAACACACATTTTATTGAAGCAATGTTAATTATTGCAAAATGTTTGCGAGAGTACGTCAAAGACAAAATTTTGTCTATTTACTTCTATGCGCCTCAAACCGATTTTTTCTCTTAAGTACAATGGTCTATTCTCCTGTTAAGAGGCTTAACTGTTCGAGAAGATAAACAGGGGTAGTATTAATACTTTTATCCGACTTGGTTAGAACGTCTGAGTACATTTTGATATATTTTACGTCAGACAGATTTAATTGTAATACCAAGCTGGAAACAGTCTCTTTTTTAAGAAAATGACACAGCAGTTGCCTTCTTTTGCTTTGCTTCCCGCGTCTGCTTCACCGTAGTTTTCAATCATCTCCTTAACCTTCTTCCATCTTTCCTTCAAATGGTCGGCTTGCTTTACAAACGGCTCGCTGACTGTAGGGTCCAAAGTTTCGTTCTCAATTTGCTTGCTTAATAAGACGATGTGATCCAACTTGGCCTGTTTCTCCTTGATTTCCTCATAATGCGTCTAAGGAAAAAAAAAAGAAACCCCGTTTCACTGACTACCCAACCAAATTGTCTTTGTTACCATCGTTTAAGTCAACGTCGCCGTCTTAATGACTATCAATAACCTGATTTTAAAGTATTTTAACAATAAGCATCAAGGATCATGTTCTGCGTACACCAAAAGTTTGCTCTTTATCTCTCCTGATCGACGCCGTATGCGAATCTGCATTTTGAAAACAAAACACCGCTAGACATTTCCTCGCTGCCGAAAGGCAAACAGCGCAAAGCGAGGCACAAAAGGCAATCTTGGCATCTTACGAGTCTCAGTCCCTAGGCCGGCGTTAACTAAACTCGTCAGCTGAAGCCTGTGCGCACTGTCGGTTCTTTCACTTCCCGATCTAAGGACAGTTTCTTTATGATTCAGAAAAACACTATGACGAAAACCACGTGACACTTACATTTACTTTCTGCTGAACCTTTGTTGCTTTTTGGGAATCCATGTCAACGCTGAATGATTTGACAAGTGTCTCTGATTCATCCATCCAGTCATGCATGGCTTTAGTTTCTTTTCGAAAGTCCTTTATCTTCTGATTGATGAGTGACTATTTAAATGAATTTGAGAAAATTGATATGTTTTAGAGGTATAATAATCATTACATACAATAAAAACCCGCACGTAAGAACCAAGTGCGGTTTAAAAAACCTGTCGGCAGAAAAATGTGTCATTTTAATAACCAAAAATGTAAGAACCTGTTTGGTCAGGCAAGATCAAACAGGTTCTTATACATGTATGTGGGTTCGGTAAAATTATGATAAACATAGTTTAACGTGGAGTTTGACTTTGAGATTAGGGATAATGAAATATTGTTGTATAAGTTTGTTGGGCTTCTCATATGATGATGCAGTTGTGAATAAAACTGCATATCTGTAATAACGCCATCCATTTTTTTTTTTTTTTTCTGGTGATCAACAACTATATCTTTATTATAGAAAATAAGAACATAATTAAGAACCTACTTAGAACTACTTATCCAAAACTGTCATCAATAACTACCCAAAAATTATAAGAATCTAATTTGCCAGCTAAGTTCTTACATGCTGGTTTTTACTGTACTACAAATTAAGACACTTAGCCGAAAGCTATCCTAACAACATGCTTTCAAATGCCCTTATTTAACAATTAGTCGCCTCAGGCGACGTGAATATCGGCGAATAGTCATCGAGACGAAGTCGAGGTGACTATTCGTCGATATTCACGTCGCCTGAGGCGACTAATTGTTTTAGTATAATTACATTGATGATTATTCGGGAAAATAAAATTATTGATCAATTTCCGACTCCGAAACATCAACAAATCTGGCTGCCATTTTGACAACTGCTAGCCTTCACTGTTATAATCACCGCGCAATGATTTTTGCAGGATGAAGCGAAGCTCCCTGCCAATCGTAGCGCTCTATTTTCGATTTTCATCAATGTAATTATACTAAAGGTTATTAACACAATCTTTGTACTTTTTCATCTTAGATCAGTGATGACTTATATGTTCACTGCATGCCTTGATTATAAACACTGTTTTGAGAGTTGCAGAAAAATTTGCAGCAAATGATGCTGCCTAAGGAACAATAAAGGGTTTACCTCGATGTCAACCTGCTAGCAGAGCCTTTCTCTCACTTCATTATGGCGTACTTGTGCATGGATCGAGAAAAGTCTTTGCTGAGCATGTGCTGATTGTTGCTGGTGTTCAGTTTCGAACTAGGCCTAATAGCCGTGCGTTTAGCACAGCAGGCTCAGTCATGGCCGATTTATCAAAAAACAGATGCTCGCACTCGAAAAACCAGTTTGACGAAAGAAAACAAGATTGACTAGTCCGGAACGATTTTTCGGCGACTTCAAAAGTTCGATGTGGTTCAGGCAGAGCCTCCTATTAATTTTTCCTCTCCACTAAAAAAGACTCTGCAAGCTTTGCTCGAAGGGTACCTACTTACTTCGTCAAGTGCGTGTTTTGATATCGAGTGGAACGCGAATTAAAGAGTGCAAGAAAGTCGTGATTCATGATTTATTTGTTGTTATTATTTTTTAATTATTATTAATCATGGAGTTTGAAAAGTCGCTTTACCAACCTCGTAAGTCGGTTTCTTTTTGAAGAAATGATGTTTTGGTTCCACAAATCCCTCATCACTTTGTGAATCGTCATGTGATTCGTCAGGACTTGAATGAACAGCAATCACACTAGAAGCCACCATCGTCTCATTAACCGTAGTAGTTTGCTCAGCGTTTCGCAATGCTTCAGCAATCCTAATAGAAGAATAAAATTAAAACCGAAATAAAAATACTTTAAAATCATTCCTGAAGGACTTAATGGGAAATATTGAAACGTGATGGTCTTGCCTGGCCCACACAGTGGGTAGGATGAAATTCTTTCAAGCCGCGGGCATATAAATTAGTCAATTTTATTATCCACTTTTATCGACCATCTTTAAATCTAACCACTTCTGTTACGGAAGGGTAAGGCCAAATTTCAACGATTTTTAAAGAGCTGGAGCTTTAACTTTTTTCGTATATTTTTAGGATCATTTTTCTCCAAAAGTAAAAATGTACAACCTGCATCATGATCAAAAGGTGACATTTCAAGGTCGAGCATTTCACCATAGCAAATCAGAGGATTGTTGGTTTATATATGGAGTGGAGTAGCAATGCCATTGGTGGAACTGACTTAAGAATGAAATGGTAATTAAGCCATTAACTGATGGTCGGAACTTGGACAAGGCTCTAAGCGCCTCTTGTATAGTTAACACAGATTTTTTCGAAAGGAAGTAAATATAACCCAGGTTTGAACGATTGATCACTATTGCATTTCAAATTGTTTTGGGGAAGATACCTTTGTTTCCTCTTTTCTGCATCTCCTATCAATCCCTCAAGCCTATCCTCTAGCGCCTTTGTTTCTCGTTGAATCGTTTCACCAGTTTCTTCGGTCACAAGATCTCTCCTGTGAACTTCCCTGGCCACATCAACTGCTGCACTGACAGAATCCTCATGTGAAGCTATCTTGTTTATGATGTTCTAGCAATGTCAGGGTAAAGTAGACTCAGAAAAGTGGATTTAGGTTGAAATCAAAATGTCTTACTTTTGGAAAAATAATTGTGCATAAAACTATAAAATTTGAGGTGGTGGGAGAAAGCCCCGCTACAACGTATATCCAAATCAAATGAACAGATTACAGCGTAGAAGAACTGCATCCCCTCAAATCACAAATCCCAAACGAAATGGTGCGAACCAACCAGAATTTTCGGATTTCCCATGTACCCTAGAATGAAATGTTGTTCGAATGAAGTAATCATGAGAGAAAGGATGAGTTACATGCATAAAAAAAAGATTTAAGCCAAATGGAATCCCTTCGCCTTGAAATTGTTTTAGAATCACTCAGAACTCGAACTACAAGTCCTTTTTCTATGGGCCCCACTTATTCGCGTGATCCGTCCGTTGTCGTGGAGACACGAAGCAATTGGCCTTGTAACACAACACTGTTGGCAATACTAACTTTACTCATATGATCTTAGCCGATCACATGAATTGGAATAGAAAATACTAGACGGTTGACGCTTTCACTTTCATAAAATCAGCTCCGCTGAGAAAATTCAGCTAACACTAATAAAAATCAACGGCTATTCCTGCAAATCGATAGAATGAGACTTTGACTGATCATAGTGCTGTTGAAGAACACTCATCAGCTGTATATTTGATTTTAAAAAATCTGATTAATAGTCGACATAGTCGTTATTTCGCTTAAGTTTTATCCAATGGTTTCTGTACACCCTGTAGTAATGAAGCATGTAATTAGCAATCTAGCTTAAGGAAGCCTATAAATATAAACTCCTAGCCTCGTTAGGCTTCCTTCACATTTATGTACAATAATTGTAAAGAAGGAAGCCTAACCATTATTCAACTTTAGTTGCGTTTAATGTGTGAGTGACCAAACAAACAATTAAATTTATAAATAAAACAAAACGAAATACGACGAACATCCCGAGTATCATGATCTGCCCTCGTAAACAATCTAAACGACCCTGTCTACTTACTCGTGTCCTCGGCTTCCATGATGTATCACTGAATGTTGCGCCCCGCTTAAAAACTTTCAGCCCCAACATGAACCTTTTTTTTAGAACGTCCTTTTTACGTTCGATCTACAAAAGGCGCCGGTACGCCAGAAAACTTCTTCAGAGAATCGGTCTAAACAACTCAACAACGTCATAACTTTCTGAAGTGTAAGACTACGGGTCATAGAATTGCAGTGTCGATTGAATACTTCGCGTGACATTAGTAAGATTTGCTTGAAAACGCGGTGATGTCACTTTCCATTAATGGACTTTGGATTTGCTAAATGGACTAATCCCATCAATTTCAACGGACAGAGATTGAATAAACGCGAGATGACATCGTTTGTTTTTTCTTTAACCCTTTAAGCCCAAAGATTCACATACAAATTATCCAGACTGATCTCCATAGATTTCTTTTAAGAACATTTGAGAGAATTTGGTTTAAGATCAAGGCATTCTCCCTTTGGTAATCAATTTAAAATTCTCATAACCTTTACTCTTGATGATCTGCTGATGTGATTTTTAGAAAATTGATGTTAGTTACCCGTCTTGGGTCCTAAAGGGTTAAATCTTGCCGAGCTGCGCAGGCTGCACAAAATTTTTTTCTTTAAAAATCCTCTTATACATGTATGTATTACTGGTCCTTACAAAACCTAAAAACCTCAAAGAAAACTTTATCAAGACACCGTGATTTCCGGACTACACCTAAAAGCAACGAACATAGTGGAAACTCACACAATATATTTTGGTTTTTGTTTGTTTGTTTGTTTTTGTCGTTTTTTGTCGTTTCAAGGGACGGAGAGCTGCAGGAATTTTTTTTTTTGCCTTGTATGAATTTTTTTCAGGTTTGAATAACGTGCAAGAATTTTTTCATTTAATTTTCCCTTGGTTTTCTAATGGTTCCTTATTCATGAATAGACGTGTCTAATGGAACAAACGTCTGTTTTGTTTTTGTTTTTGTTTTTTTTGTTTTTTATCTCTCTCTTTCCCTCTTGTCACAAGAGTTGCATTATATTATTCTTTATATTATGGTCGTTGCGTTGTTTGTAGTTTGTTGATGCTTATTTTATGCATGTTCATCCATATGCATGGCCGAAAGAGAGCTTTCAACTGAACTTTCAGTCAAGACAAGAGCTGCCACAGACATCATGATAACAACACAACTCGAGTGAAACATTAAGGTAGCCGCTCAAAAAGAAGAGGGAATAAATGTCAGCAAATACAAAAGGAAGCACGGATGAATAAACCTGAAGAAGATTGCAAGTATGTTTTGAAAACTTGTTAGCCTGACAGTTTTTTCAAAGTTCATTTTTGTTATTTGTAACGATTTATATTGAGCTGGGAAGACATATTTTGTTTGCCAAAGCTCTCGGGTAAATTCTTAAGTGCGAACTGGCGATATAAAATGAACTAGAAAGCCTTGACACGGGTCCGCCAATATGGTGAGTTATTTACCGTGAGTTATCACGGTGAGTTAATTTTCTGTCAGGTTACCAAATTTTGAAGTCTCAATATTTGGCATGCAGAACATTAAAATTGCAAGATTTGACATGCAGAATCTTGAAATTTCAGGATTTGACATTCGATCGTCAAATATTGAAATTTCAAGATTTGGTAACTCAACTGTAACTAACTCATCTTGATAACTTACGCTACTTAACTCACGGCCTTATTAAACCCCCTTAACACAGCCTCTTTAAATTCTATTTACCTTGTGCCTTTTTTCTTCTTCGCGTAGTGCGTTCAGTTCATCTTCTTTGATTTCAACCGCATTCATGCTCTCCTCCAGTTCATCAAGGCTGTTGCTGACTCGTCCCATCCACTCACCACCCATAATCAAAATCGCTTGCACCAAGCTTTGTGAAGGATTGAAAGAAATATTAGGTTTCTTAGAAACCGCCCACCTACTCCTCCCATAAGCCAACATTTTACCCTAACTGAGAAGTGATTGTTAATATTGGCTAAGGGGAGGGGTAGGTAGGCAGTTCCCCAGAAACCTAAATTGACTCCACCTCCGCCTCAGGGTTAGTGCTGAAAGTCTTTGATTCTAAAAAGATTTTTTCATAGTCTTTTGAAAAAAAAAGTGAAACTCAATTGTCAAATGAAGAATGATCCTTGCAATTGTGAACGCAATTTATGCAATTGCGTGACTAACCCTAAAAAAAATTCGGGACTTCAACGGGATTTGAACCCGTGACCTCGTGATACCAACTGAGCTATGAAGCTACTGAAGTTGGGAGTTGGTCAATTATGTGTTCATATGTTCTCGTGAAAGAGATGAATGTGATAGATGTATATACATCATATAAGAACTGCAAGGATCATTCTTCATTTGATTTCATTTCCGCAGTTCTTAAATGATTTATTTCATACAGTGTATACATCTATCACAAACTCAATTGTTTTTTGATGAAACAAGAGACAAAAGAAAATTTGCCTAGAGGACTTCTCTTTGTCTGTTATTAATAAATATTACTCAACGAAGGCGCAGTCAAAACGGAAAAGGTTTTGTGATTCTGGTGTTGGATTTATCCATAAATTGCCAGTTTCGCTAGAGGAACAAAATGCGGGCTCCGCGGACGAGAATATTTATAACACCCATAAGGGTGAAACCCTGCATTTCAATGAATAAGCCAACCGCATTTTTTCGGACCAAAGCCAAACCGTCAGATTTAACAGATTTTCATGGCCCAAAGGTAGCCTTATTGACGAGGTCACACTGTGCTTTGTACTGCTTGTTACTAAGTGTAAATAGCTTTAAATACATTGAGAATGCAAAACCTACCGCTGCTTATTGACTTCATGTGAACGCCACATTTCTTGCCAACGATCCTTTAAGTCATCGACCTTTCTACGCAGCTTTACACGACTTTCCACGGTCATCACATTCATACTTTCGCTTTCTCCAAAGGTTTCCTTTACCAAGATAAAATTGTTGTTCTCCTGCTTCATGTTTTCCTCCAAAACCTGAAAAAAAAAATTTTCGTCAAGGGCGGTGGTGGATCAAGGTGAGGGGATCGATCCCGTGTAAAGAGACCCCTCACTGAATTCAAATTTAAACCGAAGCAAGCAGAAATAATTATTCATCCATGAGTGCAAACCTCTCTCCCCCTTGGCTAAAGGTTTGAGTTCGCCGTTAACATATCTAAGGGCCTGTTTACAAGGAGGTGGGTAACCCCATGTAGCTGAGGTAACCCGCTTACGTGGAGTAACCCGCCTGTCCATATAATCTCTCGTTTTAATTTGATGAAGTTTACATGACATGTGGGGGTGACCCTCCACATGTTATCTCACCTATCTGGGGTCCCCTACCTCCATGTACATGGAGTGGGGTGAAAAAAGCCGGTCGAAAGGTACAGCTGTAAGGGGATGTAAAAAAGAATAAGCTTTTCAATCTTGCTCTCTGCTTTGCTTCGAAGCTGAGTGATATCATGTTCATTTTAAGTATCACTTTCCGAGTAGTAGCGCAAATCCCATATATTTACCTTAAGACTGCCGTCAGGTGATAGTTTACCCAAACAGAAAAGTGTGGGCAAGCGTTCTGTTAGGTGAACAGATATCACCGTGATTAAGTTCATTCCATGTTTCAAATAAACAAAAATGGACAAAAATGCAGAAGCAATGGATCGTGTTCAAAAACAAAAAGATTTCACGTTGTAATCTTCTGCTTCGTGTATCTTAATCTCACTTAGATCTGCGTACCTGAATATCGTCTAGCTGCTCCTGAACTTCCATCACTGTAGACCCAACAGCGGAAAAGTTGAGCAACGATTCCTCATCCAGCTCATCCAATGCCTTTTCACAAGTTTCTAGTGATGCGTTAAATTCTGTCGAGGACTCTTGTTGAATCCTACCCGAAGGAATGAGTATTTGAATGTAATTACTGAACGTAACAACTATACAAGTAAGTGACATCTCTTTTGTTTGTCAAGAATCTACTGTGTCGAAGGTTGTGTGTTCAGCTTCAAAATAACCTTTTCGAAACTGGTTTAGGAGGCAGTCAGTCAGTCTTATTTCTAAGGGCGAGACTCTCTAAAAAGACCTTCCTGAGGTTACATTCTACTCTGCTTGCTTACCTTTCCTTCTCGCTGACTGTTTTTGATGCAGTGCCAGGTCGCGCAAGCTTCTTGATGGATTTCATTGAATCTGTTATTTTGTGTTTATTGGTTTTATCTTCATCTTTGTGAAAAGGTGAGATAACCTTGCGTGGCGGCTTGAAAAACGGGAAAAAAATTATGAAGTAGATCAGCGATTTCAAATAAGTCTGTTCAACGAAGCATTTTATTTGGCTATACTTTCCCTTCTGGGGAAGAACGATAGAAAAATAACAATGGGTTCGGTTTAGCCATTTCATTAAATTGCAATACCATGAGGTTTGGTTCGACTGTGACTTCCACGATCTGAGTTTCCTTCTTTTGGTCAGGCATATTCTTCAGCGCATGAATCCTACTGTACAATCTGTATAAGAAACAGTAAGATAGAACCTTTTACTTTTTATCAACAAATTGTGATTAATTACCATAAAGCTTAACGATTGCAAAGGACATCAAAGGAAAGTGGCGCTGGCTAAAAAGATCGCAGTTCTGGGAAAGAGAATGATTCTCAAATTAACAGTGATAGGGTTACACTTATCAATATTCACCGGCGATCATGGTGATTAAAGCAATCTGATTGGTACACTCTCTCGGGTATTGAGCTTAAAAATCTAAATTAATTAAGGAGGAAAAAAACCAAAGTTGCTTGCGAAAATTCTACGCGACGACAACTAAACAAAGAAAAGTTACCAAATACAAACATCGCTCGCCTCGACCCGAGCCGTCATTGACAGCGGCTCACGAAGAGAAACCTCGGTTTTTGGCGAGAAGCAAAAATACCAGTTTCTTTTCTTTCTATTTCTCTGGCAATTCCTTCCAAAGAGGTTACGCTATAGTTTGCAAAAGGATTAAAACGTTTCCTATGTTAGTCATGTTTTAATATTCTGTAAAGGTCGAACTTTTGCTCCTATATATGTTCACCGCCACATAAGTAGGTATTTCTCACGTAAATATCATCCAATCAAATTGATTTTTAATGGTTTTCTATCTGGCACTCTTGGGAACAGTGTGTATACTAAAGCCACTGTTCTTTTCAATCTAGGTGAATTATGGCGTTAGGATTAAAAAACGTTGAACATTTTCAACATCTCGTTACAAAGCACACTACACTTGACCATTGTTCTGTCAAAGATGTTGACAGTGCTACGCACTTTTATTTTAATGGCCGGTCCAACTTAGATGCAAAGGACCATACTCTTATTTGATACTAGTCGCTCGTACTTGCTTTGCGCTTCTTCAAGCTTTGCGCTGATTGTTGAGAATCGAGTACTTAAGGTTTCATTGATTCGTTCCACCCTCTCCGCATCTCCTTGGTCCAAGCGACCGCTGTCCAAAAGAACGTCAGCATCACCATTGATTTGTTGCAACTGAGGTTTTTGGCTTTGACATTCCTTTATTTTTTCCTGGTTTATCATATTCAACAGAAAAATTAATTTACAAGTGAAAACAAAATTAATAGGCCATTTGCATGATGGCGTCATCTTACTACTTTGACCAGGATCCCTCAGGGTTTTGCTTTCTTGTGCAAATTAGGGCTTTTGTTATTTGAGCCTCACTGGGGCGTCCAAATTTAAATATGAAAAGAAAAACGAAAAGATTTCTAGCAGTAAAATGACGCCACCGTGCAAATGGCCTGTTGTGGACTTTATAGAGTGTTTTCACTCACGTGTCCAGCATTTATGCAAATTGATTGGAACAAAAGAAAGCGTTTGCATAAGAAAACATTTCAACTCCCAGAGGATTGGTTTGGGACACCAACATGGCCGCCGTTTCATTTTTTTGGGACACCAATATGGCCGCCGTGACGTCACGTGAAAACACTCTATAATGCAAAATGCCGCTATTGTTTGTTACAAGCATTGAGAAAGAAACCCAAGGGAAGAAATCAGCAACTATTGAACAATGTTTAATTTATAAATGTACTCAACTAAGAAAGAAAGACAAAATTACCTGAACTGTGGGCAACTTTTCTTTCACTTCATTGACAGTGATTTCGTTACCGACCTCTGCGTTAGAAATATTTTCTGTTGAATCAAGCCATGGACGAAGGGCGTCGTATTTTTGATACCACTCGTTCAGTTTCCGGTACTCGTGATCAACGTCCAAACCTAATGACTCCAAACTGAAAACGAAAGAATCATTTGTCAGTTTGCCATTCTTAAAATCAGCGTCATTTTACCTTTAGCAGATTGACTTGAACTTCTTAGATAGTCATATATTTTGGAAAAAAAAAATGACAGACTAAGACTTATAAACTGAAGCGGTTTAGATCAGTGATAAAATATCACACCATGTTTAAATAATGCCTAAAAGGTTTTTTAGATGCAGTTACTTCAGGGAAAGCAATAAATATTAATTTAAACATTAGAAACAAACAGTTAACCTTCCTTTTTTGAATCAGTTTATTCAGCACGTCTAAACATGATTGTCTCTGATCAGTCGATTTTACTTCAGCGAGCTTCAGCGCTCAGGACGGACACCTTTGAGACATTTACAGGCAAGTTGGTTTTGTTTTAAAGAAGCTAGATCGTCAAAAGATCCAGAGAATTCTTTAGAGAAAAAGGCTACTTTCAAACTCATTGATTATTCACTAGTAAAAACCAAAGGAAATTTTATGCAACTGAAAGTGTTAACCCTTTTGAAAAACTCCATGTTATTGCATCGTTGGTTTTCCCTTTAAATTATACTGTTGAGTGGTTATATCGGAACTCAAGAAAGTTGATGTTTGCTCAAAGTATCAAGCAACCCAACATTCGATATTTCGTCGAAAATATTCTTCTACCCGTCGTTAACTCCTTTTTCGGTACAGTGTTTGAAATGTGATGAGACACTGTGTTTCGTGTTCGATATAAATTTAAAAAAGCAAATAAAAACTGACCTGTTGCTATTGTTAATAACCTTCAAATTAAGTGAATTCCAGCGACTCGACAGATTGTGTAGACCTTTGGTTAGTTCATCATTTTGATTTGAGTCCTGCATTTGGCATATTTTATACACCAGTTTTGACAGCTCATCCGCAGGGTTAATTTGCAGGATGATGTCGTCTATTAGTGCCTGAAAAAAAAAGAAGATTATAGCATTTTCAGATACGTTGCATATTTTATTCAAAATGAATTTGGAAATAGAGGAGCCGGAGAGGAGAAAAATCTTGAGTTTCTAGGGAAAAACTCCTTGGGGGAGGGGGGGGGGGGAGGCGAGGGAGTTAATGAATTATGTCAAAAAAAATTTTCAAACATTCATCATTAATTCAACGCTGTATTGCCTAAGCCTCGCATTTGGATTGAACGGCTTTGCTCATATCCCTCCTATCATTTAAATACCACCACTAATACTACAATTAGCCTTCTTTCTCTATCTAAAAGGTAAACCATGCAGATTTCAAGCAATTATTCCTCATGTGCACTACGTAAGAGTTATTTGTATTTTGGCTTTTATTTTCCACCATTAAAAGGTGATACAGTTAATGTAACAGATTACACATAAAGTAATACAGAGGCATTAAGACACCGTTTAAATGACTAAATTGCGAATGGAAAAAGGGATATCACTATAGGCATTAACTCTCAAACTGGGAAAAATTACAGCTAAGAAAAACTTTTGTTCAGATTCTCTAATTATAAAATAATTTATCCTAACCTGGTAGTCATCTGTGTCGTTAACGAACTGGTTTAACTGAATATGACTCCCGCGGACTTTCTTTTTGGCCCATGAAGGTAGGGCTTCCTTAACCGAGAAAATGAAAGAGATCTTCTTTTGCTTCCTGTGTTTCTGAATCTCTTTTAACTTCTCCGAGGTCCTGACAATGAAACAAATGAAATAAACATCGCTAAAGCAAAGATGAGCCCACCGTCCAACAAAATGACCAGTAGAAGCCTTGAAAATCACGTGATCTCGGCTGAACACGCCATACAGTCAGGCAAAAGAGAATAATTGGACAGAGAATGAATCTTAGGGCGTTGACGGGGATATGAGAATTTCTCTTAAGGTAATTTAAGAGGCTGTAAATAAACGAAAGTCTAATTCAACAGACGTCCGCACATTTTACATCAAGTCCACGCGCTGCTGCCTCAAAGCAAACAACCGACGCAGAATAGTAAAAGTGACTGTTGAATTCTCTCGTGACAACACTTATCTCAAGGTCTGGACCCGGCACTAATAAGTCACAATTAACAGGTGGTGGCATCTGTAACCTAATCCAATAAAGGTTGCTTTGGGCATTGGGCAATTGCGTATTGGGAAGCTATATTATGGAGCTTAAGCAGCGACGTTTTGGAGCGACGCGCGTCAACCGGAAGTGAGGTATTTTTCCTCTTATAAACATGCCTCTGATATAAAATTTGTATTCCTTAGCTTCTTTACTGTTATAAAGGCGATCTGACTGAAAATTTGCGCGAAACCACCGTCAAAAAATGAAAAAAGGCCACTTCCGGTTGACGTGCGTCGCTCAAAAACGTCGTTGCTTAAGCTCCCTATTAATTGTTTGGTGGTCACTCCAGGAGTCTCCCACGCTGAGGGGCTTCGCGGGACGAGATACTCGAGCAAGTCTTTGCTGTAAGTTCTGTACGCCTAAATGACCCTACATGCGCAATTGCCAAAGCAACCTTCATTAATTAAGATGTTATCACGGTCATTACCTCGTTAACTTTCGTTTTCCATCATTCAAATATGGCTGCCAATCAAGTAAGGTACTGTCACTCTCTGCCTTAGACATGACCGTGCTAGAGGATTGTTTGTCCTAAAGGAAAAAATATTTATTACTTAAACACCGATTTTATGCAATGTTGGAAATGAGGGAAGCCTTGTATCTTATATAGTTTATGTCCTGACCGCCAGAAGTACACTGTATAGTTAGACAACCCAATTACTAATTACAAAATAAAATGATAACGGCATACGTTCCATGATGTGGCCAGGAAATTTTAATGTCTTTCCTAGCGGCTTTAAGATGCCAACAAAAAACGTAAATCATTTCGGTACAGTCAGCATCATTTTCCGCCTCATTTTTCTCTAAGCCAGTTTCTTTTCACTTCGTTTGTGACTTTCTTCTTTTGTTATAATAATTTTTGTTTCTTTTTTGTTTTAATCAATATTAATTTAGCAGATTCAAGTTCAGGTTATAAAGTTGTTTCTACCTTTTCCTTTTTTCTTTCTTTATTTTTTTCCTCATTTTTTCGACAATGCATCAATGAATCTGAATATATGTCCTAGCTACTGTTAATGTTCATTAAAAGGACGCTTATAATGTGTTCGCTAAGAGCTAATGTTAACTAACCATCCATTTTAGAGATTCACATTTCGCGGCTCGATCTTCCAGACCTCTTAGCGTCCGGCTGAAGGCCACAGCTTTTTTCTTAAACTCCTCGGCCATGTCATCAGTACTTAATGAAACAAATACAACGAAACAGTAAAAGTAAGTAACTTAGTCCCAAAATATATATCTGCGAGGGCGAGGCTTGGTAAAGAAAAGCAGCGCGTTAAACCTGACACAAAAGAAAGCTTAAGTAAGCACGAAAGCGAAACGTCAATTAAGGAGAAGAGAACTACCCCTTTTCTCAGGCTTCATCTTAACGATTCCACCCCGTTCAATCTGTCAAATGTTGGCGAATTTTAGTGTTGAATTCTTAACCTTTTAAGCCCTAAGAGTGATCAGCATCAAATTTTTTCTTGTAATATCAATGCTTTGGAAAACAGAGTGGTCATGAGAATTACGGACATGATCACACAAGATGAATTTGCTTGATGTTTTATCAACTTCTCCACACCACTTCTGTATGAAATGAATAGAAACAACAAATGAGAATATAAATTTTAATCTTCGGGTTTAAAGGGTTAAGACTATGTTCACGCTATACTGGATAGCGCTTACTCTAGCACGAAAACCATACTGAAGAGGGATTCTGGTACCACACAAAAGAACGGTCACCGTGATTTCGGCGCGATTTCTGTAGCGGAGCGAAGCAGCGCCGCGCTAATCTCGAAAGTGGGGCGCCACATATAGGATAGGTTCTATGCCACACTTCGGTGTAGTGTGAAGGGAAGTCGGACAGTTGCGAAAGTGAATAATTAGGGGTGAGGACCGGACTAACCTAAGATGGAAGTAAATATTCAAGATTGAGGATCGGGATTTAGTTTATCGAACTACTCTGGCACGATGTAATTCGATTTGGTTAAGGACTCGTTCCAGTTCTCTGCCGTTGCGGAGGGTCCTCAATAGGTTTTACCTACCTAGTAGTAGCAGTAAAACGCAGCATTCATAATAGACCACTAGTTGGATTTTACTAAGTTAAGTTATCTTTGCAAGTTATGAATCTGAGCCGGGTTGTTCAAAGCAGGGTTAAGCTAATCCAGAGTTAGTGCGAAATTTGATTTCAGATATGAACGCTTTAGAAGCAAATTCAGTTTTATTCTTTTTGCCTACAATTTGATGATTGGATACTCTATAAAGAAGAGAGAAAATTATTCGGGAAAATGCTTTTGAACAAAAGAAAAAGAATCCAGGGTTAAAATCTAACCCTGGGTTAGCGCTAATTGGCCTTCGAACAACTTGGCCCTCATGCTGTAAATTTATGACTATGTCAAAGAAAGGGAGCTATAACCCCCCAAACCCTCACAATTTTGGATTTAGTATTCAGGGTTTCATTGCGTAACAAATTTAATCCAACAGCCTCAAAGCAAAATATAGGAACTATAAGAAGAAAATGCAAGTGCTTCCGTTGAGAAGCATACATGTATACAGTGGAAATCGGATTTTGACTGCTACAAATCCCCATGAATTCATACCCTTTCACGGTTTAGTGGTTCAATGGGTCGCGCCATTTAAACAAATT